ATTTTTAGCTGAATATGAATCCATGGGGAGAGATGAATAGAGTGAGATGGATGATTTCTGGAAGGTACAGTTGCTTTAGTAGAAACAGATGTATATTAGTTTTAAGTCTTAAAATATGTCCTGTGATATATATCATGTACTGACATGTACAGTAAAAACTCCCAATTATTAAACTCCAACTATCCGAATCACCTATTATCCAAATCGCTCACAGAAATATTTAGAAGAACTTAAAACCGTGGTGATAGGTATCGTTATTAAAGAAGGCAGAAGCCATGATCGTGGCAAAATCTGTAGACATCATCATTGTCTCCCGCGGTCATGGAAAATCACAATCGTACTTTGTACATTTTCTGTTTGCAAAATCGTCTTAGATACGTACAACCACAATAGTAAAAGCTCAGCATGACTCGTCTTATTTTCTTTAAAATACCCTGAATTTCTATAAAAGTCTAACTATCCAAACGGATTCTGATTCCAATTCTGTTTGGATATTTGGAGTTCTACTGTAATTCAATTTAGTAGAAGTCCAGTAATTCAGGACAGCTGGATCCAGTTTGAACCCTAAAAAACTATCTTCTGATTTTTCTCAGGACCGGACCTTCTGATAACTGGACAGCCAGTTGACAATTATAACCACTTAGCTGCTCAGCTAGAATTATCACTGTCCAACTAAGCTTAGAAAAAAAATTTGGTTGTATTTAATTTTGACACGTGGTTTCCATAATCAAATCTGATGAAATGTTTTCTTTCACTAGGTCAGAAGATAACCTTGCCTATGATAACCCTATTTTATAATTGTCTTGTTGAATTCTTCAGGCATAGTTTAATTTCTGTTTTTAGTAACATTATTTTTTTGAATTAATCACTAAATAACTATTGAATTAACCGGACTCCTATGGTAATCCCGCACTCGACTTTGTCTCGCACGGGAACAATCACACTCATCCATTGAACACCTATTTTCGGGACCAGTAATATAATATACTATTTTGGCACAGTTACTCAGAAAACCTGCAATATATTATCAGATTAAATATCAACAAGAGGTTCTACCCGCGAATTATACCCTTGCGAATTTCTGCAAGGGTGTACAGAAGCCCCCATTAAATTAATTTAATAAACTTTGACTTTATATTTCATTTAACGGGCCCAAGCTAGAGAAATTGTCGTCTTAAAGGATGTTAAAAGCAGTGGAACCTTCATACCTTACGTCCTGAGGTGGCCGAGGTGGGTACGGTTGTACCTGAACTCGCCGCTCTCCTCCACGACGTATGTAATACTTTAATACTTTTCAATGAAATAGCAACCTGTTAAAGATCGGTGACAAACTTTTGGAACGAACAACATACATGGTTTGTTAATCTCATAGTCATGTGTGTTTCGATCATCTTTAATCACCCACTTGTATCAAACAGCTAGAAATAGCTTCACTGTCCACTCACCGAACCTGTTTTAAGAACACAAAACTAAATAATAAAATATGTAAACAAACAAACTATATTGTCAATTGCATTGGCCAGCTGTTGTTCACTAAATTAATCGAATAACTTTAACTTCCAAAACATGCAAGGCGTAGCCCTTTGGAAATCAGCCTGTGGGGCAGAGCCCTTAGGGAGTTCGTCCATATCAATACTTTTCGGCAAATCTACACACTCTGAGCTTCATTTTGATATTCCATATGCCTATATTTTTACTTGATAAATGGCCTTAACCGTTTACATAAAATTTTATTGTCTCACTTTAACAATATAATAGATTGTGATTTTGATATTATGATATAAATAAAAACATTAACAAAGTTGTTTGTTTATTTTATCCTAAATTTGTATGATTGAAAATGGAAGTACAGACGTGAAGTTAAGCTGTCATTTCAAGATCTGTTTCTTCATCTTCTAAAGGCAGTCACCAAATTATACCCATGATTGTAGGTTTTTTGTTATTTTCATGTTTAGTAGGTTATATATTGTTGTATATAGTTTTATTTACTAAAAATCAATAAAAACGTAAACAGATCATGATTCAATTCAATTTTTACATAGAAAATATTTTAGAAGTGATATATTGAACCGATATAGATGGATATTCAACCTGATAATATATTACAGGTTCTTTGCGGGACTGTACCCTGTTTGTACAAGTATTTTATTTTATTAGTGAAAACCTACAACGATCATAATTATAAAAGCAAGATTTAATTTGATAACAAAGTTACATCAACCACGGCTTACACATTGCTTTACACAAATAGGAGGAACGGAAATGGACTTGTTAAGTTTGGTACAAAAATACAAGTTATACGCCTACAGTTTGTCCAACCTTACAACTTGACAACCTGCTAGATTACATAACTCATGTAGTAGGCATATATACAATATACATATATTTATAACAGTGCTTTCACCGCCATTTTAGTATCAGAGCGTTCCTACACTCAGCCATGGGAGCATGCCTGCATGCACATAATATTTCTTGTACTTTGTCTGCAGTGCAGTGTTACAATGAGTGCTGTCATTGCACTGTCCCCCCCATAACGTGTAGGTGTTCCTGCAGTGGATTTGCTGATTCAAGACTGGCTGCCTGCACAATCTTATCACTTGGTCATCACTGGCTTCTAACAGTACCTACTTCACTGTCCCTTAGTTTTTGCATACAACAAAAGGGTAAGGTGACGAGTTAATGAGGTTTTAGGATGTGCAAAACGTTTGGTTGATTAAATAATTTAGATCCTATAGTTACCAATTTAAAACTGATTTTTTTGGACGACCAAGAATTTACTGAGAACCCTACTGTTAATTTTAATTGACCCTACATTCAACCAATAGTCATTTTCAATGTGGTTTAAGTTTAAAATACAAATTGTTAGTACGAGTAGATTTTAAATCACAGTTTTAACATAACAGTTTTCAAACATCTTATCTATCCCAAAGTTAAGGACAGTCCAACTAATCATCCGTGGAAAAAACAACTAATTTCAGCTCTGATAAGAGTTATTTTCAATGCAAGTGAAGCCAAGTTTTTTATTCCAAATTAGCGAATTTCAACCCTGGAACTTTGAATAGAATTGCGTTACAAAATAAAAAGTTCTACAGTTCTGATCAGTGCTCACTCAGCAAGGAAGTGCATGAACTTATCTTAATTCCAAGTAGTTGTTTACTAGTGTAATGATGATAAGAAAATAAATATCTGAGATGAGTAGCAAACTACTATCCAGGTGATAGTGATTAGTCTAAGTATTCTTATCAGTAATTTAATAGTTTTTTTTATTCATATTACATTTCGAAATATGTTTTACGTAACTCAGGAAAAATGTGTCAGATTGTCTACTTTTGTATTACTGTTTTACATACATCGATACATCTTGGAAAATTTAATATGTATTGAGGCTGAAGTGAAAGAACTATGTTTTGATTGTCAGCTAAGTTTTGGTATATGGCAAATTGAATTGGCTGAAACAATCGTGTGTATGGATGGATACAGACTGACCACAATTAATTGTTGTCTGACCTTTATGGAATTTACTATGTGGGTAATTCATGGTATGTCCAGTTTATTTTTAAACTTGTTAAGCATTATTTCCCTATAAAAACCTGTAAAACAATGGTAAAATTAATTTTCTGAAATATGGCCAGAACGATTTAGGTAAAAATCAAGTATATTATATTCCTTTAAACTCAATTAAAAATGGCTTAAATACCTTAACTGTCAGGTGATCCTTGGAGTAGTATTGCACTACTGCAGTTTCAGCCCTCATGGAGCTTTCTTCAGGTGTCATAGGAAGTCAAAAGTTGTCATTCATACGAATTCGTCACATTTAAACTACGAGAACACAAATACGGACACAAGCACGTACATAAAAAATGAATACACACGTAAGAGTCACAAACATTTTCCATTTTTCCTTTAAACTCTTAACAAAACGCTATAAAAATTACAGTTCAAAATTTATTACAATTTATGTGATTTCCCCATAATACTCCACCCCATAAAACATCATATAGCTACTCCATAACCTCTTAAAAGCTCATCCATGTTAAATGTTGTTGACAAGCCATTAGGAGAATAGTATATTTTGTACCTAGTTGATCCCTCAAATTATGTCTTCACATAACCTTAAAGTTGTAGTTGTGTAGACCATCAGTGTGAATTATATTGTGGTGAATAGTGGTAATAGGGTATAGTGTGGTGAAAAATAGCGTTCGTACCACGGACCGAAATGGTTTTGCAGCTCTCGATCGTTTTAAGTTCTTGACTTCGTCTCGAGCTTAAAAACTATCTCGAGCCAGCAAAACCACATTTTCGGCCCTAGGTACAAAATATACTATTGTGTCAGATTGCTGATACTCTTTATTATTTTCAATGAAAATTTAAAAATAATTTAAATCCTCTAGATTTTATTTGTGAAATTGTTTGACTTTTTTGTGAACTGCACACTTATTTGTCTAGGAAAGATTTTTTGAGTGAATTAATTCCTAATTCATATGTATAAAATAAAGTTACCGTACAGTTATGTTTAAGTTCAGATAAATATTACATATCAAATCCTGAAGGATTACTACTTTCTGCTGCTAAAAACCTTGAGTTACATAGTTAAATATTTTAAAAGTGTAAAACAATATGACATGAGAGATCATACAGGATGTTTCAAAACTAATCTGTCCCTTCAGTGACTAACCATAACAGTATATAACTTTTTAACTACCTATTGAATGTATCAATAAAAATAGTTTCACTTAAAAAGGATTTAGTGTAAGTTATCCTTAAATTAAAACCAAAACATTGCAAAACGTATACAGCTACCTAAGAAATAAAATAATAAAAAACAGAAACCTCCTTTAAAACAGGTTTCACCTATCATCAAGGTTATTTCAGTAAAGGTTATATTCTTGTCTGTGGATAACTGGTTTTGCATAATTTTGAAATTGACTGCTCTGTTTTCAAAATTAAATTCAACTTTTGACTTTATTAAAAAAGAACATAATGTTCATCAAGCCAATAATCCCCCAAGTGCCTGGTGATAATATGCTTATGTTATTGGACCTGATAAACTATCTGAGCTATTCAGAAGTCAACAACTGTTCCCTGATGTTAGGAGAGAGACGGAGATAATTCAGTATCAGTCTTCTATCTCACTCTGAGAGAAACTTGTCTACTCAAACATAACAACTGTTGCCAGTGCCATGAGTTTCATTCATAAACATAATTATTGTGTTTGTTTTACTTAAGTGTAAAAACTTCAGTTTGTGTACCTGTTACCACATCAAAGTGTTTGTGACAAGTGATAGTGTGGATATTTCACTATTTATTTTCCAAAATGGTGGAAGGGAGCAAAAATATGGTGTTTTATCAACCCTATAAGTACAGCTCTATGACAAGTCTGCAAGGTAAAGTTTGATATTAGTTTTCTTTTTTTTTTTGGAATTTAAAGAAGTGTCTTCTATTACTTGATTTTAGTTTACTTTAACATTAATGAAAAGTAACACTAATTCAAAATTTCAAATTAAAATTGATCATCATTTTAAATTTCAAAGAGCATACACATATAATGGAATAAAGTTTTGAACATAAAATAGACTAAATTACAAATAAAAATAGTATCTTGAAATTTGCTAGTGTAAATTCAATATTTATATCCAAACATTCTTTTAACATAAACATGGGCTGAAATTGTTATCTGTTTGTATGTATGTTACTTGACTCTTTAAAGCTCAAGATCTATATATGAGCTACAATCTACAAATTTGAAACTTAATATGATTTACCATTACTGTACTATAATTTAAAGAACACTTTCATTTAACATTTTTCTTAGTTAACTTTAGATGGCTGATTATTTAGAAATTTCTAATTATAAAATAACTAGCAGAGTACCCGTCCTTCGCACGGGGTTGGCATATAAGTATAACATGCTTATTGCAGATATTCTCAAGCTCTGCGTTTGCAATGAAGCAGGACACAGTTTGATAACATTTCCCTCTTTAAATTTACAGTATTCTATAGTATTAAGCATCTACCATAGCCATAATGTTCTACCACTTCACCTAAACAATAGAGAAAAATAAATAAATTATCAAAAATTTGCAACATTTTCACAAATTATTCATGAAACTAAAAATATGAACATAACTGTAAACAGTCCTACTTTGACAGTTAGTTCTCATTGGGTATTACAGTTTTTTGTCGCTGCTTGGTTCAAATTAGCTGTTTTCATAAATGGAAAAAATATTGTGCTGCACCCTGTTGGTAAATCTTATACCTTTTTAATGCTTTAACCAACTTTTTTAGTTGAAACAGCTGAATTCTTTAACAAGGGAAACAAAGTTTCTTTTGTTTCCTTAGTCAATGGTTATTGATAAACCTAAAGCATTCCGGCCGGTTTTCTCCTTCTCAAAATACCTCGCTGTACAGGCAACACAGGTCATTGATAGAGGGCCAATTGAGAACGAAAAGTCGTTTTGGGGTAGTGTTAGGGTGCATTTGTAACCTAATAGTTGAGATTGTCCAGGGTCAGGTGCTGACTGTGATGAGTTAAGCCCACGCCTATTACGCGCCACTGTTCTGTAGCTGCGGTCGTTATCACAATTACGCCTCTTGTCTATGTTTCGTTGTCGTCGCGTCGGAGGCATTTAAAAGAAGAAAGAAAAACAACAAATAAACAAATTATAGCTACACAAAACAACGATAAATGCACAAATTTAAGTTACAATGATGTTAACACGATCCGTCATAGCGACACAAAACAACTATAAAGACAAAAATTTAAGATACAACCATACTAACACGATCCGTCTTAGGGGTTATGTTTAAACAAACTCAAATAGTAAATAAACGTACTCAATGTGTTTCATTGAATTGAAAAATAAATAACAGCGGTTAAATTATACAGCTGATCAAAATGTAAACAATTATGTTCTTCATAAGGATAACATGGGAACTTTCAAAGCCACTGGGGCAGAGCCCAAGGGACTTTTTTAAAAATGTAAGGCCAGTTTGCAAATCTACGCGACACGCTCTTTCCAATGAGACGTCAATGGATAAAATCGGTTAAGAAATGGCGGAGGAGTTCAACCGACAAAGTTTCATGTAGCGTATTAATTATATAGATTCCCTTTAAATATGAATACACTCATAAGGTTAACATGGGGAACTACAGAGCCACTGGGGCGGAGCCCGAAGGGATTTTTGAGATAAGAATATGCCTATATGTTAATCGGGAATGTGAGCTATCATCATGCCAAATTTCAGCCCAACCTGTCCAGTAGTTAATGCGTGATTGAACTTCAAACAAACAAACGAAGACACAAACTTTCACATTTTTTATAATAATAGTATAATAGGCTAATAATATACTAAATTTTTATAAAAATAAGATTTTTATGTCTTTTCAAAAATCAGATTTTTCTGTTATTTTATGGGGTATTATGGGGAAATCACATAAATTGAAATACATTTTGAACTGTAATTTTTATAGCCTTGGGGGTTAAACCGTTTTGTTAAGAGTTTAAAGGAATATAATATACCTAATTTTTACCAAAATCGTTCAGGTTCTGCTAATTCTGTCCATGTGATAAAAATGATGGGGGTTTCCCACTAAATAGTTATATATATATTTCAGAAATCTAAAAGTTATTTTAGCCAAGGCTTTAAAAATCACAGTAATTTCAAAAATACTTAACACAGCAAACTTGAGGATTGAGCAAATTTCCAATTGTCCTGTTGGATAGTCACTAAAATATTTCCTTAAAATTTTCAAATATTTCAGTAACAATAACTTTTATGAGTACTCAGGGATGCTGCTATAGGGAGGCAATACATTTTAATGTTAATAGCTTAGTATAAAATAGATTTACTATGTTCATAAATAAGCAAACTTTTTTATTTTATTATCCATGAGAATAGCCTATAGTTTGGGCATTTCAAATTTACAGTTTTTTGGGGGGAATTCTCTCTATAACCATTACCTTTAGATATACAACAATGCTTTATTGTTCAAAATTATTGTTTTTAAGCTTAGAAAGAAATTACAAAATGTTACCCATGTTTTTGTGACAAAAATTAGAAAAAGAAATGTTTACTCCTTTCCTGTATATTGGATTGAACATTGAATCCTCATACAATACGTGGAAGTAGCCTACTGGAAAAAGTTTACTGGAAGTATCCATCAAAGTCAATGAATGGCTTAGATATCTGCCAAACATAAAATCGATTGCAATCTAGATGTAGGAAATGCATATGCCCAGTCAGCATAAAAATTGTTGGAAAAGAAAATAAATTGTTTCAAAATTGTTTCAAAATTGTTTTAAAATTGTTTTAAAATTGACAAATTTGGAATTTTGTCTATATTAAAATGAGTTTAAAATTGTTGTACAACAATTTAAAAATTGTTGTACAACAATTTTGAAATTGTTATAAAATATTTTTGAAGTTGTTTAAAACAATTTTGAAATTGTTGTATAACAATTTTGAAGTTGTTGTATAACAATTTTGAAGTTGTTTGGAAATTGTTTTAAAATAGACAAATTTGGAACTTTGTTAGGGTTAATTTCTATTTGAGTTCATAAATAATAAGTACGCCTATAGCAACTAATTAAATATAACATTAATTGATTAGCTTACTATCAAAAACAATGGTGAATAAATAAAAACAAATAAGTATACTGAAATTCTTCTATTTGAAGTAAACAAATTAAAAAAGTAGAGAAGTAACATTCTGGATTAAAAAAGTAGAAATGGATGCATGGATATAAAAATAAAATATTCATGGACAAACTTTAAGTTCTCTACCAGTCAGCACAGAATAAATTATTATCTTTTCAATTGCAGTACAGTACATTTACAGTACATTTCAGTAAAAAATAAGTTCATTCCCGGATTTCCTGGTTCGTAGACACTCTGACAATACATTATTTACACATCATTCAAGCGTCGGCGGCTTCATGATCCTCATCTTCCTGTTCTTCAGGTGCTCTTTGACACCCTGCCCTAAAATTATAACACACAGATTAATATTATATTTCGTTACTAGGGACCCCTGAATGTTTACAGCTGTTGTTTTAAGCAAATGGCATTATAGCAAAAGCTAGTCTAGAATGTTGACTTAAAAAAATTAAAACTTTATTTATAAAAAACTGAAACCCTAAACTGAAATTGTGCCTTTGACATTTTAGTTCTCAGAATTATCTTTCTTTCGACACAAAAATAGTGAAAATCCATCAAGTGGTAGATTCAGAATCGTGAAATAAAAAAACCCTGTCAAGTATTAATGATTGTTGCAGTATTTGTCTGAGATAAAGAAAATCACCTGAGCTTTAGTATAACACAATATACTATCAAAACTGAAACATCCGGAATGAAGAGAGAAAGCTAGTAGCATATTGTTTTGTTAGCCTATGTTTTTAACCTCACTAAGTGAATTTTGTAATACAAGTTATCACACTATACATACCCTTTCTAAGTCTTTGATTTTAATTGTGTCTGTGCCAGCCATGAAGCAACTGATTTCTCTATTTTGCTTTGTTCAATGTTGGCCCATCTCTTCTTCGTCATTTCTTCAAAAAACAAAATGCATTTAATAGAACATTGCAAAAAAAATTTCTGCAATTTTTGTGGGGTTACATTTCTCAAAAATTATATAATAAATGAATAGCCTAACATGTATGTTTGCGCTCAGTATTTTTTTTATAATTTATAAGTCTACAAATATTTTAAAATAGCCACTTTGTTCTAAATTTTATAAGGATTACAAAAATATAATAATATAAGGAAGTAAATTTGCAAATAAATAAGTTATGGGTGAAAAACAGATTTCGTACATCAAGTGTTAGCTATGAATGCATAGCCTAACCATAGCTAGGAATCTGGCCGATAATTTACATCAATATCACTACCTACTTCTTCAGGATCATCAACCAGTCCTTCAAAATCACTTAAATCTTCTTATAATGGACCACGTATATCACTACTTTTTATTTTTAAACACTAAAAAAATGGAAACGTTTAATGAAACACATCAGTCATCGGTGGTTAACCAAGTTGTTTACAAATACGCACGTCAGCTGTCTGCTAAAATATTTTTGGAACTAAAATGAAAAGCGTCTAGAAACAGACATCAGGAGAAAGCTTAGAATCTGCCGAAAACGATACCAATCTTGATCCAGTTCAATCTGATTATTGATTAAGTCAGTCCCAGAGCCTTCGCCATAAACGATGTTTGTGTGTCGCAAAAGCGACGCATAACACCACGGCGGATGTGTTGTGCATCGATTATGCGATGCTTAACACTCGGAGGGCTAAATTATGAGTTAACCAAGTTTCAAGGTCTAGTAAGTTAACATATTTGTAAACTTAACTTAATAGAGTTGAAAACCCCCTGCAGCCCTTGACACAACAAGTTTAAAAATAGGCTAACTTAACTTAAATCAATCCCTAGCTGATGAAACTTAGCTAGGCCTAAGCCTAAATACCTAGTCATATTACTTTTAAGCAGTTACCGCATTAGGCGACAGGCCCTACAATGTCATTTTCTATTTGAGTTGGGGACGCCACCTAAGTGAGTAATTCAATTAAATTATGAGTTTATAAACTTAGGCCTAATGTTAGATGCCTTGTGTAAGTTAGGTCTAAGTTATTTTAGTTTTGGTTACTGTAAATCCAACTGTATCATTTAGCAACGACCATTTACTAAAAACCCAACGGTAACTTACAGTTTCAGTAACATAGCCTGTTATATTTATGAGAAACAAAAGGAAATTAATTATAGTTTGCTCACATAGGCTAGGCCAATTCTAGAGATGGGCCATAATCATGTTACCTACCAAATACCTATCAAAGTTATTGGTTAACTTAGACCAGGAACTATTGGAGTACCTCTATTTCATTTTAGGTTAGGCCTATATGTTAGTATAGAATAACTGAATCACCACTGACTGAAAAGGCCTAAGTAAGTTATAACTCACCTTGTTTGCTGCTTAAGAAGCTATGTAGGATAAAAACAGTAAACTTAATGCACCTAATAACTAATAACTTTTCAAACATAAACAAAATGCCGTGATGCCCGTCAGCCCGTGATCAAGATCAAATCAACAGACTGGAGACTGCTGTAGTCAGTGAACTGCGAAACTCTGGTATAGTCTAGAGTAGATGATACTTGTAAGAATGTTAAAACTCATCCAGTATACTTATACAATTACAAATAATAAATAATTTATTTTCACGACTGTTAACCTGTTGTTATTAACCGTTAAACTTATACAGGTCCCGCAAGATGGTCTAGGTCTAACTTGAGTTTGGCAGTCTGCCCCTCCTCCATGACTCTTTCACTTGATTTTACCACTATCGTACTGTACTCTAATCAAAATCGCGGGGAGCTGTCGTTGCTGACGCATTGGCCACATACACACAGCACGACACACTGACTATTATCCTACAAGTATAAGTGTCCCATAAGGAAAAATAGAAAAAATGCGCGAAAGATTTAAAATTTGGGCGAAAAAACATGAAAATCATTATAAATCTTTTTACAAAACAGACCATTTCAAGATTATGGATGGCCATTGTAATTTTTGTAACTTATATTACTAAAATTAAACCGCTTTCATAAATATAATATCCAGAACATATTGGTTTTATAACATTAATTATTATTTTAATGATTTATAGAAGTTGCATTTAAATTGGTTTAAAACAATTTTTTGATTGTTGTAAACTTATATCAATACAATTGTGATACGTGTTTTCGAAACATTATTAAAATTGTTCTAAACTATTTTAAAACTGTTGCAAACTTATATCAAAACAATTTTGATATGTGTTTTCGAAATAGTATTAAAATTGTTTCTAAACAATTTTAAAACTGTTGCAAACTTATATCAAAACAATTTTGATATGTGTTTTCGAAATAGTATTAAAATTGTTTTAAAACAATTTTAAAATTGTTGCACACTCATATCAAAACAATTTTAATATAGTTACTAACCATCTATATTAAAACAATTTTGAAATTGTTTAAAACTTATATTAAAATTGTTTTATATCCAAACTTATTTTGAAATTGTTGCAAACTCTTTTAAAATTGTTGTACAACAATTTTTTTGGCTTTTCAACAATTTTTATGCTGACTGGGTGGTTGTTTTATCAACAAATATTAGAAAATATGAGAAGCCCCTAAAACAAATTTACATATTTGAAATAAAAATATATTATTATTATTATAGATATTATAAAAAACACATTTGAGAAAAAACAGTACTGTTCTGCTGCATTTTTGGATGTCCAACAGGCGTTTGAAAAGGTGTGGCATGACGGACTTCTGTTTAAACTCAAAACGTCTCTCCCTCACTCTTTGTACAACCTTCTAAAATCATATCTGACCAATCGATCTTTTCAAATAAAATTCGAAAATTCGTTATCCGATCTGAAGCCGATAAAGTCTGGAGTACCTCAGGGGAGTGTTCTTGGTCCCTTGCTATATTTGATATATACAGCAGACATCCCTATGGTCCCCAACGTCACAGTTGCTACGTTTGCTGATGACACTGCACTGTTGTCGAGTCATGTGGACCCTCAAGTCGCTTACATAAATCTACAAGCTGCCTTGACTGAACTCCAGTATTGGCTTAAAAAGTGGAGGATAAAAGTCAACGAAAACAAGTCCAAACATATTGTTTTTACTCTGAGAACAGGGTACGGTACAATCCTCCAGTAACCGGTAATGTAGCCTTAACGGAGGCAGACAGTGTAAAATATTTAGGTCTAACTCTTGACAAAAAATTAAATTGGAAATCTCATATCTGGTGCAAGAGACAGCAAATGGAATTAAAACTTCGTAAACTCAATTGGCTACTATAGGTCGGCCGCTTAGAAAACGACCTCCTCCAGCATTGGTTTAGCATTAGCGCGCAGGTCGTTTTCTAAGCGGCCGAACTATAGGTACGAATTCAAAATTATCATTGGCTAACAAAATTTTACTGTATAAAGTTATGATCAAACCAATTTGGACATACGGAATTCAACTTTGGGGGACCTCGAGCAAATCCAACATCGAAATTCTTGAACGATTTCAGGCTAAGGCACTGTGAAGAATTATTGGCGCACCCTGGTTCGTATCCAACACTACAATTAGGAATGACTTCAAAATTAAATCAGTGAAAGAAGAAATTACAGACCTTAGCAAAAATTATCAAGAAAAATTAGAATATCATCCGAGCAGTCTTGCTGTTAATCTGCTGGACAATAGTCAGTGCATTACCAGGTTAAAAAGTGTTGTGCATGTGCTGGACCTAAGCTACAGATTTCTGTAAATGTTTAAATGACTGATCCAATTTTTGGCAAGACTTGTTGATGAACAGGTGCTTGCTTCCTGACATTGTTTGATATATGTTTTACTTATTGTTCTCATATTTGAAGTTTGAACAGATTGTAAAATAAATTCTGATAAAAAAAAAACATATTTGAAAAATACGGTTATATTAGGTGACGAAAAAACATAGATAAAACATACTCCTCAGTCCTCAGTATTTTTATTTATGGTAAAAATCACACACAGGCTAAAAATTTGATAGGGTAGTATGATTTTTTATTGATACTAGAGGTCACCCAAAAAATGTGTATTGTGTCTCTATTTTCACCCCACGCTGTAAATATAATATGGAATTTATTCCATTTCTTTTGATTTTCTGTTTATTGAGCCTAATTTGTAGAGAGATTCTCCACGTGGATATTTGTACATCTACAGTCAAATATCTTTCTAACAGTATGCTTAGATTTTCCCTGCGAAGCACTCGAGTGGAGAGAAAAGGGTTTTCAAGAAACATGCTTGCCTATTAATATATAGGATTAATACTTATTGATCTATAATCAATGCTTGGGACTGACGTTTTCTAGCTGCATGTTTACAGCCTTCTGCTATGACGTCAAAACAGAAAATGACAAAGAACCTTGTCTGCTTGTCTCGTCTCGTCGTCTGCCTATAACCAGAAAAAGTTTGGTTTTGTTTGGATGTTTCTTATCAACCATATGTTCTGCCTGCCTAGTGCCTGCTGTTTTGAGAATAATTTAAGATTTTATTGGTTATGCGTAGGTGTGATAGTAAATAAATAAGTTTGTAATTCTTTTACATACCACAAAACTCTGAAGCGTTCTTTTTATAATATTTTGTGTAGGGTATTAGACTAATTTGCTAGCCTACATAAAATAAAATCCACTCTTCATCAAACCAATGTAGGTAACGTAACTTAATTAAAGTATGAAATCTTATTTGTTCAAAAGTAGGTTATTGACTTTAACATAATGTTAGTTTGATATATTATCGGATATTAGTTTTCACACGATATAGCTATGAACATTATAAGCCATAAGTTAGGGTCTTAAGAAGAATCGTTTAGGCCTACACTGTTTTGCGTGGTTGTATTGGTTAGCATTGTTCAGTTTGGTTTGGCTTATAACTTAACTAGATAACCCGTTGCTCAAAATCAAGCAAAACTCCAAATTGTAATAAAAGAATAAAAAACTAAAACAAACAACTAGACCTCAATCTAATGTCACTCAATGAATATACCGCTTTGGTCAGATAGGCACCTAAGTTATAGACACTAACAACACTGATAAACCTAAAGCCAGTTCAAGTTGTTCTGCTTGAATCTCAGGCTGCTTAAAATGACAGGAATAAAATAAGTTAGCTTTCAGATGTTCTTTGCAGTAAATGTATAGATGACTTAGGCCTGTAGATTTATAAATAGGTTGTAGAAGGAAAATTGGTAAGCCTACTAGGCTAAGTTAGGTATGTTGGTTTTGGTTGTAAGTTAACTTATTGTTTAATTTTTGTTTTAGGTTCAGGCAAAATGCACGGGGCTCGCCGTGTGATTGCTTTCTGCTTTATGACAGCAGTACTCCCTACAATCTTGCTGATTATTCCTCTCTACCTCCGGCACAGTGTGTATGTCGATGTTATATATGCAGTTGCGGAATCAGATGTTGTGGAAATGGGTAATGGGATATCAACTATCTTTTGTCAGGTAAAGTACCATAAGATAAATAGTCACTGCTACATTTTTTAAATTTATGTATGAACTGACAGCATGCAAATCATCATAATAGCTGTTTCTTGCTCTCTTAATTTACTTTGTCACACTCATTTTTATGTTCCCACAATATTTTTTTTATTTACTCCAGATTTTCAGCCACAAACACAAAATACTAAGCCTTAGGGTGTAATAGCTAAACAAAGTTGTGTGGTTGTGTAAACAAGTTGGCAACTCAGAAAATACACTTGGATAATCTGTTGCACAGTTATTGTTGACGAATATTTACTTTCTTAAAGATAAACCTCATATTTGACTTTTGTTGGAAGTTTAACTTAAGGGTGAGTGCATCAGTGCATGACCACCCCAAGTGAATGACCGTTTTGTATAAAACCATCAGGTATCAAGTTTTTTTGCCTAGTCGGTATTTATTCCGTAAAGGTGCCTCCAAACAAATTTTTAATTTTGATATCTTACTTTATAGTTTTTTACCTCGTGAATCCAAATATACCATTATTTTTCACCGCTGATAAATATTTCTCAAGATATCACCGTAAAAATATACAACATTACAATAAACAAGGTAGGATGGATAACATTCACTTGTGGAATGAACTGTGGATTAACTAAGCCTACAGCTGACTGTTTTCAACCACACGACAAGCAACTGGAAGTAAAAACTTTTGAACTTTATTAACTCATTGATTCTGTCATCGGCATTAGATGCCAAGTGACGTAATTTTACTTCACTACAGCTAGAACTCAAAACAAAAATACTCATACTCATACACCAAAAACATTTTTTCTCATATGCAAGCATTTTTGAAAAATTAATTTGAAGTGTTTTTCTCAGGATTTTAATTTTACAAAAACAGTCTGCAGGCGACATAAACTAACAACTCGATACACTATAGACCTAACCTAAACTTGAACTTACCTAATCTAACCTACCTTCAAAGGACTTAATGCAGTCACCAATTCACATAAAGCACGACCTACCACCCTGACATGCCTTTTCTGACATCAAAAGGAGTTTGCTTACTTTCTAGAGTTTGTTAGAATAGTTAGTTTGTTAGAATAGCACCATTTTATTATGTAATTTCCAAACGGCGAAATATAAATCAATAAATCATTAATAAGAATAAAATACTGGTAACAATAATACATTTTATTAGCCTAAATGTGTTAACTTATTGGTCTTAGAAAGGAAAAAGTATAACTTAATAAGGTGATTTTCATATTACAGAATCAGAGTTAGCTAATAAAGTTGTCACTTCCATTTGCTTGACTATGATGGAAAACAATCAGCTGTTTTCTTACTTAGCCCATATAGTCCAGGACCTGACTAGGGTTCTGTGTGCATGTCGTGTATAGAGAATTTTGCTTTTGCATTTCAATATAGGTGTCTTAGGAAGTGTTTTCCACTCGGGTGTCAAGTTCGCACCTGGTACGTTTTCGAGCTATGACGTCATCAAAATGGCGGCCATTGATTTTTTTAAATCGTATATTTCGCAAACTATTTGTCGGATCGGAATGAACTTTTTTTTGTTTGAAAGATAATTTTAAATGCTACCTGTTTTAAATTTACACATTTGTTGTATGTTTAGTACATTCTTCGTAATTTTGCAAAAACCTGTATTTTTAAATATTTTTGTGTTATTTTTGTTTGTAACGTTTTATTGATACAATTTATCAAAAACCACCAATGAAAAAAGTTGTAGAACGTTTAAAAATCTTTACAAAAATACCAAATTCGATATGTTTTACTCAAAAGATTACGTCAAGAAACTAGATAAATCTCATAAAAACACCAATTTTGGCGCAAAAACGCCTATTAGTCCGGCATCTAGGGCAATTCGCAAGTCTTATAAAGACAGTTTTACCATTCAATGTTGATGTATGTGTCTAAATAAGTGTTTTCAACTCGGGTGTCACATCTGCACCCACTGCAGTTTCCGGTTATGACGTCATTAAAATGGTGGAAAGGGCTATATTAAAAATAGCTATATTTTATATACCATGTATCGGATCGGAATGAAAATTTTTTTGTTTGAAAGATAAGTTTACATGCTATCTTACTTACATTTACACTTTTGTTGTATGTTTAGTACATTTTTCGTAATTTTGCAAAAACCTATATTTTTAAATATTTTTGTATTATTTTTGTCGATAACGTTTTATTGATACAATATATCAGAAATAACTTAAAGACAAAGTTGTAGCACGTTAAACGAGCTTTACAAAAATACCAAATTCGATATGCTTTACTCAAAGGATCACGACAAGAAACTAGAAAATCGTACAAAACAACCTAATTTGGCGCAAAAACCAATATAAATCCGACATCGATGGATGTGTACGAGTCATATATAGATAGTTTTACCATTCAATGTTGATGTATGTGTCTAAAGAAGTGTTTTTAAGTGCCTGGATTGATTTTCAATTAATCTATTAAATTAACATTGTTTAAGAGTACCTATGTTTTTTGAACGGTAAAAGTGTTTTTGAACGGTTATTGGTTACCGGTACTGAGAAAATAAAAACATTTTTAATTTAAAACTCCAATGTTATTCTTATGGACAATATTGTAACTGTAGTAGTTGGCTTGTTTATGGATATATTTTGATCAAACTTGGCAGATTTATTTATCCAGTACTAAGCTATTAATATTTTAATAAAAAATCCACTTTATTAGCAGCGAACCTAGGTATTCTTAAACAATGTTAATTTAATAGATTAATTGAAAATCAATCCAGGCAAATGGAAATTCGCTTAGTCGACAGGATTGCTGCACCGGGGGTATTTATATAGTGGAACATTATTATGGACTAATTACATTGATTTGTTGTGCTTTTATTTGCATAAAATAAGGTAATGCTCTTATTTTAAGTAAAATAGTTGGTGAAATCGTAACTAGCAATTTTAAAGACATCATAACCGGAAACTGCAGTGGGTCCAGACGTGACACCAGAGTTAAAAACACTTCTTTAGACACATACATCAACATTGAATGGTAAAACTGTCTATATATGACTCGAACACAGCCATCGATGTCGGATTTATATGCGTTTTTGCGCCAAATTAGGTTGTTTTGTACGATTTTCTAGTTTCTTGACGTGATCCTTTGAGTAAAGCATATCAAATTTGGTATTTTTGTAAAGCCCTTTTAACGTGCTACAACTTTGTCCTTAAGTTATTTCTGATATATTGCATCAATAAAACGTTATCGACAAAAATAACACAAAAATATTTAAAAATATAGGTTTTTGCAAAATTACGAAAAATGTACTAAACATACAACAAAAGTGTAAATGTAAGAAAGATAGCATGTAAACTTATCTTTCAAACAAAAAAATTTTCATTCCGATCCGATACATGGTATGTAAAATATAGCTATTTTTAATATAGCCCTTTCCGCCATTTTAATGACGTCATAACCGGAAACTGCAGTGGGTGCAGACGTGACACCCGAGTTGAAAACACTTATTTAGACACATACATCAACATTGAATGGTAAAACTGTCTTTATAAGACTTGCGAATTGCCCTAGATGCCGGACTAATAGGCGTTTTTGCGCCAAAATTGGTGTTTTTATGAGATTTATCTAGTTTCTTGACGTAATCTTTTGAGTAAAACATATCGAATTTGGTATTTTTGTAAAGATTTTTAAACGTTCTACAACTTTTTTCATTGGTGATTTTTGATAAATTGTATCAATAAACCGTTACAAACAAAAATAACACAAAAATATTTAAAAATACAGGTTTTTGCAAAATTACAAAGAATGTACTAAACATACAACAAATGTGTAAATTTAAAACAGGTAGCATTTAAAATTATCTTTCAAACAAAAAAAAGTTCATTCCGATCCGACAAATAGTTTGCGAAATATACGATTTAAAAAAATCAATGGCCGCCATTTTGATGACGTCATAGCTCGAAAACGTACCAGGTGCGAACTTGACACCCGAGTGGAAAACACTTCCTAAGACACCTATATTGAAATGCAAAAGCAAAGTTCTCTATACACGACATGCACACAGAACCCTAGTCAGGTCCTGGACTAATAGTTCATTCCACTTGTAAATGTCATCCATCCTACCTTCTTTATTGTAATGTTGTATATTATTACGGCGATATCTTGAGAAATATTCATCAGCTGTTAAAAATAATGGTATATTTGGATTCAGGAGGTAAAAAACTATAAAGTAAGATATCAAAATTAAAAATTCGTTTGGAGGCATCTATGCAGAATAATTACCACCTAGTCTATCAAATGGTCTTAAATGTAACTTTAACTCCTAAACGAGTAGTTTTAGGCTCTAGGAAAAATGCCAAGAATACAAAAATATTTCAATTGCATTTTCTATTAGAAAATGTGATAAAATATCTAGGGTGTTCTATAACAAATTTCAAAGTTGGTCGCCATAATGGAAAATGGTGGCTGAATTTTGAAAACCTTAGGCCTATTCATATTTTTGACCACCACAAAAAAATAAAGGAATGTCCCCCATTTAAAGTTTTCTCTAATTCTTACCATTTCTGATAACCCAAAATGGTGGCCTCCTTGAGTTGATCACACTGTATCTCATGTGAACCTTGAAACTTGACTAAGTCCACTCTACATAAATTAACAATGTAGGCTACCGTTCATACTCAATGAATTTCTTGTCTTTTTAGGAGCATTCCCTGAGGATGAATTCAACATTCAGTGCCTTTCAAATGTCAGGAGTGCCCGAAATATCAACAACTAATCGAAAACATCTTCAATTAAAAAAAAGTATGACATTACCAGACGACACATTGGAGTATTGGGGTTTCTACCTTCCTAGTGGATCAACTGTCAACCTCTCTGTTTGTGCAAGGTAACTGTTAAGGTCTGTTCGCACCGGTGTCGCTAGACGTATTTTACATCTTGAGTGTATTAACACTTTGTCCACGCACTGCACACACTGCTTGCTACATCTGGCTAAATTGCAGGCGAGCTGTTGTCGCTATTTCATCACACTCTAACTGCTCACAGATCAAGCCCATAGTAGATCTTGGAATGACATCCAATTCAATACCATGGTGTGATTCTGCATTTACTAGGCCTATGCCACTGATGGAGAGTGATAGCAGTGATAGTGACGACAAAATGTTGCTGTAGTATTCAGCATGTCAAAGATATAAATGGATCCATCCAAATTAATCGAAAAAGAAATGAATTTTTCGAGTTCCATTATCTAATGAATGATGACTAAAAGTTTAGATCATACTACAGACTGGAGGGTGATGTGAAGGTGACAGCCCATAGCTACTGAGTTCCTGTTAATTTAAAACACTCTTCTGTCTCTTATCCCCGTTTGTTCTTGGAGTAAGGGAGACTGCCTCTTATAAAAAAAAGTTAAAACCAAACTCTTGTCCGAGTTAAAAAAATATTGAAGTATTGTTGTGTAGTTTAAATAAAATTGATTAAAAAGCACATTTTTTATGAGGAGTGATTTTTAATGGATGAATGCACAATGACAATTTACATATGGTCATGCATTTGATGTAATTAGTGAAAGACTGGTAGAAACAAAGGCATTTAAAATTAGTACAAATATACAAGACAACTTGACTGGAACATTACTATAACTGTATACAACAATAAGTGGATTGGTTTTTAACTGGCCCCAGAAACACAAAACATTAAAATAGGTCACTGTCACTGGTAACATTTTCAACCAAGGAAAGTATGAGTTAAAGGTAGAGTTTTTTACAAGTCTAATTTTGTGTTACTTGGGCCAGTTTGGACTCTTTCCCATTCAGGTAAGCCTGCTAGCCTCACGAAAAATCCTTATAACCTAGGTCATTGTGCTTTATGTTACAAATCTTGCTCACAAAAATCCTAAAAAAACAAATTAGGCCTACCGGTACTTGTTTTTTATTCAAAACATTCACTGTATCCAATCTCAATGTACGCAAGTAGTGCTAAGTTTAAATGGCAAAAGTCACTGAGTTCTGTAGTTTGCGGATTTGCCGAGAAATACAGAGACTGCTGGGAGTTGTCTTACCTAGTAAAGAATTACATTTGTATGGTTACATTTAGTTTAAAGTTAATTTTGTTGAACAGGTACGATGGGGCCCACATCCTGGTAGTGAGTGGTGACAAGATCCTGCACACTTGTGGTCCAATCAAACCTGGGGCTCAGACTCCTCATATGGCCCAGGGAAGGGGACAGGTAAAGCTCATCTTGCGTAGGTTTACTGACGAGGCCAAGAGCAGTGTTTTCCAACCTTTTTTTCTGGCTTATCACTTAACTAGTCAAAAACATTTTGCCTACCTCAAACGTATAGCTTGGATGGCTTGTGTTTGGTAATTATTGATGAAATGTGTTTTTTTTATTATTATTAGCTATACTAACTTATTTTTGAAACATAGGTATAAACCTCAAGAAGTTTATATATTTCTAAATTGATAATACTTGGCATATAAGTAGGCCTACGCCAGCAAAAGATTTGATACAAAATAGGCACAATCAAGCTTCATCTCAGTTTTCCTTTGAACAAACAATATGAAAACAATTATTTTCATTTTGATATTCATTATAGATTTCTGAACCTCATGGATCTATTACCCGGAAAAACAGCTAGAAAAAAATGTTTGGCAGGAAAACTATTTTCTCAGGAGCTTATTATTGATTTCACTATGTTTTGTATGTTTAATAGAACTAGATTTCAACACATACCAATTTATATCGGTTCAGTAACGTCAATACAGCCCTAAAATATCTAGCTAACAATGCCTTGGGTCTTAGTGAAAATATTTAATGTAAAAACCTGTACATGATTAGAAGATAAACACAAATATTTATTCAGGTTGTGGTGACCTATGAAGGAGCTGCTCAAGAGATTATACACTCCGACTCCTCGGCTTACAAGACAGAGTACAGACCATTCAAAGGACAAAAAAACGAAGAGAGTGAAAACCACGGGGGAGAAGTGGAAGACGAGTTTGAGACAGGACGTCTAGGTACAACAGGTGAGCCTATTGCGAAAATTAGGAAACAGAGACATCAAAAGGCTAGGAGAAAACACAATGAACTTGATGCTGACGTGTATGAGGATGACACAAAAATCCGAAAAAGGTCCTTGGAAAATCTATTAAATTATAATGATCGAGAGAGTTATTTGAGGAGGAAAAGAAGAGCGGAGGCCGTACCTAAGATTAAGCTGGATGGAGGTATTGCCCATGGAGGTGATGCCATCAACTTCACTAAGAAAGAAAACGACTCGTCAATCTCGAGTTTTGAACAGAACCTGCTCACTTGCCATGACGGAAGGATTCTGTTGCATAAAGAGTTCTCACCGTCAGAACTCTGCACAAGCTTCAACTACTTGGAAAACAACCATTCCCATCTACAAACCACCCATCAAGTCGTCAAGAACGGGTACTACTATTACATATTTTACAGTGATAATGATTTCAGAGACAACTCTATACATGCCATATTCGATATTTACAAACCTACTTATCAATATGTCAACTATTCTAAGGGATGTATTAACGTCACTGAGTGCAGATTTCCAATCGGTATGTTCTCTGATGATATGGTCGTGGTGGAAGTCCCGACAAGAGACGGAATAGAACATGAATCTGATGATATAACTCACCTTATTTCAACATGCCATCCAAGAACAGCTGTTTACGCTATTTTTCCTGTAACTGTTCTTTTCCTTATCTTAGGCTGTGCTTTCTTATAGGCCATAAAAAGACTGAATATTACATTTGAGTTGGCTAATAGATCTTGTAAAACTGTAAGGTAAACAGGGAATACTTTTCAAATTCCACGTGTTTAGGGTAAAGCCGATTCAAGGCAATGCCTAGAATCTTTTATGGGTAGTGATGCTAAAATTAGAATATTGGCTTGTGCATGAAAACTGTCATAAATTAATGATCAATAGATTCTATTATATGTCTAACTTTGTAACTGAACATTCTTGAAATTAAGACACAAACACGCCTTGACATTATTTATTATTACGTAAAATAGACAATTGAGAATTTTATTTAACACGAGTGACGATAATTGGGGTGTTTGTGCAACTATTCTTTCAATAATGTGCATTTTACCTAACATACAGAATGTTTTTCATTATTTTTCTCCAGAAAATTTCTATTATTTGCATATAATTTGATTACTTTGTTGCTTCGAGACTCAACCAAGGCCCCACTAGAAAAACAGGCCATGCTTATGCTGCAGCGCAACACAATGTCACAGTGGTGGATAGTTATACTAAAGTTGCTACGGATTCTGCAAAATGGCCTGTTTTTCTAGTGGGGGCTTGACTCAACCTACTTATCACATCTTAAAGTTACAATATCAAATGTAGTTTGAATTAATTTGTATAAGGAAAGCATTGTTGACAGTTCATTGGAGATGTGACTTGGAAAGAGTATGGTAAGCAGATAAGACTATTTTCCCATCATCCATTTTTTAGTGATGGTGTGGTCTTCAATGGATATCAGCACAGAAAACATACTACTATAACCCAGAATGCCAACCGCATGGTAAAAAGCATTAAGCGTTTTGAGAGAGCTTTGCCTGTCAATCCATAGGCAGCGCCACCAGTGTTGCCATGCACTCAGCATAGCAACGCTGGTGGCGCTGCCTACGAATTGACAGGCAAAGCTCTCTCAAAACGCTTAATGCTTTTTACCATGCGGTTGGCATTCTGGGTTATAGTAGTATGTTTTCTGTGATATCAGACAATTGCCTTGGTGTGTTCTCCTGAACTTGCTACTGTGTTTGTAAATAGAGAGTTGGAGAGTGATTTTTGTTTGATATTTCCACATCATGCAAAATCACCTAAGACCGACAATTTCATTCACCATCACCATACCATCAATACTTCTTATTGTTGTTCAATGCATTCCCTTTGTCAGTGTTGTATGAACGTTTTCTAGTAATTACATGGCCTTTAATCATAATAAATGCTTTAATATCTCTGAAAGTTTTCTATAAACATTGACTTAGTAAATCTTTTTTTTTCATCAGTATTGGTTGTTTTTGAGGTGATGTTTAATGACACTAACATGTTTACAAAAATGTATTGTCAATCTATTGATCTTATTGGCTCAATTCTTAACATTCCAGTGTACCATATCGTTTTATTTTATACACATTTTAGGAATGTTTTTTCTTTATTTGGCAATTTCTTCATAATTCCTAATCACTTAAACTTTGGTTGTAATTTGTAAAACATAGTTTTTTTTTATAGGACATTGTGAATAGTTATGTAAGTGAAGTGTTTTAGACACAGCTATTTTAAATATTCAAAATATAGGTCTATTTTGATAGATTTACAACTAGACCCATAGGTCTACCATCATTATTGAAAGAAACTGGATAGGCAAATCTATTTTTATCAGTTGTCCATTAGTTCCCAAAATAAAGTTATTTTGTTTCCTCCAATAGTCTGAACGGTTGTGGAGAAAACAGTTTTATTCGAGGCAAGGGTAAGCTTTTTTTTAAATTCAGTATTAATTGTATTTCTGTTAAGAAAATGTAAATATTATACCAATAGTTTTTGTTTTAGTTTGACTAAATTTACAACTATTTACGTAGGTAGTTAAGGTCTAAGTGTACTTAATACTTTAATAGGGGATAACAGGACAGGGTACGTGCAATATGTTTATTTATAATACTAAGAATAAAATGCTTCCAGCTTATAAAGCCTGTATAGGTTGTACATTTTATTGTTAACATATGTAAATTTGTAAACTAATGTTAGATTTATTCAGCTTTAAAGTTTCTTATTCACTAGTTAATAAAAAAACCATACATTTAGTATGCTCTAATATCCTGTAAAATAGTCTTACAAACTTGGGACCATTAAAAATTACAGAAGTGTTTTTTTTATTTTAGCTTTTACATAGGCTACTATACATGGAATTTGATTAAATGTATACTTAGTAAATTCTAAGATCTAAATTACGGTATAACTTTGTTAAGGCTTGCAACAAGGAATGAACAAGTCAATATATTTCAATTTTATTACTACGAGTACTTATATTGGAGTAAATGCAGCAAGTCCCTTATTTATCTTGATTAATAGAGATTCTAAGTTGTCTGGATCAATTAAAGTTTAGACTAAATGAAACGACCCTTTTATAGAGAAATACAGTTATATTCCGTAACTGTTTGGGTGCTCCTTGTATACAATAAAACATCTTTTAGAGAAAAACGTTGATATGATGCATTCTTAATTTTAAAATACAAACCGTAAGTGCTGAAATATATGTACAGTTTTTGTGTAGTGTACAGTAACGCATTTCTAACCAGAGCTGCAAGCAATGTTCATAAACTACTGTCAAATATCTGTTAGGATTTGAAGTTTATACAATGTAGTGAATTGGTTTAATGGTGGTTTACTGTAGGCATACTAATTTGTAGAGATTTTTTCCCCAAGTCCCAAGTTTGTACGACAACTATTATAATGTATAGTTTTGTAAATATAAATAATGAAAATGTAAAAGGAAGAGTAGAAAATAAAATCAAACTATAAACTAGTCAGGCATTGACATGATATACATCAATTCATACTTAAGGTAGGTACCTAAAGATATGAGGATTTTTAGTAATACAGTTGTTTAGCGCTTGATAAAATTATGTATTCATGATTAAAACTTATTTTTTTAACACAGACGTTTCAAGTTGATAAATTTAAATTGAATATACAATAGACTCCCTCTTGTTCGGAGATCTTTCTAGTTTCTACGAACTAAAGTCTGAACCATTACAAACTAATACAACAAAGAATGGTTTTGTTTTAAACCACACATAAAGTGTGCAGTAATACAAAACTATACTATGCGGGAAACGCCAATAAAATCTGTAGGTAACTAACACCATAAACGAGCTGTAACTTGTTTGTTTAAATGGATTAGAACAAAGTCACGCATACCTTAATGGTCGTATAATTAAACCAAACGAACCCAATTGAGGGAGTCCTCTGAATTAATTTACTTTATTTTAAAACGTTGGAAGACTATTTTAAAAAGCTGGAGATGTGTATATGTGGCTGAAAAAGACTGTAAATAGACTGATTATATTGCAACCGGTAATTGGTTTTGTAATCTTAAAGTAGACTTGTTGGTTGATGTGATATTTTTAGATCAAATGTTCTAATATGTGATGATACAATAGACCAGCTGCCTATACATTTATGTAGACATTCCATTGCCACATTAAAGCTGTAGAAATAATAGTTACGTTACTCATATTCAATTGAGCCACTGATGAGAGTGTGTTGTTGTAAGATGCGTTTTGTTTTAACATATATAATCTTGTAATAGGCTACTCTTATGACTATCATTGCTCACTGTAAGAGACTCATTCACCTTATGTTCTCCGTGAATGTACAACAGGTACCCAACTTGCTGGTACATATAGGTGTAATGTTTATTTGAGTATACAATGTCGATGCTCAGGATTCTAATGTTGGGTTAACCATAAAATAATCAAGAAACTAAATTTTGTCGACACTAGCGATCAGTGTCACCGAACATCAACTAGACACGAAAAGCGAGCTTCAAAATTTAAAATGGGATGAAACATCTACTTGTGTTGGTTAGTCTATGCTATTGGATCCTGAAGTAGACATCCTATCTTTATGGACCATCTGTCGCTAATTTTTTATCAAAAAAGAACATAGTTGTGTGAGCCAGTCACAGAATGTGCTAGTACCTATCTAAAATTCTATTTTCTTTTACCTTATCTTTTGTTGCTGACATATTTGTTGGGTCTTGATATTTGCTATGACTCACAATAAGACAATCGGTTTGACTTGTTAAAATGTTTGTATATTCCACAGAAATTTGGTAATTTACATTAGCACTATCTTTCAGTAGCTCACATCAACTATGACAATTTCGATTAATAAACTGGTGACAACTTCAACATGGGAATGGAATGTCTAGTTGTATCAATAATCAAAGATTCTACTCAAAATAAAGGTCAATTCCCAATCTACTCAAATCACATCAAAGTATACCAGTTGAAAAGTGGATAGCCTGTCTTTAGATTTATTACCTATATTGCATCCCTATTTTAAGTTATGTTGAAGTCTAAATAATTTGTCACATCTTGTTAGTTTTGTGTTACTAAGTATCTGCCCCGTCTTTGATGATTGCCTTTGTTGTTACTATGAGTAATATCTTACAGAATTTAATTAAATTTTAAATGCGTTTAGCTAGATAGAGAATATTTTGAACTGTGGTCCTCTCCACTACTGAAGGCAAAAGGGTTGGCAAGATAAAAAATGTGTTTGCTGTCAGTTTTACAACTGTAGCTGCTTAAACTGAATATAAATTTTCTCCAAAGCTTGAAATATTTTGTGTCTATTTAGTTAGTCATTTTTCAAATTTTTTTAAACTGACTTATGGTTAAATGTTTGTGTGGAACCCTCACATTGAAAATCTTTATCTTACTGAATAGGTTTTGTACACTTCAAGAGATTTTAAAAATATTTTTCTGTATATAGCTGTCTGAAATATTTATATGGCTTTTAATTAAAATTAAAATTGTATTTTCAGCAGTGTTGAAATAACTAGTTTGGAATTAAATGAACAGATATGCCTGTCTTTGTATCATTACTTTGAAATATTGTAAGTATTGTTAAAACACTAATGAAAATTTTCTTTGTTAATCAAGTGCAGTAATTGTTTTTTGATGTTATGAATACTTAGCTCATAAAATCTATTCAACCAAGAGGCCTCTAGATATGTATATTAAACACTCTTTTATATATTAGATGTACATTACTTATCAACTGTAAAATACTCACCAAAGAATTCAGATTTATATTTTTATTGTTACGTTGTTTTATATTTAAAGATGTTATGAATGTGCAACAAATTAAATATTTCATTTCTTTTTACCAACTATTAACTCTTGTTTATTCCCTTTTTGTAATTAGGTTAGTTGTAGTGGGTTTTTTTTTTTATAGTGTAAACATTTAAACATCAACTCGACTATGGGCGATGGAGGTGGCTCAACAGCCCAACAGCTCAATTCTTCCAATATAGATGTGTATAATATGTGTATACTTCAGTATACAAAGTTTTGTTGCAAAGATCACTTGTTTTTTATAGGTGATTAATGATTGCCTTTTTTGCCTATTGACAAGACATAGAAACTCGGACAACAAAAGATAAAATGCATTTTTACAAATGTATTGTACTGGATTTGATTTGAACTGATCATCCTTCAGACATAACACAGGGACTTTTTTGCTGCGAACATCAATATTGTGTTTACAAAAATTATAGCAGATACCAGTTTTACTTGGACTATGTGGTTCTATCCTACAAATATGTATCCAAACAGTGTTCATTCTTTGCCCTATAATTTTGTAATTCATGGGTATATTTGGGATTGCAATTCAAACATTTGTACTTGGTAATCAAAGTATGTATGAGAAATTGTTGTCATTTCCATTTTGCATTTTACAATCAAATCTAAAACCATCCATGATGTACGAGCGACTAGAAAATGTGCTGTACTTGAGTTTTCATGACCGGGAAAAAGTGTGTGAACCGTTCTATCACAACCAAAAACTTACAGTCAAGCATCCATTCATTAACAATGTCTTACTGTTCTCTTTTCACATTGTCATGTCAAGTAAAAGTTATAATTGTGGTGGATAAGCACTGTTTTCAGCAGAAGATCTTTTACTATGTTGTGATTGCAACAGATAATCATGAATGCTATTGAAATTGGTTTTTTAAACGGGTCGATCTTCGGTTTAAACACCACTGATGTGCCGTCATCGTTGGACCATAAAAAGTAGGCTTGTTGGTATCAAATTACCCAAAACAACATTTCAATGCCAGTTTTCAGTACCAGAACTTTTCCCAAGAACGATTGTAAAGAGAACCACTGTTCACTGTTTGTAGGCCTATTTTACAATTGTGTAAAAAATGTACATGCATTTTCCAAAATTAACAGTGATTTGGTTTGCACAGAGATTAATATACAGGTTGGGTAAATCAAATTCAGACATTAGTCCTACTCTTGCGTCCTTTTTAATATCACAAATCATATAAAAGCTCACAAAACACTTGGATTTTCGAATCTCTTTGCTTTAGCGTATTTGATGATAAATACAAAAAAATTATGACATACAATTGTCAAATACCGCATACGGATACACTTCCATTCAAATTCATATTATTTTATCCTGAGCTAAACTTAAAGCAATTCTGAGAGAAGCTATTAAAACAAAGAAATCATGTGAGGAATCTTGCAACTGTGCACTGTCTAATTTTGTCTGAAAATCTATCAACTATAACCAAGCAAGTAGAGAGTGTTTCCTGATTTGAGTTTTGAGTTTCAAGATTTGATTTTTAAAGTCACATTTTGGGTTTCGAGATTCAAAATTACTGGTTTTGACAATCACTTATGTACAGCATAAGATTAAGCATTTTTACATCCTACACTTAAATACCTGCTTTGTTTACTATTTACTTTTAAAAGCACCATTGCTAAACACGTAAGAGGCACTCAGAGGGTTTCCATCGATGAACACATTGGTTAAGACACAGCATGATGTAATGTGAGGTTCTATGTCCTCTAAAGCACTTATATGATTCATTTTAATCGACAATGTCACCAGATTAGGTAGACATGGGAACCCCTTGAGGTTGTTTAAGTTGTTCTTGTCCAGAATCAGCTCCTGCAAAAATGGTCTATTTTAGAATGAATTTACTATCAAGAGTATTTATTAACCTAGTTTTTAACATGGTTAAGATGACCAACTATGTATTTATTTTATTCTAATTTGACAATGTCACAAAAAAAAATCAAGATATGTACACTATTTGTTGATATTTTTAGATCAGTTTCTCAGCAACTAAATAACAGTATATTATTTAATGTGTTCAGAATGTCAATGTCAAAGAAACGATTATTTGCTATCGAGTTTCATCAAATATCTTAAAGGATGTCATCTGCCTTCTTCTTTAACTACTTTATGATTATTTACAATGGGTGTTCAAGAGAGAAGATCAGAAGTGCTTGATAAGTTCAATAACTTCAAACACTAGGCTAATAAAAGTGGCACAATCATGCAATTTCAGATGAGTATGTTGTTCTACAATCCCAGTTCAAGTATTTGGTGGATTATGTGAAATAAAAAGTGTTAGCTTTTTATGTTTTTTCGTAGTGAAATGTATGCATGATATCAAGTTTTATCCATGTTTGCCTCCTGGATTGAATAATAATTATAATAATAGGTTAAATACCTTGTTTACTTCCTCAATCCAAGTCGTCTTTTATAATGACTATAGTTTCAGGGCCAACAGCCCCATTGTCAAATTTTCTGTCTTGTTAATTACTGTTGATAGCATTGGTCACCGTTGAAGTTCACATATACACATACACTGACACACGAAACATTTATATTTACATGTAACATTGAGAATTTATACTTTTGGCCGGCCTAAACAAAAGTGATTACATCGTTGTGCGGACCGGTACACTGACTGACTGATTCATGTTAGCCGATACCCTGGAGACGTTGACCTTGGCCTTGGGTGATATAGAATAGGTGAAATAGTGACAAACAGCTGATCACCCCCCTCCCCCAAGGCCAAGGTCAACGTCTCCAGGGTATCGGCTAACATGAATCAGTCAGTCAGTGTACCGTTCCGCACAACGATGTAATCACTTTTGTTTAGGCCGGCCAAAAGTATAAATTCTCAATGTTACATGTAAATATAAATGTTTTGTGTGTCAGTGTATGTGTATATGTGAACTTCAACGGTGACCAATGCTATCAACAGTAATTAACAAGACAGAAAATTTGACAATGGGGCTGTTGGCCCCGAAACTATAGTCATTATAAAAGACGACTTGGATTGAGGACGTAAACAAGGTATTTAACCTATTATTATTATCAAGTTTTAATAATTCCTTCTACTGGAGAGGTGAGAAAAGTCACTGTTATGTGAAGTATATTCCGCTTGGTGAAGACATCATAGACACTAGACCCGCCTGTTTAGGGCCTTTGAGGGTTATAAGAACCACAGTAATATATCGTTCAAGGTTTTTATGCTACTTAATGTTACTTTAAGATAGGTACTATATAACTTTCAAATAAAGTTATTGGAGATGCTTTATTGCTTTACTTTGAAATGGCGACCATGCATCTGACAGTACTACTTGAAAATTAGGTTTAAGCATTTAAACGTATGTGGAATGAGATCAACGCGAATCGTTTTCTGGCCAAAAATATTAGTGGTTTCAGAGTGAGCAATTCCGAAGATCCTGGTAGAAGGACAGTTAATGTTGTAAATGAAGAAATTCTCTCAGTTTAACTTAAGTGGTCACATATCCAAGGTTTATCTTAAATTCGAGAGCAAAGCCACAACGTAAGCTAGTAACATTCTAATTTCATTCAAAAACAATAAAGCCGTTTTTGTGGGAACCAAGCTGGACTAGTGGTAGAGCACAGGGCTTCAGAGCCCCAATGGATTTTATGGCATGAAGTAATTTGTGCAATAGGCCAACTTCTCTTTTTACTACTTATAGGGGGAGGAAGAAAAAAACCCCAATAATTCAATTAGCCATGATATTTTCAAGGCCTACCTGACAAAATTGCAGACTGCTGAGTTTTGGCAGTGAGCGGCTGAGTAGATTGCCTGTCAGGTCAACCTTTTGTGCCAGCAATAGGTATTGTGAGTGGTACAAAGCTGTCAATCCCAGGTTGGCAACACTGAAGCTTCCTGTCAAGTTCCATTCTTCCAGTTGGTACTCCATCAGGTACCGGCTTTCTGGAGAAACATAGCAACAGTTTGGAATTATAATTAACAAACAATAAGGTTTATTTAAGGCCGATCGGGTTGGCATAACTAGGATTGGGAATGCAAGGTTTCAGTAATTTGCCACTAAATGTCTTTCCTTTACACCTAGCAGTGTCCAAGTGAACTGCAACTCCTGAGATCTTACCGTGCCTTCTAAAAGCATTGTAAGCAATTTATGTGGCTTCTAAATTTGGCACAAGAAACCGCTAAAGTTGGCTGTCATTATTAGGACCCGATTGGGCTGGCGTACATTTTTACAATGTTTTGACTATTTAGTAATGATGTTTTTTTTGTTTTTTTTTTTTAATAAACAAGGTAATAGTTTTTAAGTTAATAAATTGGTCCATTAATTTTTGAGAATACTGTCTAGTAGCCTATTGTAAATTTAATATAATTCATTTTTTTTTGGGAAAAAATATTTTATTCCAAATAAGTTGCTAGGATTCTACGGGGGCAGGTTTTTAAGTAAGGGCCATTTTTGTGTATAAAACCGTAGTTCGCTTGTTCGGCACAATTTGCAGCTCCCTAGCTGACATTTGTATGCATTGCTGTATTTTAAAATGTGTTAAACCATCGAATCTCCCGCCGCATGATAGATAAGGTCAGTTATACATTTTTTCATCACAAGAAACATATCCAATGCTGACATTCATCGCCAGAACCGAAGGCTATGGTCCTTATCCTTAAGGCCGTGAATGTGGGTAAAGTGTGGAAATGGGTTATGAAGTGTATAAATGGTCAATGGTCATGAAATACTTTTTCCTCTGTGGTCTTCTGTGAGAAGTTTGGGTAGTGGGTACCCACCAAAAATACAATTCCTTCCGCAATTAACATTTTCACGGCCATTTTTAAACTCCCTCGCCTATTTCTGCACTTTACGCTCACTCGTTGCATTAGGGTCATAGTCTTCAGTCATCTGGCAATGAATTTCAACATTGGATATGTTTTAAATTTTAAAAACACAGCAAAGTGTACATGTCAGCTACAGAGATAAAAATTACACCATTCTGTTCACAAATGATTTTAGTAAGGGGCGAGGATGCCTGTTGCAGCGTACAAGCTAACTACTGATTTATATGTAAAAACAGCTCTAACTCAAAAAACCGCCATCATAAAAATAAATTACAGAATAATTGTATTTATCAATTAAGTACAATCATTCCTCTTAATATTCTTATAAACTCTTTAGTTTATGCCAAATTTAGCTTTTCAAGGCACTAATGACTGCGAAACGTTGTCATTTGTTTTCAACTTTTTGGCTGCCTGCCGCCCTCCTTCACTCATCACTCTATAAGATGTATAATGTATAAAACCGAGAAAAGTAAAAAAGACAAAAAGTACAAAAAGACAATTCTGTGAAATTGGTTTTAGACCAAGTAGGCAGCAAGTCTTTTACTTCATTTATTGCTGAAAAATTTTAAGAAAAAGAGTTGGCAATATAGTAATAAGTCTAAATATAATTATTGTTGGTAGTTAACGTGTTGATTTGAGAATGCCTTAATGCTATTAATTAAACAACCTTTTAAACTCAAGAAGGCCAAGTTAATGAGTCTCCAAAGGAAAATATGTCTATGATTAATAAAGGACTTCAATAGTGTCACAGGAAGATGCTGAGAAATAGCTAGGTTATTCCCACTGGATTCAACGATAGAAGAGAGGTTTAAGTGGAGAATGGACAAAGACGTAGATATTGACTACAAGAAATCAAGATAACACAAAGAGAAACCAAAAAGAGTGTTCAGGAAAACGTTCGAGTGAATAAGTCTCTGACTCAAACCAAGGGTGTTGGAGGGACTGCATGCTTCTTTAGCCAAACATCTTCCCTAACAGTGATGGTTTGTGAAAATTCATCACAAAAATCACTTCCCCCCCTCCATGGACTTTGTACCCTTTTATTTGTAATTACTGATAGTGTAAGAAGTGGGAAATTGAAATTGCCAAGCTCAAAATCCTTTACACACCCTAAATAGTGAATATGGTAAATTTACTTTGTATTTTGTCTTCCTATACTTACTCAGGTCTAAATAATAGTTAGCTCGAAGGCGGTCTATTTTCACTAGTTTGTCCAAGTATTCCAATGTTTGTTCTTTGAAACTTTTCCTATCTACAGCTTGCATCAGTAATACTGAGGTTAACAAAGGCCCTAGAAACAGAATATGACATGTAAAAATACTACGTGGTAAGGTTAAGTAATAAAGCTATCCACATACACCACACTGACTTATACTATACATAGGGAATTTGAGGCTTACACTTGCTAAAAACACTGGATTGTAGAAAGGTGTTTCCAATATAATATGCAAACTCTACTGCTACTGGATAAGTACATAGGGTGTCCCACGAAGAGGTTTTTATACACTTAATTTTACATTACTAGCTCATTTTTGCACCGAGAGCGTTGAACTTTTACACAATTTATAAGGTAGATTCGAAAAGTATTCTTTCAACATATCAGCTTACCAACAGCTGTATATATAAATTAGTTTTTTTTTATTGACATCTTACTACACATTTTAGTCTGCTGTAGAACAAAGAATAATATGACATTAAAAATTTTACAAGTTCGTTTAACCTAATTATGATTACAAGAGGTCGTCCAATGGTCAAAAACTCGACCAAAAATATGTAATGTACAGACTTCAACTATTTTCACCCCACACTGTAAATAAAACATGTGATTGGAATTTCTTCCATTTGTTTTGATTTCTGTTTATATTTCGCTGTTATTTCGTCACCAACAGGTCAACCCCTAATGCCCATGTTCATTTTTAAACTTTAAATTAAGTTTTTGTGCTTATTTTCAAGCCTATTTTAATTTATGAAGGGATTCTGCACATCTACAGGAAAGTATCTTACCAACAGTATGCGTAGAATTTCCCTGCGGTGGACACGAGCTGAGAAAAAAGGTTTTAAACAAACATGCTTGCCTATTAATATAAAGATTGTTATAAAGGCGGTTTCTTATTAAGTTAATAGACAATTTTATGGCTGTCAAAGATATTAGATATAGCACTTGATTTTCCAATTTGAATTTCTTGCTAAACTGCTGGACCTGTTTAGGAATTATACCTCTTAAACCAATGAGTAGTCCATAGGCTAAACTTCAAATTTTTATATTTTTCCAAATAATAGGGGATAGTTTTCTTGTATATTTTAAAGTTTACTTCATCGATTTCCTTTGGCTGATTTTCATTTGTCTGGAGACGAATTGTTGGGTCAATAATGAGACCGTAACCTCTCCCCTTGTCTATAACAATAATGTCACTCGCCTCACAGAGCCCTCTTCTTCTATAGCTATGACCTCTTCATAGACCTCGTAACTTTTCTTTCTGAATTGATCAGCTATGATTTTTCTGATCGTATAGTGGCGGGTATTACGTATAAGACTACTAAATGGGCACTTTCCAAGGACGTGGGCAAGAGTTACAAGAACAAATTTCTCAGATACAGGACAATGCCTGCACTGGTTCCCGTCCCTGGACCTCCCATGAAGACTTCTAAGGGGAATAATGTCTCCAACTATTTTAAAGTATTGTTTGAACTCAGCTTCTGTGAGGCTTCTTATTGATCTTATCAAATTCTTTTAAAATAACCACCCCATTCCGTTTGTATGGAATTTCATACCAATTTCAAAACGCTAAGTCTCATAAGATTTCTCACAGTATCTTGGGTTTTGTTTCGATAAATTCGATACTTAAATTTAATTTTTTCAGGCAAGCCTAATTTCTTCATCAAATTGTCAAATATTAAGTAAGTAATGGTTTCCCGTTTGTTTTAATACACAACATATTATGTTTATATGTTGGATTGATGATTCCCACATTTATTTACATAACCCAATCTCTTTGTTTTTAGTACTTGTACAAAACATACAATTTGACATATCATTTGGACCTAAGACCTAAAGATTTCCTTTATTGTTGATCTTACCACTTTAACAACATCATCAAAGAGTTTCATTGTGATTTTCGTAATTGGTGTGGTTTGAAAGGGATATATTAAAGATGGCCAAATATTATGATTCGAGACCTTAAAAAAGGAGAACATGTCAGTTTTTCAACATTGTTTATCAACAAACGTATACCTTTTGCAAGAGTCAAATACTATGTTTTCAGAGAAATTTACTCCTAATTATTTAATATTTTCATTAAAAGTTATCAATTTTATTTCTTTTGAACATATCTAGAAGTTTTCCTCCTGTAATCTACCTTTTTCAATGAATATATAGTTGTGATATATTCAAAATGTAACCTATTTCGCTTTCCATTAAAATTACTTTCATTGGATAGCTGTTCAAAAATAAGTGCCAAAACTGCTACACAATAAACAAAACCGTCAATAATTTAAGAAAAGAAAGTAATTTTTATAGGATGCAAATTCTACAAATGATAGGATGCTGAAATTTTCACAAAACATTTTCAAACCCTACTTTATAAACTGTGTTAAGTTTCTAAGCTGATGGTGCATAAATGGGCGAGTAATATAAAATCAAACATCTAAACCTCCTGTTAGACACCCTATATATTGTGGAGTGGCTGGATGCTGCTTCAAAAGGTCACCAGTTAAATCCTGGTTGTTTTGCAGGTATAAACAAGTTACATCAATTCATTCTACACCTTGCAGTACTTTGGTATTATCCGAAGGCCACTTATTTTAGAGGGATTTTTAACGGAGACCAAAAATATTGCCTCCCAGAAGGCAGCGATGTCGGCGAGGATTGAGTTGAATGTGTCGCCGCCGCTAGCTGCCACATGTACACCGCCAAGTAGGTACACAGCGCGCTGCGGCGGTTATGTTAGGCTAGGTTATCATAAATATGTTGGTAGGACCTTCCTCATTTCGTTATGAATCTAACAATACCAGATGAGTATCGATACCAGGTATCAATACAAGTGGTGACAGGTGATGTACGCGCTCCGGTCAATGACCTGACCTTTTCCTACTTGGAGGGAATTTTGCAGGCGAAAGTATGATTTATCTGGTGTCGTTTGATTCATAGCAAAACGAGGAAAGTCCTACAAACATATTTATGATAAACCAAACCTACATAACCGCAGCAGCCAACTGTATAAGGGTGGCCTCTGGATAATACCAAAGTGCCTTGCATTAATACTCAGCTTGTTAAATTTATTTTTTTATTTATTGCAAGCTATACTAAGTTAATTTAATGTCTGAGATAAGTTAAGATTTCTCTGTTTAACTTACATAATGTTTCAATGCACCAAACACCACCTACATTTTGTATCAGGTTCCAGCTGCAAAAGTGTTTCGCAGGACTCGAGCACGCCGCACAACACTTCCGTGACGCCGTGGCTAAACCCGGCCTCGTACACAGGCTTTTCCTTGTACCAAGCTTGGTCCTTATCAGCTTGTAGAGTTACCACCTGGGTCTCTACTCCATCCAAGTGCAACACTATCGGTTGTGATGTCAGATCACTCATTGAAGCCTCCTCTAAAAACACCCTTTTCTGAAATATCAGTTGTTATGATGTATTCGCTTTACTGAATTGAAATACATATTTTTGTTGGGATAGCAGGCTTATCTGGCAGGTCTATCTTGGTAAAAAAAATAACCCAAAACATGTACGGGGTGGTCCAAAAAAACAGGGTCAATTTAAAAATGTTATTACTCAGCTGTTATAACAGCTGGAGAGTTTGTTGTTGCGGCAAATGAATGTTTATTTGATGCCATTTGGAGTATTGTTACTATGGATCATCAATGGTTGCCGCAACATCGTGCCTTTGTCATAGAGACTAAATTTGTTCTAAATTTGTGTTTAAAGTAATGTTTTTTGTTTTTATGCCAATACGGGACTCTCTTTCAGATAAAACTCTTCTAAAGAAAATTCTTATTACTTAGGTCCTTGCCTTGTGCTACACCACAAACCAAAAATGATTTCTTGTTCCTGAACTTAGAATTAGGCATTTAGAGTTATAAATAATAATGGTACTGTTACAACAATAATTACTTACTACTCCTACTGTCGGTGAGAGTTAAGAAGTCCTCTGAGTCAGAGTGATATGCAGTAATGTTTGTATGTTGCCGTGCGGTGTTTGCAGGTGCTCTTTTGGTTTTAACGCAGTGGATGTGAGCCCTGACTGCCGCGTGGAGCATGTGTAACCCGCCCGGCACGCCTAGCCGTCGAGTAGCAAGCGCCTGCACTTTTAGAATAGGCCAGGGCTCAGAGGACTTCTTAATTCTCGCCTACAGTACAACAACAGACCTTACATTTTCTATGTCTTTAGCAGCATATTCAAGTAGAATGAAGTATAATTTACCAGTACTGACATTTTTTTGGTGGCATTTTACCTTTATTTTTTATATATTCAACTAACATAACTATCACTTACACTTAAGTTTTTGAAGGAAAGAGCAATTGGCTTATAAATGCATTTAGGAATAAGGAATGGATACACCACCAACCTACCCAAGAGAAATCTTACGGATAGTACAAGATACTTGAATTGGTCAATTGAACAATAATAGAGTTATAGACCTCGTCAGATTATTAAGTTAGGCTACATGAAATAATGCATACAGTATCAGGTACATAGTGAAACAGTACAAAGTACATAGTTAACAGCACACAAGTTTACCACACATTAAATTTTTATATCTAACCCTACAAGGGGGCTTATGCAGAGGGAAGTAGTATAAGGAAGTTACAAAAACTAGCAATGGCATAGGCCTACCTAAAACTCTTGTCTTAAGTAAGTTTTGCATCCATTCCTTCTTCTATAACATTAGGCAATCCCTTTTACACACCCAGACAAATGCGGATACTTCTCCGTCAACTGTTTGCCAACCCTCATTGCCGAATGCTTTCACCATAACGTTTCTAGACGCAGGATTCAAGCTCTGATCAAAAGCTACACACATTATCTCCTTGGTCGCTATAACATGGGTGATCTTCAACTGAGGGACGTGGCGGCCTAAGAGCCAACGTTGGTAGAACCAAGCACTTTGGTCCAATGGGTCTGTGAAGGCTGCATTGGTTACTAGCTCCATCTCTACAAAATGTCATATCATAAATTGAACTACATTTAACTCTCAATCCCACATTTTGGGGACTAGAAGAGCTAACATAAACGTTGGATTACCGAAAATAAATCTTAACTCAAACTATAACCTAGCACGGTAGATAGAGTAGGCCTACTTATTATTCTAAAAAGCAAATATTTAGGCCTACTCAATGAAAAAAAACCTGTTTGATTAGAAATATTGTACACCCAAATTTATTTACACATGCTAAATGCTAAAAAGTAGGCTAAATGCCTTAGAAATAGAACAAGAGATGTAAAAATACTACATGGATTTTATGCTTTTTCCTAAAAACATAAAAATACTACATGGTAATGTTAAGTAATAAAGCTATTCACATACACCACACTTATTTGGCTTTTACAGTAATTCGCCTAAGCCGTATATTCAAGTGAAAAAGGGAGTTTAGGGCTTAACAGTTGCTTCAAAGATTGGATTTTGGAAAGATATTTGGTTGTTTAACTGCGGTCAGTCAAAGTCTTGGCAATCATTTTTACGTCATGTTCTTTTCATTTCTTAATTGGAATTTTATCATAACCTGCAGACATTTTATTTTCGAGAAAAAAATTATTTTGTACATTTTGTTTTAAAGTGTCACAGGTTATAAATTAAATGTAGGTAAAACAGGATTAAAAAAAAAACATTTAAAGATATTGATGATAGGAATAGATATTCCAACCCTGTAGTCAGTTTTAGAAGAGAGTGCACATAGTTGTGTGAATCACCGATAGAGTGTGCTGATGTCAGTTACTGTTTTCTGTCTAACAACTTTTTAACCAACCCAAACTAAATGAACACTTTTTTGTAAACTATATCTTTGGACTCCTAGTACTTATTAAAACATTATGAGAAAATATAATCTTCACAGTTAGTAGTAGCTCACTGTGAGTAGCACATTAATTTCTACCCTAGCATCACATACCATGTTGGTGTTGATGGTCCTCGATTGGTTTTAATCCCTTGGGGTCTGGATACACCTGAGGCAGCAGATTACTGCGTAGATGCCACGCAGAGTAGTTGGAGAAGTTTGTGGCAATCTTCTCATCTGTAAACCTCAACTCATCCTCCGCAGTAACACCAGACCTTTGTACGATGAATCTCCGGTAATCCCAACAATGAACTGGTAATGTTAAATTCACATTGAGTTGTGGTAAACAGCTGATACTCGTTAAGGTTTACAGAGAATTCTGTTAAGATACAGTTTGACAATTTTTATTTTTATAACTATCATAAGTTCTAACACAACAAATGTAGCTAATTACTGACAGAATATGTATGCAAAATTGCTAGACAGTAAAATACAATGCTGTAACTAGATGATAAATTCTAAATGTGATTGTGGCCATGTTCAACTTAAGAATTAATTATGCAGCAAGAGAATAATTTTACTAGGTGTACAATGCAGTTGTCTGCTTGCAATATTAAGCGGAGCTAGCATATTATTCCAATACTTTTCTAAAGTCAATGCTACATCTGTTTCTCATAAATGAGATATATACTTGCAGTATCCATCGTCAATGATATATTTGGTTGGAATAAATAGAATGCCTATTTGCAGTATCCAAAGTCAATGCTCAAGGGTACGCCTGGTTAACATTAATTGAATGTCTACAGGTTTTAAAGTCAATGGTTCACGTAAAAAAATTGTTTACTTGCAGTGTCCAACTCAATAATACATTTGGTTACCGTAAATGAACTGTTTACTTGCAGTGTCCAACTCAATAGTACATTTGGTTACCGTAAATGAATTGTTTACTTGCAGTATCCAAACTCAATGGTACATTTGGTTCACATAAATGAATTGTCTACTTGCAGTATCCTAAGCCAATGGTTAATTTGATTCACATAAATGGAGTGCCTATTTGAAGTATCCAAAGTCAATGGTCCGTCTGGTTCCCTCAATGGAATGAATACTTACTGTATCCAAACTCAATGGTATCTTTGGTTCACATTAATGGAATTCCTATTTGCAGTAGGCCAACCTATTCAAACTCTGTATTAGTTGTATCTATGTCTAGTACTCATACATGAAAAGTCTACTTGCTGTATCCAAACTCACTGGTAAGGCCTATATTTGGTTCACATAAATGGAATAACTATTAGGAGTATCTAAAGTCAATAGTGCATCATCATAGTTCCGGCGACCCTACTTATTAGATATTCATTTTGTAGTAAATTATGCTCAATGATATTAATCCAATTGTTCTTCCCTTTATCTTTGTACGGTATTATGTAAGTTAATGTGCTATTTTAGATGATTCCTTGACTAACATGTGTTGCGACTCTTGTTTACCATTTTATTGTTATCTCGCAAATAATGTCATGGCGACCAATTAACCCATAAGGCCCATGTTAAATATCTAAAAGTTTAAATTCACGTCTAGGAGTAAGCCCTGTGGTTTGATTTGTACCATTTCAGATTTATACCTTCCCATGGTTGGTTACAATGACTGTGCTAAATTTCGTGCAGATCGCTTCAGCGGTTCAGAAGGAGTATTTTTAAAACAAAAGCAGGAGTGTGGTATAAGAGCTTCGCTCCGCTGTGTATACCTTACTAGGATATTTTTCACTTTAGGCATTGCTTAAACACATTCTCTTATTGATTAATCACGACAATTTCAAAGTATGCCGGTAACATTTGAGTCTGTTAGTTATTATCTTCTATTTATTAAAACTTTTAAGTTAGGGACTGGTTTTCAAATTATAGCGAAAATCTATTTGTAATCTGCTGCTTGCCATCTAGTGTTATGTAACAAAATAAGAAATAAAAAAATTGTAAAAATAGCCCAGAACACATATGAATATTTGATTGACATTAACACACAGTCAAAAGTTGGCTTTACATAGATCAAACACACAAAGGCTTAGATTTTACCATGGGATGCAAAGTCTATTTTAGGTAGGCTAACCAAACAAGTCAATATTTTGGGTCTAAAAATTGTATTTAACGTTTATTAGAAACCCAAGGTACATACAAGTTAAGTGATTTGATAGCGACAAACATTTGTTCAAACCTCTATTGAATTTTTGATCAGAAAACTATCAGGCCTAATGCTACAGAAATTAAAACTCCACTCACAATTACGTTCATCATAATCCAAATATTTGTCACACAACGCAAGTTCTTTTTTCCAAGGTGGATCAGTCATATGATCCAACACCCAACAACGGTGATGCCAAGTACCATATGATTTTGGCTGGGTTCGTAAACATGCCTCGGTTAGCCGCAACTCCTCGTGCATCAATGGATCAAGTTCTTCTTCAGATCTGAGAAAAAGATATATTGTGTACAAGATGGATGAATTTATCAATAACTAAACATACAAAAATAGGTAGTTTCTAGATTTATAAAATCTTATTATTGCACAGTCTACCTGCAAGTCTTAAGGTGCAAGATCACTTCTCTCCGTATATTCCACAATGTGTAAATGTCTGGATTTCCTGTTAGTAGTTTAGCAGACACTGCCAAAGCCTCTTCATCCTTTTCTGCTTTATGTCTCTAAAAAATAAAAGTAAAAATATTTTTTTGGATTAGATTATACAACATAGATACACCAGTAAGTGTACATATCTAGGCGAAGATGACTGAAGGATGTCTAAAGGTTCAGGAACTATATACCTAGTGTTCAGTATTCATTAAAGGCAGACCAGCTGATCAGTGACTGAGAGAGAAAGAGAAAAGGAGTAGATTGCACAATCCCCATATGGACGCAATACAAGAATACGGTACAAATAACATTTCTTTTTAAGTGCATTGATTCTCTTGTAATATCGCTTTGTGAAGCATCATTAATTTTTTACCTCTCTTGGTATTGTATTTTATCAAAGTAATTCTAAATTCAATATCCCCCTCATACAGTCCACTTTATTTAAGAATCCTTCTTAGGCATACACAACACCTAGCATACCTCCAAAACATAAATGTAATGCTACATTGAATATTTGATTACTAACCTTATCGAATACAGCTTTGATACCCGCTTTGTAAAGTTCTACCTTTTTAGCTCTTTCTTTTCTCTTTATTTCTTCCTGTTCTGCTGTTGTTCGTGTTTTTATTCTTCCATGCTAAAAAATATACATTTAGAAATAAGCTTAGGGAATGACTACACTACGGGTTCAGGATAGATAAATATAATATGATAGAAATATTTACCAACATCATTAAAATAACCTACTATAAAACGTAACAGTAAGATTGGAAAGCCAATTACTTATCACGGTAAATACTAGGATACATGATTTAAAAGGGATTTTGAGCCTAATAACCTAATACACCTAATTTCCGATTAAGAAAAGTTTATAAAGAAAATAATGATATAGCCTATAGAAAATATATAACTAGCCTAAGCTATTTAAAAGGTCTATTCACACATGTTTGAGCCATTTTTAAATTAGGCCTAGGCCTAAATGGAATTTTCACCCAAGGTTTTTATATTTTTTGTAGGAAAGAATATTTATTTTTCAGATATATCTTTAAAAACTAATAACAAACTAAATACACAATACACTCTTTTTAGAGGTCAAGAATGAATATAATATAGACTATATTATACAGGGTGTCCCGGAACTCTCTACCAATATTTTAGGGCATTGCTCCTGGGTAAGAAACATATCGAAACATATTGACTTCCTGCAACAAAAACTATCTACATCAATCTATGCCATAAGAAGGATAACAAATCTGACCGATTTTACTACAACCATTGCCTACCATGCACTTATAGAATCATACCTCCGTTTTGGAATTGTTGCCTGGGGCGCAGCAAGTACAGACCTTTTCCAATCAGTTTTTATACTACAAAAAGAAGCAATAAGAACCCTAAATAATCTCCACTATCAAGAACACTGCAAACTATTCTTTAAAAAAATCTCATCATTAACATCCCTGTACCTAGTTGAAGTAATAACTCAAGCAATAAAACTGAATCCCATCAAGCGATCTGAAACACATAACTACAATACCAGGAGAAAAAATGACCTAAATTTACCACAACATAGATTGGAAAAACTGCAAGAACCCCAACAAATAGAGGGATAAAACTTACTACCAAATGGGCTTAAAAATATTACAGACACAAAAACTCACTACCCAATTGAAAAATTATCTCCTCGAACACCCCTACTGGCCCTACTACAGCTTAAGAATTCCTGGATGACCATATATTTAACGAAAGACAATAGAAAACAGTATCTATAAATCACCAACAACAGAAAATAAGAAAGAAAAAATAAAAAGATTCCTACGCCTCCCTCAATCTTTATGACTGCGGAGGAGAAGAACAGCAGTAAGCAGTAAGTAAGTAGGTATCTAAATATCATATTTAAATCGTCCGGAAGTCACACAGCCGCTATTTGTTTTTTTCACTTATTAATTTTCTTCTGAAAAGTGGTTCAACATACAAAATTAAAACTTTTCTGACAAATAGATAAAGCTACAAAAAAGCTATGACAATTTTCCAAATTCATACAATAAAATGGCGGCCATTTACAATTTTGTTTCTTAAATAGCTCAAAACCTGTTGATCTTACAAACATTTTACAAGAATAACTTTTTTAAGGTAATTTAATTACAAATCGATTGACATTTTATTTTAGCGAATTTCACATAATATAGGGAATACGCTATTACCGTAGGTCTCATGGTAAGACCGGGACCAATATAATTTTTCGTTTGTATTTGTGGCCAAGGCCAAAAATAAGGCTGTTCAAATTCTTCCACTTTTTAGAAAAAATTAATAAGTGAATAAAACAAAATGGCAGCTGTGTGAGATAGGCCTAATTTAAATATTATATTTAGATTATGTTTCAATAATGTTTCTTACCCAGGAACAATGCTCCCAGAGCTTGTTTACTGAAAGATAACAGGTCGGTATGTGTATGGCTCTGGAGAGTGGGAAATTTTGACAAAGATTTTCTCCCTAATCCTTCTTCCCCCATTTTTTTGGAGCAAGATAGTCTAACCTTGTAAACACCCACTATTCTTGGGGCGAAGAATTCAATGGAACCAACACCGCCTGCCTCAAAACCCCCTTTTTACTTATAAAGGGGGGGGGGAAATGGCCCATTAATATATATATATATTTTTTTTTTCCATTTTGATAGAGTAATATATTTTCTGAATACAAATACACCATTTTTGTACCATTTATCTTGCCCTCCCATCAGGGGGCAAAACCCCCTTTTCCTACATGAATATGGATCTGGGAAGTTTGTATGTTGCAATGATGCTTAGGGACTAAAATTATGTGTACCGCCTATTTTTGGGATGAGAAGTTCAATGGAACAAATACCACCCCCTAACAACCCCCTTAGTTTTTACTTATTAGGGGGAGTAGTGTAGGCCTACCTATATGTGTATGGCTCTGGGGGTGACTAAAATTATGTAGTTTATACTCACTATTTTTGGGAAGAGAAATTCAATGGAATAATCACCATCCCCTAACACCCCCCTTTTGGCAAATTTCCCTATAGGGAAGTAGCTATTACTGTAGGTGGCATGGTAAGACCTAGGAACCAATTTACTTTTTAATTTTAATAAGGCCAAAAACACCATTCGGCAGGTTTTCTGCAGCGGGGGTATTTTATTTGTTAGGCGGTAATAACATATTATGGCTCTGGGGAGTTGGTATGTTTCAATGATGATAACGGACTGAAATTATGTGTTTCCCGGACAAAAAATTCAATGGAAAAAACTAGTTGACTCAGGAATTGTGGATGCAACTCAAGACTGAATTGTATCAGAGCTCAAATTCAAATAGTTTATTGCCATTAAGTATACATGTCATACAATAGGCCAGGTCAATGGAGATAATATACAATTCAAAGTACAATGTACAGAGTCAAGTGTAAATAGATGAACATGCTATACTAATAAACTAATAATACTGGGGTTTTGTACAAAAGTATTTGAGATGTATTGATAATGATGATAATAATACTGTTTATAGTTAAGCAAACAAGTTGGGTAAGTGCCTATAACAAAATAATTAAGGCTAAAATTGGCAGTGAGATACAGCTTAAAACTAAATAACAATAAATTTTTAAATAAAGTTCACAGAAATAACATTATTATGAAAGACTATTATATCACAGTTCATGAAACCATTATTACATACTTTAGAAACAATACCCTACTTAACAATTAGAATTTTACAGAAAATCATCATGTTTGAAAGATAAAAATTCCTTGATAGAGTAGATAACCTTTCTGTTCAAAAAATCGGTCAATACATTTTTCAGTGACTTAATAGGCAAGTTGCGTACATTTTCAGGGAGGGCATTGAAAAGTTTAAGTTGTAGGCCTAAATATTTATAGCTGCGCTGTGTTGAGGCCAGTCTTAATGATGGTAACTCTAAATTATTCCTTAGTCTGGTGTAATGATTGTGAGTTAATGAGCGAGATGAGAATTGTTCAATATTTGTTTTTACAAAAATTATATTCTGCAAAATGTACACACTTGGTAAAGTAAGAATTTTGTATTCAGGAAAAAAGGTCTTACAACTAACTCTACTTTTTATGCCAGCTAGGATACGGATTGCTTTTTTCTGTTTTTTAAAAACGTTAACTGCCCCGCTACTACTGCCCCACAAAATTACCCCATAAACTAAGTGACAATGAAAGAATGCATAATAAACATTAATTAACATACTTAAACTAACATGATTTTTCAACCTCCTGAGCAGAAACAAAGAGTTACTTAACCTTGCAACAACCATTTCAGTACGAGCTGTGACTGGACTGATGTGTGTGAATCGGCCTTGATGACAGGTAGCCTAAGCTACTTATTTAAAGAAACAATACCTCATACACAGGCTCGTTTTTGACCCTGTCAGCGCCCTAAGCACAACTAATAGTAGCGCCCCTTTGCAATATATAACAGGGTGTCCACCAACCGGGAAAACTGAGAAATCCGTGAATTATGTGTGAGTTTTTTAACCGGGAATTATGCATGAAATTTGTATTTCTACCTGGAATTTTCAATTTACCGCGATCGCGCATGACAACAGTGACGTTTCCGTGACCGCGGGAGACGATAATATGTCTACACACGGCCGCGAAGGATGATCAGAATTCTCCGCCATCGCAGAAGACGATGATGACATCTACAGTCATGAGGGATGATCAGAATATTGCCGCGATCACGGAAAACCATGGTAATGTCCACACGACAACGGGAAACAGCAAGAATTTGACCGCGATTGCGGAAGACGATGATCATCTCCACACAACTGCGGGATATTATTAACATTTTGCCACAATCGCGGGAGGCGATTTACAATGTTTTCAAAACCGCGGGAGACGATTACGATGGCTACAGGACTGTGGGAGATACAATAATGATACGAGAGGGATGATCAGAATTATGCCGCGATCGTGCAAGACGATGATAATGTCCATGTGACCGTGGGAGATGATTACCATTTTGCCAGAATTTTGCTATTCACGGAAGACGGATGATCTCTACATGGCCACGGGAGATTATTAACATTTTGCCTCAATCACGCGAGGCAATTACTATGTCCGAACGATCACGGGGGACGAAATAAGTTTGTCTTCACGGCCGTGAGGGGGGATCAGAATTTTATTGCAATCGCGCAAGAATATGATAAAATTCACTCGATCGTGGGAAAAGATCAGAATTTTGCCTCATTTGCGGAAGACGGTGATAATCTCCTAATGACCTCGGAATATGATCATATATTGCCGCGATCATGGAAGACAATAATTATGTCTACACGACCGCGGAAAATAGTCACAGTTTTGCGGCAATTACGGGAGACGATTACGATGTCTAACTTTTAAATACTTTCCAATGAAATGGCGACTATACAAAGTAGGTATTTTAAGCCAAGTATGAATGTAGATGAGTGTAGGATGAGTGGCACGATCTTGTCGTACATGGCCGAGAGGGATTATCAGAAGTTTACCGCGATCGCATGCAAATACAATCACCATTTTTTTCCCAAGTTGTTGGCGCCCCCCAAAAAAACCAATTGCCTCGCGCCCTAGGCACGTGCCTACAGTTCCTATTCAGTAAATCGGCCCTGCGCATACATAATTTCAACCAAACCTCAATATAAATCGAGAAAAGAGATGAAGATGAAATACAGTAGCCTAAGAGCATTGACAACAAGACTCTCATAAGGTAGGGATTGGGTCATTCCACGCCAAATCATCCAGCCAAAAGTAGACTTGTCACCCAAGGTTTTCTGTTTTCAATAAAATTTTACATAGATAATATATACATATAGATAAAAAGAAATAAAAAATTTTATCTCATTCGACATTCTGACCGAGGGCTTCAGAGATATGGCCATTTTAAGTTTCACACAAATTCAGTTTCCGAGGCTTATTTTTGCACTAAACTGAAATGCATATATTCTCGTCTTTCTATGTAAAAAGGACAATTTTTTAAGATATGGGCTTCAAATTTTACTTATATATCCAAATTTTAATGCAGAATCATATTACACAAGTGAAATGATAACTATTACCTATTATCACCCCGAAAAAAATTCCTAAATACAAATAATTAGATTTTTCCGAAATCGGAACATTCAGTTACAAAAGGTTTGATAACAAAAATCTCTCTCCAGATAAACCTATAAAACTATATATCACTGGAAAGAGGATAAAATTATCTTTCAAATGGTATAACAACATGAGTGGGGTTTTGAGTATTAACATTGTTATCACATGTGAAAGTCAAAAATTAAATTTGATTAAGCTAAAAATTTCATTTTATGCCGAATATGTATGATGAACTTAAATAATACAAAAGGTTCATCAAATTAATATATGTTTGTACAAATGACTAGAAATCTAAAAATATGAAACAAAATATTGGGTCCTTAAGTTGTTATTTTCGTATGAATTAAATTTTTACTTATAAAAAGCCCTAACTAAATCGTCCTATCTACATTACTTTTACCTAAATAAAGGCTAATTATTGCTTTACAAGCAATTACAATTACATTTTATGCAAAATTTATAAGTTTACCACTCTCAATAACAAATAAAAAAATATGCATTATTAATTTTTATACATCAAACTTCAATATTAAATTAGGCCTATGTGTTAAAAAAATAAAAATAAAATTTTATGACATATTTAATACACAATCAATGTTTGTAACCAGAGTTTATACCAGTGAATGTGACCAGTGTCTGTGTGTGTTGGCGTGTTTGTCACTCCTGTGAAGACATGAAACATGAAACATTCAAGTCTAAACATGAAAGGCTTGTTTCACATCTTTCCGGCATGCCGTTAAACCGACTTCTAACCGGCACTGGCATGGGTGCACCTTTCACGTTACGCCGACACCGGCACTCTGGCAGTTGTACTCCAGCTTGTGAAACTTGTGTGTCGTAGGGATAGAAATGGAACGTAACAGAGCAATTGCAATGATACTTCGAAATTACTTTTTTTGAAACTGTATTTATATTTGGATTATTTTTTTTTATTTCATTCAATTTTAATTTGAGTAAAATTTAATTCAATGTTGTGTAATAAAAAAATATAAAAATAAAATAAAATTGAGTAAAAATTCAATTTAATTTAATTCTGCTCTTGAACTAAATTAACAAGTAGTTCAATGTCTATTTCCGACATGACCAAAACTTTGCGAACAAATAGGCCTAACCAAAAGTAATACTCAAATAACTACAAACAACTGAACTAAAAGTACACTTGGTGCACCCGACAGACGGCAGGTGCCGGTTATATGTGAACAGTCACATTGGGCCGCTACACCCACTACTCCAGCCGGCTTGTTTACCCGACACCGGCAGCAGGCCTTCGCCGAGGGGGTGCCCGGCATCCCTCGACTTGTACACGGCAGCCGGGCAAGTGATAAACTGACCACGACACATGCCATGCATATGTGAACAGTCCCATATACTTCTTCACCCCATTGCCGGTTAAACGTTAAAAAATGTTTATCATGGAAGGTATTGCTGCACCAAGTCAAGCGAGAACTAATTTGATTTGTACAGTAGGTAAACTGTCAGACTCTCCATGTGAAAATTTTACTTTAACAACAGAAAAAAATGTTCATTTAATTTTTGAAAATCTTTCAAATGAAGAACTAGAAACATTAAGGTGGCACACAAATAATGAATATAATAAAAATGATTCAATTAGTTCTCATCATTTTTGTTACTTTTTGAAATATAAAAAAAAAATCATGCTGTGACCCATTTAAAAAACATGTGGTATCCTTGACAAAGATTTAAGAGTAATTTCTTTAGAGAAGGTAAAAGAAGTTAAAGAACTTAAAGACATAACTTTAGTGCCAGGAAAGCTTTTGTGCAGCAATTGTAGAAAGTTATTGAATGTTGTAAACACTGGTTCAAAAAATGAAGAAAATTCTGCATTTCATGATAGTGACGAAGATATTGACATAGAGTTTACAAAAAAAATACTACAAATTTACTACAAAAATAGGATGTATTTGGTTTTGTTTTACGTTTCAATCAAGTTGTTTTCTTTTGACTCTGACGTGTAATAAAAATGTTAAAATACCCCAAACCCCACTCTTATTTTTATAACATCTATATATATAATACGTGAAGCAGTTTTTTGTTAAGGCAACTCCTCCCTTATTTGTGGGCCAATTTCAACGTTTAAGGTGTCGAAAGATTCGTCTCAATACGTAGTTTTGCAATAAGGTTTTACAATTTTAAAACTCCTACTCTTAAGGGCATGAGACCCTCTCAAAGGTCGGGTTTTCCTCATAAGAAATACACAGAACAAATTTAAAAACAAAAAACAGCTGTTAATGAAAAGAAACTCATAAGCTTTTTGGGAGTAAATATTACGAGGTGTTAGCCCGTCCTACGTACGGGAATTCAGTAGTCAGTTAATACCGTGTAAAATTCAGATCAGCTAGTTTACACAATGTGTAAACTAGCTGATCTGAATTTTACACGGTATTAACTTAAACAACACAAACACACCAATACACACAGACACTGGTCACATTCACTGGTATAAACTCTGGTTACAAACATTGATAGTGTATTAAATATGTCATAAAATTTTATTTTTATTTTTTTAACACATAATTTAATAAGTTTGATCTATAAAAATTAATAATACATATTTTTTATTTGTTATTGAGAGTGGTAAACTTATAAATTTTGCATTAAATGTAATTGTCATTTCTTGTAAAGCTATAATAAGCCTTTATTTATGTAAAAGTAATTTAGGATATAGGACGATTTAGTTAGGGCTTTTTATAAGTAAAAATATAATTCATACAAAAATAACAACTTAAGGACCCAATATTTTGTTTCATATTTTTAGATTTCTAGTCATTTGTACAAACATATATTAAATTGATGAACCTTTTGTATTATTTAAGTTCATCATACATATTCGGCATCAAATGAAATTTTTAGCTTAATCAAATTAAATTTTTGACTTTCACGTGTGATAACAATGTTAATACTCAAAACCCCATTATTTGTATTTAGGAATTTTTTTTTGGGTGATAATAGGTAATAGTTATTATTTTAATTGTATTATATGATTCTGCATTAAATTTTGGATATATGAGTTAAATTTGAGGTCTCTAGCTTAATAATTGTTCATTCTACATAGAAAGACGAGAATACATGCACGCTCCCTTAGCGTCAAATTGGACCTCGGAAACTAAATTCGCTCAAAACTGCAAATAGCCATATGTCTGAAACCGTTTAAAATAATGAACTGAAATTTTGGATTTTATCCTATGTAAATGTCTAAATTATGTGTAGGCTACAAGTTTTCATGAAAATCTGTGACTAGCCTAGTGGGTGACAACCCCTGGATGACTTGACATGGAATGGCCCGATTATAAAATAAGACCTGTTATCAAGGTTGATTTATTTTTTAGGTTTGCATTAATATGTGATTAGGAGTAAAATAATTTTAAAGGGATTTGAAAAAGACCCTTGTTATCAAGGGAGACTTGTTACCCAGGTTCTACTAACCTAACCTCAAAAACTCACCATGTCGAAATTATCAATGTAATGTTTTGTTGCTCTGTGAAATATTATTTGACACGAATAACTTTTTTCAAAATGAACAAAAGTAAGTGGACAGGTTGGATCTATCCTGAAATTGCTGAGAGAGAGTCATTCATTGAGAATGATAACGATTAGCTGATGATTAGCTTGCGAGTTGCTTTGCTTGACACTTACTTGACACTTGACAAATTGACAGGACTTACTTCTAGTCAGTCTAGTTCAGTGAACTGAACTGAACAGTGAACGCTGAACTTGAACTGACTGACTGACTGTTTACTGGACTCGACTCGGACTGAAACACGGCCACCTTTAGGCCCCAGGCCCCATGGTGGAAGGAGGCCCCGGCCTGGTAGAATTGGCAACGTCGCAAGCGGTATTGTTTAGTGACATACGTCCCATAAGGTAACATGGCATACAGGTAACATCAGCTCATTAATTCGCACTTTATTGATATAAATTTAAATTTATGAACATAAATTTATTAAAATATTGAAAGTAAAAATACAGAATTGAAAACCGTAAAAATATGAATTAAAAATGTATATGTACCTTTTAAGTGGAGTCAATAATGTCATAGTCCAGTAACCAATCTTTCGTAAATACTGTACACAAATACCATTAGCTGTTTCCAAACATAAAAGCTGTTACAACACCACTTGCGACGTTGCCACTTCGAAGGCCAAGCCTGGAGTTAAAGGTGGCCGTGACTGAAGTCGAACGCTCTATTCTGACACGGTACGAGACTAGCGTCGGGCTCCTGTAAAAAAGATGGATGAGAAGTCCTTTTTGAACGAAGAACTTTTTGCGAAGGAGTGGGGGGGCGTGACGTCACTTTCTTCTCTTGAGGGAACGGGAACACCATTCATTATCGCAACGATAATGAAGTAATGGAGGGCAGCCACCGGTATTCGTGATGCAGTGGATATGCAATATTTTCATAGACCAGCAACCAAGCTTTTGTATTCTTAAAAATGTACACAAATACCATTAGCTGCCTCCAAACAAAACAGCTGTTACAACTCTACTTGTGATGTTGCTGGAGCCTGGAGTTAAAGGTGGCCGTGATTTTCTTTCCACCATGGGCCGTGATTGTATTGTACAATTTTACAACGCAGCTGCATGGTGCATATCATGCTAGCCGACTAACTTTGGAAAATCTTAGAAATAAATATGGTCAAACAACAAACCCCCCTTACCCTTTCAAACATAGATAACAATAACATAACCTTAAAATAATTAGTCAAGTCAAGTAAGTTAAGAAGCAAGAGGTGTCCTTCAAGTATTTACCAGGAAAATTATCTACGCTATTCATATATATTTATTTTTTTAATTTTACAATTTAACATTTAGGTTATTGTAAAATAACAATAACTTAGTGGGCCTTACGTAGTGTATTTTTTTAGTTAAGCTTGTCAGCTTTTCCACTAGGCTAGCCTTCTTTTAATGTAGGCTATTTCAAATAGGTAAGTTTTAATGTAAATAAAATATTACAGTAGTTCTTATAATAATTGATGTTTACATTGCAACTATGTTGACTGCAATAAACGAACCATTAACTTACTTAGAGATAGCTAACTTCAAACACATGAAACATAGGCCTAAGCTTGTTTGTTTGTATTTTGGCTGCACTTAAGTATCTGTCCTACACTCATTAAGTTAGATTGAATATATCGATCAATATATAGATTATTTCATTTGATATATCAAGTTTGGTTGGTTAGGTTCATCTAACCTAGGCCTAAGTTAACTAAGTTAACCAAATGAAATAATCTATATATGGAATAATCTATAACTCACATCGATATTTTTCATTCAAATGAGTGTAGGACAGATAATAAAGTGCAGCCTAAATTCAAACCGACTTTTAATTTCACCTGATTTTCACTCACAGCTGAGGCGCTAAGCTACTAACGTTCAAAGTGCCGATGTTAGTAAGGCAGTAGTAAGTGGTCGAACAGTCATTCAGTTAGCCTAAAACCGTAGGGCTGTAAAGAACTAGAGTTTAAAAGCCACAGGGCCTAAGTAAGGGCTAAATAAATACCCACAATAAAGCTGGTTAAAGTTTCAACAAGGTAGAGCAGCGGGCACTAGACAGCCCCGAATAACTTACTCACTCTTGCTCAATCGGGTTGCTAGCCTGTCGCTTAGCTCACAACACTGATTATTTAGGCTATATAGTAACTTATACTAGGCTAAGTTAAAAGGCATTTCAATAATTCATTAAAGCGACCAATGCAGTATAAAGGTATAAATTTTCTAGTGATAACTTCAAGATTCAAGATTTATTTCGGCCATTAAGTTATTTACAATAGGCTTTGTCTTACATAAAATATTCAACTAAAAATAATATTTCAGTCTTTTCCTGAAAAAATAAAACATATAAAATAATCCACTGCAAACCAAACAGCAGTTCTGTCAAAAACTTCACACAGCAAACCATGCAAAATATAATTGTCAAACAAACATACCTTCCAGTAGACGTTAACTTAATCCTTATTTTAAGTTAAATAAACAAAAATCATAGCTGGTTAGATTCATAACATTTTACATTTCTGTCGGAAATGAAAATGTGTTTTTGAGTGAAAAAATATCTTAGATGATTTAAAAAATATTTAAATGCAACCATAAACGCCAACTCCTTACCATCTCATAAAAATTTAATTGCCAGAACAACAAAGCAGTAGGTCTAAACTTAACTTCAAAGTTTGAGGGTCTAAGCAGGCACTAAATTATTTTTAGTAAAAACAAATTTTGGCACATTAATAATGGCTACAAAGTGACATGCAAATAATATTGCAAAGTGACTTCTTAAAATAATTCCTGCAGCTGGATATTTTGAGTAAAATTGTCTGATTTTCAAAAGTCCGTAAAATGACCTGCCATCCAAAGCCCTGTGAAGGCTTTGATACAACTAGACATTCCATCCCCGTCCCCATGTTAATGTTGTATCCATTTTTTTCAATCAAAGTCGTAACGTAATCGTTTATGTGAGCCACCGACAGGTTGTGCTAGGATGTTAAAATTAAAAATTACTGATTTCTGTTAAAAGCAACAAGTTTTTATAGGCCTACCAATCACAAATTCATGAAATGACTTATTGTGAGCTTTAGCAACTTTTTTGAACCATTACCTAAGTTATGTCAACAACAAAAAATAAGGTAGAAAATACAATTTTAGACATTAGCGTATAACTTATTCTGTGACTGGCTCACTCAACTAGAATGTTCTTTCTGATCCATATATGGGATGTCTACTTCAATATCCAATAGTGAATGAAACAATATTGTTTGGGCTCAATAATGCAGACAGGCGTTTTTGTTACAGGTATAAACGTAAATTATAATCTCTCATCAATGGCAACTCCCAGGAAACAAAGTCTCTTTGCACTACAGAATTGCAAAATGCAAAGAAAGTTGAATCTGAACAAAATAAATTAAGAAATATTGAAAAGACCAATCAATATATTGATAAAAAATGTTTTGGTAAGTGGTTTTACGTCTTACAAAATAGCTAATAAGTTAGGGCCTACTGTATGTCATATGTGTCAAAAATCATAAAATTGAAGTTCAAATAATTGGTAGGCTAATAGGGTAGAAGGGGGGAATTGGGTACTAGGTTTTGTAAAAATGTATTTTGTAGGCTAAAACAAATTGAATCAATTTACAACTTTTATGCCTTCATTTAAAGGCTTCCAATAGACATCTTTTCACTTATTTTCAGACCTGCAAGTTGTTTTGTTCTATTAAAAAAAAAAATATTTTTCATACCCAATTACCCCAGAGGGAGCGAGCTGGTCTAGTGGTTAGAGCGCGGGACTTCGGTTCCTGGGATCCCGGGTTCGAATCCCGTCCATATCACCAATGGATTTTATCTAAGTGATAATGCCGTAACCCCTAGGTCTAGCCTGAAGTAATGTGAAAAACCATTCCGGACTCGTGCCTAGCGTCCTAGGACAAAAAAAAGAGGGGGGAATTGGGTACTACATCCCTATTTTACATTAAAATGACCTAAGTTAAAAATGCTGGGAAAATGAGTGTTTTTAAGAAAACACAAATAAGCATTTTAAGACAAGTTTTACACTCTTATCATTACTGTATTTTTGACAATTTTATAGAGCATTAAAGTTAATTTTTGAAAACTTTACAGTTTTTCAAAGATATTATTTGTAATAAATCCTTATAACCTAGGGTTGTAAAAATTGTATTAATTGTAGCTTCTTAGACATATATTCTAAAAAGTAAATTGAAATTTGAAAATGTTTTCTACTGTTATAGCAATTAATAAAATTATTTTGTTACCTTACAGTATCCTTGTTTGGTATTGGTAAACAAACTACTTTTTGTGGCAATAAAATTTAGACCATCAAGGCGTACAATACGTAGTCATACAAGAAATCGTTTAACTAGTAATTGTTTAATCTTACACAGGAACAAAAGCAATGTAAGTATTTGGCCCTGATGCGGGATCAATCCATGAGGAGAATGTGCAACGTTTAGCTTCAATGACTCCGGCGGAAATAGAAGAAGAGAGAAATAATTTACTCGCCAACATAGATCCATCACTTGTTGAGTTTCTTAAATCAAGAAAATCATTACAAGCAACTCAAAGAATCAAGAGAGAATCACAGAACCAACCTTCAAATTCCCATGCAATGGATGAAAGGTCAGTAAATATTAATGAAATTAACGAACCCATAACAAACCCATTGCTGTCACCAAGTGCTGCTATAGATCACAAATCTGTGATACCCAGCTTCTTTGATATACATTTGAGCACCTGTCACAGCTTCATAATATGTAGCATTGTATTTATCGTGCTTATCACAAAATCTGGGAAAGTTGTATGGACACCAAGCTTTTCTATTGTACCCACTGTTACAAGACTGGAGATTATTTCTTTTTTTAACTTAAACTGTGATTTTGCAGTTGCGACTCTGTAAAGAAATGATTTTTAGGACAAAACATCAGTTTTGTGTTATATGTAACCTTTAACTGACTGTTATTGTCTCAAGAAAGCTAGCCAAACTCTATTCCAGTTCTCCTTAAGGCCCCGGGTACGATACGAGCGGCGAGCGGCATGAGCGGCGCCGCTCTGACATCGGGTCTCATTTGGTTGCGTGTAAATTTGTTGAGGGTGGCCACGATACGACTGAGCGGCGAGTGGCGGTGAGCGGCACCGCTCAGCGCCGCTCATGGTTCCAAGTCAAAACCGATTTTCGCGAAAACACCGCTCGCCGCTCAGGTGAGTCATGCTTCTGTTCGGCCCTAAAATGACAGGGTAACAGCAGCAAACATGCGATACGAGTCGATACGTGAGGTGCAGTCCAGATAATGTTTGTGGAATGACCAGCAAGGAAGTTTTAAAACACTTCAGTCACCAGAAAAGTACGGAAAAAAATTATGGTTAAGGTTTTTCTAAAAACTAAGTTTTTCTTTAAAGGCAAACAATTGTCAGATAGCAACCAAAGTTGCAATACGTCTTGCAGGTAAGTATAGTTTACCATTTTATACTAAACTAACTCATAAAACTTGAGAAATTTCATGAGCGTTATAAAAGTGCCGCTAGTATCGTAGCCACCACCGTCGCTTACGTGCCGCTCAGGTTGCCGCTCGCCGCTCGTATCGTACCCGAGGCCTAATCGACCACTTAGTTTTCAGTCAAAATAAAACCTTTGGATTGTTTAAAAAAGATAGTCTTTGGGGACCGAGCCATGGCTCGGTATGGTTTATTTCCATTGTACATGATTGTACCCTTATATCGAGTAATCTTCAGTGTAATCTTTGCTCAATAGTAACAACTGATGTTTTCCCCTTTGTACTGTAACTTATTTTGTAATTTGCTAGTATACTGTGGATGGCTTGTTATAAACACAGGTTACAAGTCTTTTGTTTACTTTTTTCTTGTTAGTTTTTGTTCAACCAACACGGTTACTTGGCGAATGCTAAAACAACCAAACATTGCTCATATAAGAGTAGGCCTTTAGGATTAGTTCAGCATCGTCTCCAAGATTGATTTACGACAAAATAAATAGGTTTAGGTACATACCGTATGTCGTCAATCCTTTGGTAGTCTCGGGTGACTAGTTTCAAAACAGTTGTTTTATTTTCAAGCCTATTTTGTCACACATAAATTAATTGAACACAATGTCATCGTAAATATTTACAAATTCAACATTTAACACATACGAAAACCAAGAATACATTTGATAAACATAGAATGATGCACAGCTGGCCATATCATGCACGACGAATTATGTGACAAATTGCTATCCAATAAGAAATTTAATAATTACTAAATTATAAATTATAGTTCAATGTGTCAAATTCCAAGTTAACACCAATTAGTTTTACTTATTAAATTCAGTAGACAAATTTAGTAGACTAATAAATTTGTCTACTCAATATATTTAGGAAGAATATTGTAATCAGTATTTATTTAAATACTCATTAGGTACTGAAAGTCTGCTGCAAAGAGAAATCTTTCTGCGACTTTGGAAACATTACTGACAGATTGCAAGCATACATAGATATAGATATAGGCCTAGATATAGAGCAAACATTGTTTATGTAAGAATATAGGGATTTAATGTTTTAGTGACAATTTAAAACTAGCATTTTGACTGTTAGTGAGTGTGAATGACTATTTGAAGACTCTTATGCTCATGCTCACTAGATCATGTTATTTTTTTTTGCAAAATTTCTTTATGGATATATCTTTGAAGAGGACCATGGTATATCCAATATCCTCACACCACCTCTCATTTTCAGGCTCATTGATACTCAAGGTAGATCTTGTAGATCCCAACGTTTTGCATCCACTACTTTCTATCCCTCACGTCTTCACTACACTCATAAATTTCCAACTTAATCCCCCCACCTCTTCCTTGTACCCACAAGAAGTATTCATAATCAAGAACTCTTTTCTCATTTGTTTAATCATATCCAACCTCTTGTCTAACAAACCATAAAATAATAATTTAAAACTCTTAGTTTACAATCTTTCTCGTTTAAACTGCATTGAAGCATACCTAACAGCTGTGTTTACAATTTCTAGTGAGGTGGTCAGACAAACAGCTGCTGCAGAGTTAGTCAACAAGTTCCCCCACATGGATGTTGTGGAGCCGGAGAAACTAAAGTGGATGGAGAATGTCCCCCCGTCCAAACCTCCCCCTTCCGGTTGTCCCTACAACGCTAGGTTCAACTTTGACGGTGAGTAAGACTAAGTAGCAGCTTGCGTCATTTTTGTTTTTGCTAGTGTTGACCTAGTGGCATTTGTAATGAAGGATCACAAGTGCTTCTAAGGTAAATCTGTCTAAACCCCTAAAATTCCAAAAGTCTTTTGCCATAATAATGGTATAGGTTAATGATAGTTGCATTCCTGTTTTTTATGAACCTAAACATAATTACAGTGTAAAATTCCATCACAGCAAACCTGCAGATTAAGCAAATCTTCATTTGGATGATTTGATTTTCACTAAAATATCCCTAAAAAAAAATTTCAGATCTATTCCCCCCAGATCTATTCCCTCAAAGCAATGTTCAACGAGTAATTAGTTTCCCTGCTACAGGGAAGGTTTTTAAGTGTGTTTTTAGTAGGGAAGGACGAGATTGGATTTTTAGTTCGAGACGAGACGAGACAAGATTTTTTATTTCTCATAAAATTTCGAGACGAGATCGAGACGGGATTTCCCTTCTCAAACACAACGGGAAATGCACGTTCAAAATTTTTACCTGATTTTGTAACATTGTTAGATGACTGTTTAAATACAAAAATAATGATTATAGGCAAGAATATTTACAATCTTTTATTAAAAAACATCAGCATAACATTTTTTTATTAATCACGCCTAACTTATTAAAAATGCCTACAATTAGGAAACATAGTGATATCAGTTAGGATAGAGTTCAACTTATCCTAAAATAAAATAAATCATAAAATAAAAGCAATATTAATTTTTATAAAATAGTTACTTGTTTTGACTTTTTATAGTAATAAAACATTCCTCACACTACTTACACTTAACAAAACTTCTCAAATGTTATTAAAGTAATATTATTAAAATAATTAAAGTAATATTTACATTTAAAGAATTAATTAAATAAGAACGCCTTCGCAAAGGAAACGCAACTACAACACGCTCCTGTATTGCGGGTATTGCATTGACTTTCTGCAGGCGTTTTTAATTTTTTTCTTTTTTTTTTTTGTTAATTCTCGTCTTGATAAAAATCTCGGCCAAAAAGAAATCTCGTCTCGTGTAACGAGATTTAAAATTTCCCGAAAATTTCCCGAAATTTCGAGACTTGACCATCCCTAGTTTTTAGTCAAATATCAATAGATTTTTATCTGTGATCTGTTGTCAATGGGTTGGCATAAATTCAACTAAAATCAGTTGTTTTTTTTTACAGTAGTGTATTTTGTAAGAAAGCACACAACCGGTAACGCCTCTTCAAGGGAGCAGTCCAAACATCATTAATTTTTGCGGGTTGTCAGGTATTGAAGCAATCTATCTCACACTAAAAAGCAGGAAAGCAGTGTCGGGTTTCTGAGTGTATTGGCTATCAGGTGTTGGATTTATTGAGTGCTAGTATCATTAAATGACTGCATTCACTGCACCGTTTGGGTTTTCAGGTGAACTTTTGCCGTACTGTGAAGAGCAGACGACAGAAGGTCTCCATCATCATGGAGATGAGCCAGAGCGACCGGGATATACATTACAGGAACTGATGCAACTCAGTCGATCCTCCATGCTGCAGCAGAGAATCACTGCAATATCTACACTCTCAAATATCTTTGTAAAGGTACAGTTTGCTCTTAACATCCAGAAATATAGAAAAAATCCAACCAGAATCCAGTAAATGTAAGAGAAAACCCTTATTCCCAAAACAACACACATTTCTAGGTGTCCCCTCGCTCAAGTATGGCTCTGATATAGTGTTTTCCTAACAATTAGAAGGTTGGTTGTTTGACTAAACCCCGAATAGTTTTGGTGAACCCAGCTACCCTTAATCATGTTTTTAGTAAGAATCCTGGTTGAAGAAGCCTGATAGTTGTAACAAATGTAGCCGGTGGCCGTTTGTGAGGGGGTGCGGGGTTACTGGGTTATGGTATGGGATGGAGGAGGGAAATTAGGGTAATCAGTAGGGAATAAATGGGGTAATGTAATAGGTTAGGAGAAGGTGTGTCCGGACCAAACTTAACATAAGCGTGCTGAATCTGCTACCAATAAAATTAGGAAGATTGCTGGGGACCAGAGGGACGGAGACCTTTTACCCAGATCAGAACACTTGCCTAGCCAGCTTTGATTGAACCAATTGAACTAACTATTTAAATATTAACCTATCCTTCAAACTATGAACTGAACTTGGGAAATTACTTACTAATATTGATGAGTGAGGGAAAATAATATTTAGAGAATATTCAGTGACTAATATGTATGAATTGATGGATAATTGCTAAGCTACATTCTGGGAACATGTGGTTTAACTAACAGGTTTGAGAAGGTCCGCTACCTTAAGGGTAGCGAACCCGGCTAACATTTTGTTTCCTACATTTCACCAGTCGGGCGAGCCAGAAGGGCTCCCCGCTAGTTACCTGACTTAGCCAACCATAATTTGAACTTATTACTACTTATTAGCTATCAATTAACTTATCCATCATATCGAGAGAATGCCTGGTGTTTTCCGGAGAGGTTTTCTGTCCAGATGCCGGTTGACGAAGAAGCCAGGAGGACAAGACCTAGGAAAGGTGGGGATAGAGCATTGATGCAGTCGCGGCAGGCAACGAGATGAACATGTAGCCCGGCTTCGCGAACTGCACACACTATAAAAAAATATAGCGTGCCGCTATGCGTCACACAAAGCTTTTATCTCATCCATTCAACCCTCATCCCTCAGGTTTTGGCGATATTAAATAATAAAATGTAATCTAAATCTGATGAGGTTCTTGTGAGTAATTCGACTCTTTTCATTATCCATTACTGCGTATTAAAAATTCTAATAATGACATGTTTGCGGATTTAGGAACAGTAAGTGAGTCACCACCCACCAGTGACCATACGTTGTTTTGGTTTCACCAGCAAACAGTCAGAGTATTGATACCTTTCCAATGTTTTCCTTCTAAGCTATGTCTATGTTTTGGTTAATATATACTGTAGCATTCATAAAACAGTTTCTCATGTGTTCAGGCTAGCGACTATGACTACTGCCTAGAGAAGCCTCTTCTTCCCCAGTTGCTGGACTCTGAGCTCTACTTGTTGCTGAGATTTACGCTGGATGACTCTGTCCGCTCCGTTGTATCTGCTGCGCTCGCAGCTATCAGCAACTTATTAGTCAATATCAAAGATGAGGTAGGCTAGGCACACGTTTCTAAGAGTATGTGTGTTACGTTTATTTGTTCCTTTACTTTAATGTACTTAATATATTTTCTATAGTAATTTACAGTTCCATCTTTAAGCTTCCTACGACATTCCTTTTCCTGTTGAGTGTATTTGCATGAACATGTAATTCAAACAACAATTACCTAAAAATTGGCGTTTATTGAGTAACCGCTTATAGAAATGAAATGAATACAATTAGTAGTTAATGTTCAATTATATTGCAATCCAATATTATCTCTGTGCAGTAGTAAAAAAACTGCAGGACATACATTTTGTGAATATGAAGCTGTTTTATTGCATTCGTGCTCTAAAACAATATACCAATTTGTAATAGTTATTTTACACTTGAATAAACATGGAACTAAATCGGTAGACATCTATGGTTATTGTTGATGAGAATAGTAATTAAAAAAAATCATTGATAATCTAAAAATTTAAATTATTTGTGGTAAATTCATTTCAAATCTGTTTCAGGGATGCTTAGATCGCTTGTTAGGTCTGGCTACAGGCTTGCGCCAGCCTTCACTTTTTGTCCAACTGGATCTGAAACCAACTGAATTAGCTGAACTTAAGGATACAGAGTTACTCAAAGTTGATGTCATCAAAGGAGCTCTAAGGACTCATCTGTTGCCAAGGTTCAGGTAGGTGTAGTTAGGTAGCCGAGTGGTTTAAGTGCTCAGTAGGTGGCCTCTTTCAATCTTCTAATTGGCTGTTCAATAGGACTCAGGCCTGTCCTTGGAACGTTTTCAGTAAGACAAGATGAAAGTCAGTACAGCAGAAGTGTTGAACTGCACTTATATAGCGGCGAGCACAAGAATCGGAACCCACAACAATGTTCTTTTTAGGTACGTCTACTTGAGTTTATATTTTAGTTTACACCATTCAATGTATATTTATTATGTGCCTTATACAAAATCATAAAATTACCTTTGACGTTCCATCACGTAGTAAAACGCAAGTTTCAGGATATCATATTTATCCTTGTCTTGGGTTTGAAGGAAGCTACTACATTAACAGTCTGTCTTGTACTAATCTCATCATGTTAACCCATAACCGACGTGTGTAACCTGTCACCGCATTTGGGGCGAGATAGCTATACTGCCAACCCTATGGTGCCCAAGTAGTTTGTTGAATCCAACCTGCAAGTGCTAGAGTAACGTGTGCTTATAGTGGCGATTGACCCGTTCGACCGACCTCATGGTAGCTAAGGCGTTGCATTGACGAGTATAGCATTGAAGTTTTTCTACGAGGTTTCCATGTGCGGGAATTCTTGTCTAGGATTATCTTTTTTAAGTTTTCTTAATGCCCAATTTGAACATAATATCTTGTATTTCTTTGTGTTTTACAGATACATCATGGACAAGTTAAATCCTGAGCCAGTAGAGATAGGTCACATATCCAGGTGTCTAGTCCGTATTGCCAGACATTCTCCTGAGGCTGCTACAGAGATCTGCAACTCTCCTGGTCTGCTAGGGGCTGTTCGTAGGTTCTGTAAGTAGTACAAAACTCATGTGGGTAATCTGCATTCAAAAGTTAATATATTTGTCACCTACGTAAAACTGATACAGGTATCTTGCCATACTGTCTAAAGATTTTAAGAATACAGGGTTTACAAAACAAATTAGTTGAATCTGCGTGGACTTATTTTGAAACGCACTTTACTGTACAGCAAATTTCAATGAGTGAGAATGAGATCTTTACATTTTTCTTACGGTTAAATAGGTTTTGTAAACACTTTTCCATTTTAACTTTCTTTACTCTGAGTTTTTCTTTAGGCTATTTACAAAACTGTCAATCGACTCTAATTGAGCTGCTTTTATAGACGTTTATCAGTTTGGTGAGTAACATAATCTTACATCACCCAGAGATTTTAATTTAACTTTATATTTGTATGTAAATATTTAATGTTAAGTACCCTACTTAAACTTTGTTCTTTACTCCAGGATATGCACAATAACTAATTTCAATTTGTCATCAATTCAGTTTTTATTCATCAGAACAGTAAATTACTAGTATCTTAGCTCCATTGCCAAATCTTATTGTAAATAATGTCACAAACAAAATTTTAAAACATTTAAATATTTAACAATGATATTTGAGTACATCACTCCGACTGTGAAGCTCTGAAACTATAGCTGTCTCTATTTAAAAACCAACAGATTGACAACAACAGGGGTTTCTAATCTATTTTATCATTAATTCTAGTTGGATATCTATGCAATAGTTAACAATTATCTAAAAATAAGTGGCTTAACATTCATGTTTAAGATTTTTTAGAATGAGAATAAACATAGTTAAATAAACCACTGACAGAGTGTGCTGATCTAATTTACTAATTTCCATTAAACATGGTACCAATTTAACCAAACAACACTAACAGCTATAGCATATTAGCATACTTTTTGTCACATCAAATATTAAAAATTTAGGAAGAAAATTGAATTTCAGACTATAATTATTGTATTTTGTAAAATCTGTAACGTGGTGCATAACGCTTATTCTTCCTCAGTGGAAGAAGGTCCTCCAAGAGCTTGTTCTGAAGCTCTGAAACTGTTTAGAGTCATCTCAAGTCAATCCCAGAGCTTGGCCACTCATCTGTTTGAGACTTATAATCTAATGGACGTCATACAACGCTTCATTGCTGGGTAAAATTCATTTACTTTTTTTTTATTGTCATTATTATCAAAAGTTAGTTGTAAGTTCAATCCAAAGCAAAAACAGTTAATTCTAAAATATTTTTGGTGAATCAGTGGCTCGGTCAGTAGTGCAACAAACTAAATCCAAGATGTTGCCTTTATGGACAGGTAAAAGCTGAAAAAGCTGATAACCTTAAATAATAAAAGAATAACATACAACTTTATTAAAAAACTAGCCGCTATACCCGTGCTTTGCAACGGGGAGGGGCGTTGAAAGGGAAATGTTTGGTTCTTTAAGTCTACCATATGAAACAGTCGAACATTCTTAATCGATTTTAGAAACAAAATTCATTGCATTAAAAATATAAAAACCTTTTGTGAACCAGACACTCTATCTAATCCTCATAGTTGTACCAGCTAAACCGAGAGCCAACCAAAGATTTACAAAATTCATAGTTTTGGCCAGCATGTTACTGTTTAAAATTTCTTATGTCACTGGCATGAGATAATTTAAAAGACGTATGCAGTCAAAGATTTCTATTTTTTTTATGTCTTGTCTATGAAACTACAGTTAATAATAACAATAAGTTTGATTAAAATTTATATAAACCAGCAAGTCAACTCTGTAAATGTTATTTATGTATTTTTTCAGGAGTCGGGATGAAACGAGCATGAGCCTAGTGTTGGAAAGTTTTTACACCTGGCAGTCCTTCCTAGCTTACCATTTGGCAGTCGGATGTGTTGGGTTGGTTATACATCTTTTTGCTTTACATATATTAAATCCTTTAATACCCTCAATCGATTTAATCAATATTATACTTGTTATTTTTTTGTTGAGTTCACATCTTTCTTAGCTAACAATTGATAGATTAGGTCAAAAATACGAGTCTACGGGCCACACCTTTTTACTCCAAATAGGATAAAAAAACTATAACCTTCAGGTTTTGGGCCAACTGGTTGCTTTGAAAAGTATTGTTTTATTACAATTGGTTTATAAACTATTGTTCATTACCTTCTGCAGTTGCAGTGAAATTGTCAATCTCTCCTGTGATCACAGCAAAATCATTAATCATCTCCTGAAATTACAGTAAATTTGTGAATTTAATCAAGTGATCTTCTTAAACACTACAATCCGCTAAAATAAAAGCCCAGCTCAAAATTCGAGCTGCTTGCCCACCACCAATATAAATTACCTGGCCCGAGCTTGACCTGACCATTTCAGGGATCCACAACCCCTGGTAAAAAGTTAAAGTTAAAATTGTTTACCACTTTTTCAAAAATTGTTGAACATGTGTTGTAATGTGAAGGCCATTCACATCAGTGATACAGAGACTACTAGTGACTCACGCAGACAACACCAACATTGGTGACAGTAGTGGAGGTGACCTAGAGCATGCCACAGCTGTAGTGTCGTGGGTCACTGCAGTACTGAGGGTAGACATCAGCTCTGTGTCTTGCCTATTACCTACACTGCATCTTTGTACCCTCAAATGGCTCTCACAGGCTGCACACGCTTCAGGCTTCAAGGTAATGTAACCTTAAAAAATCCATGATCGATCTAAGCTATCTAAAGGCGGGTTTTCCTAGGTGACGATTTTGGCTCCAGAAGAAGGCAGTGGAATTGTGATGTCCCGAGCCTTTTATAGTTCCTCTGTGATATTCAGTAAGGACATTTTCCTGCGATATTCAATTGAGAAATTGGTTTATGAATGAGTTTTTAGTTGCCTAGTGTCTACAGTCCGCATTTTTTAAATTCTTGTGATTTGACTGCACGGCCTTCTACGCAAATTCATGTTCCTCAACTAGTAACTAATTTGATTGTTTATCCTCCAACAAAAAAACTTAGTTTGGTACAACATTGCCAAATAACCAGAAAAATATTAGAACTTAATTAATTGTCTAAGTTTAAAGATAAATTTTAATAATCAATATACATTGAAACTTAAATCAACTGAAATAAAAACTAATAAATGTACTGCTCTTGGAGCATTCGCCTGTCTTGAAGCGTGGCGTGGGATACTGCTGCTGAACGCGGCAGCTATTAAAATGTTTAAACCTGATTCTCGGGTCTTGAGTTGGTGCTAAAAACGCAGCCATATTTGGCAGCTATTAAAAACTGGCTTTGACTGTTGTAAAGAGTAAAATAGGTATAGTACCTGGGGTTCCACTAATTCAGTACAAAAAAACCTTTATTTAATTCAATCGGTTTGATTATACATATCCTCTTGTGCAAACGCTTTATGTGAGGAAATCTGTAGGTACATATTATAATGTTCAAATTGTTGCTGGCTAAGTCTATTAACAGATCATTATTAATTCAAATATTCAAAAGACATTCATAGTTATTTATTTTTCTTAGTAGGCTATTTATTTGCATGTCTGTTTAAAATTCAAAACACTTGCGTGATTATTTTGTTTACTATGTTTTCAAAATTCATATAACTTCTTTATGATTCATTTTTCTCAATTTACTATGTATAGAAGGAGTGTTTTAGTTTTGTTTGTTGTCAGCATTTATGAACATATGACAATATACGCATACTCATTTGGTATTGTTAATAAAACGTAATACAACAACATTGAATTAACTATAAAGTAGGGATGGACGGTAAGACTATGAGTCATACCGCCGATCACGCCGTGACCGCGAGTCATACCGACGATGACACCCTAACCGTGGAGTAATTTCGACCATAGTGTAGTGACCGTGAATTGTTTTGACCATCGCGCCGTGACCCCGCGTCATTTCGATGATCGGGGAGTCATACCGACGATTGTACCGTTACCGCGAGACATATTGATGATCACGCTGTGACCGCGAGTCATTTAGACTATCGCGCCATGACCGCAAGTCATTTCGACGATCGCGCCGTAACCGCTGAGTCATTTAAAGTTTCTATACAGGTATAGAATTTTAAAATTTAAAACAGATCTGTAAATATTTAACAATTTTTTGGTCTTTATAGATCAGTGCCACACAAAATTGATAATTTTTGTAAAAAATTTGATTTTGTTTGTCTTTTTTGGAAACTGCAAATTCTCAAGACTTTAAAAACAAACCCTTTTTATGCACAGGAAAAAATCCTGTCCCGTCCCGTCCAAACTAAAAATTCGATCCCATCCATCCCTACTATAAAGTTATAACTTATAAACAATGAAAGAGTGATTTGTTTGAGTGAAGCTCGCTAAACCTTAAAACATCAAATCAAATATTAAAGGTGCTTTCTTTTTTGTTTTATTGGTTATGATACAGAAAATAAATACAGCAACATGGAATATCATAAACTTAATATTATCTGTAGGTATTAGTAGTTGTAAATTGTAATACTACTAAGAAACAACTCTTCGCACTGAGAACTGCACTGTTGAACTTTTTGCACTTTTTTGTTTGTGGTTGTATAACAAAAAAATTAACAGATCTCTTTCCAGTGGGCTGGCTGCAAATTACTGGAATCTGTATTGAATGCCGTGGCTTTAAACGTAAAGCTTCAGGTATGTTGAACAAATGGTTTTAACCGAATAATAGATAATTGTGTTAAGTAAGTGGTTAAGTCGTTTAGTCCAAACATAAAAATAGTTATCAAAAGTCAAATCTTAAAAAATCATGTAATAAACAAGTTATTATCCGTAAACCTCAGAATATCCAATTGTATCTGACATGAATCACCAGCATGTCCACATTTAATCTTAAATATCATACATCTTTTGAATTTAATGTTTATCTTGTAAGTATGATTTGATAATAAATTATGCATTTGTCTCAATAAAGAGTTTTAATATTGTTGTCTTCCTCATCAATCCAAAAATGTTTGTGTTCTACAGCAGTATGGTTACACTCAATATTTAGACGGCCTAACTATAATGTTATTTGTAAGTCAAATTTATGCATGTGCAAGTATGTAAAACCATTTTTGTAAATACTGTGTTGTAGTTTGCTCTAAGCTTGATCTCTTGTAAATTTATTCTCTTTATAAACAACGGTATTTAATTAAAGGAACCCAAAAATAACAATCAACATTTCTGTTCAAGGACTTCAAGAGCAACGAAATTCATCAGAAAGTTGAATCATTTTTAAGCTCTGAGAACTTTGTATTGCTGTCACAACAATTAAGGTATGTTCAACGTATAATAATTGGAATTTAAAAACAGTTTACTCAGAGTTAATATCCCAAACTATATACCACGATTATGATGGCAGTTTGTATTTTTTATATCAGTTTATACATCAAATGCCTCAGAACTAACAACACCTTACTAATAAACATCAGGTGTGTACTCTAGCTTGTAATGTTAATGCCCACATTGCTCGGCTGTTTGTCCTTTTTACATTTACCAAACTGTTCATCCGATCATTGTGAAACTTATTGCTCAAAAATATATCCTTACTGTTTGCTAAAATACCAACACCAACATTTCCTAAAAAAGTATATGTCCAAGAATTTGATGCCCTACTCATGATTTCAAAATACCTTACTGCTCTGTCCTCCAGGCTTTAAAAATTACCATGTTAAACCCATGAGAATCATTGTGTTTATGAGTTTCCTTGGCAAGTATAAGAAAACCTCAATGTACTGATTTGCCTAGCCATCCTTTGTTCACCCCTTAAAAGTAGTCAGTTTGATTCTCACATACAGCTGTTTAAAATTTGAGAGATTTTGTGTAAAGTTGTAAAATTTTAGGTTTCATGATAAATGATGGTACTCTATATTTGTTTTACAATGAACAGGTTACCCACTCAACCACTCAACCCTGGAATGAAACGTGAATTTTGTCAATAAATCTTGAAAATCGGGTGGGGCTGATTCTGGTTCTCGATCAAACTATCAATACCAGCATTATCAAGGAAATGTTGATCCTCGAGACTTAGTGACAATAGATACAATCTCCAGAATCTCCCTTAACTGCTGTGTCCATTTATGCTCTTACCCTGATGCAAAGTAAAGGTGAAGCTACTTTATGCTTATAAAATTGATACTTTTCAGAAAGTGTTCGTGGTTGCTGGAAGGTGAAAAGTCGCCATCAGTAGTGGAAAGTTTACCATGTCTAGGGTCTATATCTCCTACACTGTATGACCACAGCCCACTGCCTGTAATGATGGGATTAGCTGTCTATGTTTATGCGATACGTTCACCACAGGTAGAGTACAATAACTGTATTTGCATTGCAAGTTCAATTCCTCCCTAATTGTAAAAGTGTTTATTGAAACTTAAACTGTATTTGTTTACAAGGTGTAAGGGGGTATACAGGAATTTTTGGGTCATTGGAAGTGGCAGACCGCAGAGAGGAATGGTCTAAACAATTTGTTTTGTTATTTTAAACGATATTTCGGCACAGTCTGCGTGATCGAGATACATCATAGGCGATCGGCTAACGTCAGGAGTGATCTCAGTAGACACCACGCGGTTGGTAAGAAAACCTGCGTAAAGATAAAAATATGCAGTCTGTGAAAAAATACCAAAATGTCTGGTTCAACTCTAGCTTGTAAAATCAGTTAAGACTATTTTTTTACAGGGGAAAGTAATGTGAATACAAATAACAGTGCAATAATCACTTAAAATTACCTCTCCAGTACTTGCTCGGGCAGAACAACTATTGTCGGGGCCACGTAAGTTTGCAGTTGGTGGCAACCAATCACAAGACAAGGCTAGTGCAACGTTGCCACATCGCCCGTTGACAACACTAATTAAAATATACTAAGCAATATTTTCAAATCAGCTGGTATTATTAGATTTGGCAACACCGCACGGTTCTCATTGGGTCATTCAAAACCATATGGTTATTAGGCTCCTCCCTCAACCGCAAACTTACGTAGTCCCGACAATAGTATGTATTATTGATGCTATGTTTTTAGGTTTACTGTCTTAGTAACATATATTTTCCTCAACAGAATATCTTTCTCTTTCAATAGTTATATTGTTTTTCCAGTTGTCGGAAAAGTTTGCCACGACAGAAGGAATCCAGAAATACTTAGAGGAGGTTGTTACTGGAGGAGTTAGAACCACAACGTCACATTGGTTCGCACGCCAGGAAATCGTTCTTTTGTACACTCTTCTACAAATCCACCTCAACACTCAAGTAAGTGTTTCCCTTGATTCAATTTGTATTAGTTTTTGTTTTTAAAGAGAGACTCTCTACCCGAGACATTGCGCTTTTTTACTGTTCAGAAAGTTTGCTGATATTATTCTAAAAGTCTTAAAGCTTTCCAAATACTAGACCTACACCCTGAACCCACAGCCGCGCCGAGAGTTGTATGGCCATACAGTATTGTTCGTTGGTAAAAATGTTTGTTTGTGTTAGTTTTTGTTATTTATTCGTCTCGTTATGCGTTTTGAAGACTTAATGACGACCTACTAGGAGCGACAACCACATCTAGACTTGACAATGACACCATAAGTGTGTAAAACCAGTAGCCATTAAGTCTACCAAGGATTACGTTGGCAACAAGGTATTTAACCTCTAGATTAGTAATTGTTAAGTAATCCGGAGGGCAATACCTCAGAAATGACGTTATACTAGTCTTGTTAGCCAATGCATTGGTCTTCTTAGCTTGAATGGTTGAATACTACTAGACACATAGAAAACTAGCCAGTAGATAACTAACCTATCAATCATACTGCCTAAAAATAAAAATTTAACTGATCATTAACAGAGCTCTTATTCTGTGCTCGCCCTGTATTCGAGTTATCCTTAAAGTTTACAATTTATAGTTACCATTGGATTGTTTGGATTGAGTTAAAGGGGAATTTTATCAATCTTTTGTATGATTTTGTACGATGTGCGAAATGCATTTAATTCGGCGAGGTGGTGCGATATGCTGGACGCTCTGGAGAACACCTTCCACGTGCCGGCATACCTCATTCGCATCATAGAGGATTATCTCCGGTCTCGCCTCCTCACGTATGAGACTGTCGAAGGCCCGCGGACGATGGGTGTCACTTCTGGTGCTGCCCAAGGTTCTATACTCGGCCCAGACCTCTGGAACGTCGCTTATGACAGCCTTCTGAAGTCTGAAATGCCTGAGGAAACTGTTTTGGTTGGGTACGCAGACGACGTTGCAGCTTTGATAGCTGCACGCAGCGTTGAGCTGGCTCAGCTAAAGCTTAACCGAGTTATGCGTACCATAAACGCATGGATGGCAGACCACGGTCTCTCGCTTGCTTTGAGCAAAACCGAGATCGTGATTTTGACAAAAAAACGGATTGACACCATCGTGCCGTTGAGGGTGGGAGCCGTCGAGGTTCAAACCGTTCGTTCTGCCAAGTATCTTGGGGTCATGGTAGACAGCAAGCTTAGCTGGCGGGACCAGATTTTCCGTACAGCGGACAAGGCCGCTAGGGTTGTTTCTTCTCTTAGCCGGTTGATGGCCAATGTCGGAGGACCTCGGTCCAGTCGTAGAAGGCTGTTAATGTCTTCGGTCCAGTCCGTACTCTTGTACGGTGCGGAGGTGTGGGCAGACACACTAAATAAGGAGGCATACAGGATGCGGCTCGCCCGAGTGCAACGTCAGGCAGCACTGAGGGTAGCATCTGCCTACCGAACAGTGTCCGAGCCCGCCGTCCTGGTGGTTGCTGGAGTCATCCCCGTCAAACTTTTGGCGGCAGAGAGAAAGGCAATTTACCGGCGCCGTGGGGAGGACGAGGGACGAACAGAGGAACGCACCCGCACCTACCAGATGTGGCAGGAGGGCTGGGAACAGGAGACACGGGGACGCTGGACCAGGCGACTGATACAGCAAGTCCAACCGTGGGTTAATCGGCGGTACGGAGAGGTGGACTTCTACCTCACCCAATTTCTGACGGGACACGGCTTTTTCCGGTCGTACCTGTTTAGGATGGGCAAAGCCGTGTCACCCGATTGCATATACTGTCCAGGCATTCTCGATGACGTGGAACATACATTTTTCCACTGCCAGCGCTGGGAAAGGCCCCGCCTGGAGGCTCAACAGTTAGTAGGACTGCTGTCGGTGGACACGGTCATACCGACGATGACGGAGGGTGAGGACTATTGGACCTGTGTGTCACATTACATCCAGAGTATTCTCCGCGCCAAGAAGTTCGACCTCGACCGGGATGCGGTGTAGGTAATAAAGAATCAAAATGCCAGAAACGGTGCGAGCCCTGAGGGCTTAGGTCACATGTTGGCCTGACTTGAAGTAATGTGACAAACAATTCCAGGTCTGTGTCCAACAGAGTAGAGGGGGTTTTTTAGTGAGTAGTCTGATAATTTCAGGAGTCTCACACTACAGGCTGGCTACCTGTGTGCGTAAAAGCATTTTCCCTCCTCTCCCTAAAAAAAAAAAAAAAACTACATGCCCCTTAACTACAGGCCCATTTCAACAGAACTCATGAAGGTAAACACTTTTTTACTGTTTCAGAATCCAGTTGAAGGCAGTTTAGTTCACCAGGCAGCTTTGTTTCTGTCCACTTCTATCCATGCAGACGATCGCTACATGCTCTCTGATCTGTTCACCCAAGTAATCTTCAACAAACACTTTTTTGGGTAGGAATTTATTTGAATAATAACTTAACAGTTTTCCACAAAGATAAAGAGAAAAGATTAAGTAGCTAAAATCCCAACCAAAGATTAGGATCTAAAGCCAATCTTAACATTTAAGTTCAAAAATTAGGAAATTCTCTTTAACAGTTTTACTTGAAAATATTTTAACGGCTGTGATTTGTCTAGTTTTCCTCCTGTTTTGTTGTTGATCAAATGTGTTTATTTTACAGGGCAGATATCAATGATATATCAACTCAGCTGGAAGGACTACATCTCAACTCAGACGCTCAGAATGTACCTGACAAGAAAACTAAACTACTTACTGAAGCGTTGGATAGGTATAAATGGATAATTTGTATACGTTTACAAGGGGAAAGTCTTAGTAGATAGGACTGAAAACCCAGTATTTTATATGCTACTAACAATATTTTGTTTGTACAGTTAATAAAGTCAAATTTATGATTACATAATTTTCATTAATAATTGGTTACTACTGTATTGATTCTGTTATATCATTAGTTTGAAAAAAGACGCATAACTACGGAACAACAGTTAATAGTCTCAGTAAAAACAAAATTCTTAATATAAATTCTTTAGTTGAGCTAACCCTCCAAAATTATCAGGCTAGGACTGCTAATGCTGTCTCTTGATCACATTACCAAGCGACAGCTTTGTATATGTACTCTAAGCTGAATATGCAGGACGAGTGTAGAATGGAGTAGGTGCAGATGTGTCTGTAGTCAGGCCCATTTATTAAAAGCCCAGTGATCAATGGCACCTGGGTATGATATCCAACTATCAAAAAGACTACTACTTGTAGAGTATAATCTGTATAAGTTTAATTTATCTTTCTTTATAATTTCAGTTTAGAGACAATCTGTGGCTGTTACCAGAGAGAGTTTGCGCTGGAGGGGTTGGGTCACATCTCTCCCCCTCCCTCCCTCACAGCATCCCCCCGAGGTACAGAATCAGCTTTACCAGCTGACTGGCTATACCTACCTCTGGTACATCTCAACAATATAGATGGGTCTGTACAACCTTGGTCCTAGTATAGAGAAAAAAGTGAAGAGAAACAGATTTAGCTTGTTTTACCCTCTCTATGAAAGTCTTTTTAGAAAGGTGGAAAAGTGTAGTGTTCATTTTTTTTTAAGTAACCCTCCTATACCTGTCATCCAGTTTTGCCTCCAGGATTGATGATGACTATAACTTAGGTTATGTGAGATTTTACATCATAAACTCACCATCCATTATAAGATTTCTAGTTTTAGAGCATTAAACATTTTGACAATCATCTCAGATTTTGAAATTGAGCTATAGTTCTCTAATATTAATATTAGTACTGTAATCTAATAATAAAGGGTTGATTGACAAGGACCAAAAATACGTAACCTATATTCCAACAAAAATCCTGAAAACTTGGCCCTTGCGCCCTCTACTATATTATTATTGTACTATGTGGTTAGTCTTTGACAACCCAATCTTTTACATTTTTATCATTGTTGAAAGCTAATGGTATGTTTGATTGGACAGTAAGCGTGGTGATGCGCTCAGTGTAGCTACCAGCTGTCTACAATGGTGCGTGGTACTAGAATGTCTGCGACCTGACTTTCTCTCTCACCTTCCACCAGCGTCTAGATTTTGCAGGCTAGCATGTGTGCTGCTTGCAGGTACGTACAAGTATCCTAAACCATTTGCTCTAGAATCATACACCTGGTACTAAAAAAATGTTTCAGTGTTTTAAAACCTCATCATTGATATTGATTGTATTAAAGTTTCACTAGGTGGATACATAAAGTAGATAAGTGGTTACAGTGCTTGCTTGGCAATAAAAAGATGACCTGTTCAAACCCTGAGAAAAGTTAGTAGCTTTTAATGGTTTCAAATTGGATCCAGCTGTCCGATCATTGTGCATTGAATAAATGGTCTTATGGTTTTATTATAGCAATGGATCTTCTCCATTCTACACTCATATTCAGGTAGAAACGCCAATTTTGGAATCTGATTTTTTGAATTTACCTACAGTAAATTAATTATTACTAATGGTTGTCCAGTGATCGAAAACTCGACCAAAAATATCTAATGTACATACATCTCTATTTTCACCCCTTGCTGTAATTAAAACATTTGATTGGAATTTCTTTAATTTGTTTGGATTTTCTGTTTATATTTAATCACCAGCATGGCAACCCATAAGGCCCATGTAAATTTTTTAAAATTTTAAATTCATTTTTGTGCTTATTTTTTAGCCTAATTTTATTTACAAAGGGATTCTGCACATCTACAGGAAAATATCTTTCTAACAGATGAGTAGATTTTCCCTGCAATGCACACCAGCTGAGAAAAAGGTTCTAAAGAAACATTCTTGCCTATTAATTTATAGATTTGTAGCCAGAGAATATCAAGCTTTTTCTTGGATTCATTCTATTTTTGTTGTTGTAAGAGAACTAAAAAATAAACATTTTTTAGAGAGAATCAGCTGAATTTTTCTATACGACGTGAGAGATTGTTTGACACAGTAAACCCACACTAATCTGACACATTTGTAATCTTGATAGTTACAGATTACCTAGTCCTAGTACCATACAAAACTTAAGATTAATGCGAAGATAGCAGAAATACCATTAAAATATGAAGATTACTAACAATTATTTTTAAACTATGCTTAGCCTCAGCCAATTACATGCAAACTTTGCTGAATCAGTTTTGTTAATTTAAAAAGTCCAAATTTTTATACGGATGCTGGATTATTAAATGTGTTGAGTAACAGCTTAGCAGAGATTTGATGTAATATTTTCGAAGTTTTAAGCTTTTTTGTAAATTTTTAATTATTAAATGTTATCTAGGCAATGACTTGTTCCGAGATGTGAGGGATTGGCTGAACGAGGCTCTACAGGCTTTGTTGGTTCATGACAAACAAATGAAATTCAACAAACCAATCCCTGGACTTCAGTCATTTTATGATTTGTAAGTTGGTTTTACTCTACTTGTGCGCTATCATGATACTTGGCCTATCTTGTTTGTTGGTTAACATACTTTAATGCATAGATTACACCTATTTGCCTCTTAATAGTTTTGCATTGTAGAATAAAGAGAAGTACAGATAGACCGTGAACCATACTGGCCTGCCTATATTTCTTCAAGGTAAGCTAGCTGATATCCTCTACAAAGTGTACAATTCAACATCCTGCCCTACAGCCTTTCCTTGAACAAAACTAATCTTAGAGTTTTGTGATATCATTGGCTCATGTTAAAAACCAAAAAGGTCATTGCAGGGATTTTTTTTTACACAATCACAAGCTTTCATGTCTTTGCTCGTAGAAACTTTTTCAAGAGGTTGTGATTTTCACTCCATATTTCTGTATTTGAGCATAAGTTGGATAGCTGAATAGACATAGGCAATCAATCAGAAGTCCCTGGTACAATGACAATCCTGAGATAATCAAAGCTTTGACAATTTGAAACTAGTCCTTACTGATCTAGCTAGTAAGAGCTTTTAATTCATTTAACATCTCCACACACATATCCAACACTCACATCTTCTCCTTACAATACACACTCTTTTGTGTCGATGTTTTATATATATTGCATTAAAAGCCTATTATGTTGCAAGCCTCAAATGTAACAATCTTTTATTTTTAGACAGATTTTAGGAGCTGCTGGAGACGTATGTTGGTCTGGGCCGGTGTGGATAACAAGCTGAGTACATGTAGAGTGTAATGAACAATTCAACATGTTTACTACACCAAAAAGCCAGTATACTAATTTATAATCCTGAAGCAGCCCACTGTTGCAGCTATCGCCAGATATTGGAGCAGTTTGTGGGAGTGTCGTACGGAGACGTAGTGTTCGGACAGTTTGTGTTGATCCCGCTACAACAGAGACATGACATCAGACTGAAGAAACTAGTGTGGTGTGAGCTAGGGGCTGTGTTGAGGTTCCTGTCTACACCAACGGATCAGGTTAGTCTAGGACCCAGTGTTTTAAAACTGACATTTAAAAAATTGTTTGCATGTTACAATTGTATATACATGTACAAAAATACCTAAACAATTAATTTCACTGCTGTGAAACATTGGGAAATTGTAAAGTATATCCCTGGGAGCCTGGGTAGATTTTTGATTCTCCATCTCAAAATTCCTTAGGGCTGCACGTATTTTAAAGTGGTCCATGACACTTAATGATACCACTCACTTAATGATAAGCTTTTTAAGATAATGATGTCATCATTGGATTTCAAGAAAACAGTAAGATAGTTACTATAGTTCGGCCGCTTAGAAAGCGACCTCCTTCAGCATTGGTTTAGCATTAGTGCGCAGGTCGTTTTCTAAGTGGCCGAACTATACATATTTGCACCAGCACCAGAGTTCCACTACCCCAAATGTCCGGATAAATCTGCAAACCTCCCATTAGAGAAATTAACGTATTGTATTTTAATTAAATTAACCCTCTGAGCGTTGCATAACATAAGAATTGTTGACAGTATGTAGCGTTTATGGAAACGATTCAGACTCACTCAATTTCAGTACAAAATGAAGTGAATTTAATTTGGTATTAATGTTATCAGGAGATTCCAAGCTGTCTAAAAAAGTCAGTCTATAGTGTATTGATTGGTTACTATTTTTGTAATATGAGCCAAAATGTTGGAAACCTGAGTGTTGTCTACTAACCTCGAAGTGACAAAACCTGAATGTTTTGTGCGTATTAGTTTAGTTTTATATATTTTTTCTCTGAAACAACTAAAAATGGAATGTAATGACATAAAATTTTGACCTTGAAGATTAAAAAAGGGCATCTGAAAATGAAACTAAGGTGTACAGCCGACCTGGAACCTGTAAAACCTGTACTGAAGCCTGTGAAAGTGTAGGTACTGAATTTTGTTGAATGAAAAATGGCTGTGAATCGTACTTAAATTTTGTAAGGGACCAGGAAATTTAGAATGAGCAATAGCCTATGACCGTGTGTCCTTTTGGTTCTCGTTTAAGGTTGCTGTGTAGTAAGATCAGGATTGTTATGGCAACAGACAATCACGGAGGTGTTGTCATCACAGGACAAATATGTAGCCATTACAGTTTAATTTGTTATCTAATACTGCATTTCCATCTCACCCAAACTATTGATTGAGCAATCTGAAGAGGGTCAGGTACCAATTAGTTTGGATTAGTGGGACTCTCTTGTACATTCATATTGTTTATATTTCACAAACTTCAAGCACATGATTTGAAACAAATCAGTTAGAATATTTTGCAAATATAGATTCGTAATAAGTTTGTTGATTCCTAAATTATGCCATTATGCAGTGATTCACAAATTTGTATAGACTATTTCTTTCAGGTTGGTGTTCCTATTAAAAACTTTTTGGAACCCTGCGAAACAGATGCTGATCTTCTACACATTTATCTGAGGTCTATTGCTCAAGGTACGTTTGTATGATTTTTTAACTATAATTTTTGCTATATTTTACAAAGATTTTTATGAATTAACTCTTTTATGAATGTATATATATTCCTAAATATGGGTGCCTCCCTGGACTCAGGGGCAGACTGGCAGCAGTGGAGACAACTTGTTGACGAGGCCAAAATACTTCTTAGGTTTGAGTGGCCAAGGAGGTAAGGTAAGGTATATCCCTAAATAATATATATTAACCCCCCTAAGCCTCAAATGCTGATACAATGGCTACCAAGGGCATTGCAATTAAATGAATACAGCGTGACCGACAGGAACCAGATGTTTTTTAAACTTATAGTATACGTAAGAGTTACTGTCACGAGAGGGGAGAGGTGTAATTCATTTCAGTATATTTTTCCATTTTAGCAGCCATGGAGTGTTAGAGTTAGACGTTACAACACCATATGTTCGCCTATGATACGTATGTGTGAAATGGCGAGCCCTTCATGGCAGCACAACTGTTACGACACTGCAGAATGTTGAAAGGGTTAAACAAGATTTTATTCGTTAGTGTTGATATGCTCACAAACCTTTTTGAGGTCACAAGTGAGACAGCATAACTATTCATAAATAATACTTATGCTTATTTTTAATAAGATCCCTTGGACACAATGTTTAGGATCAATGGCCGTCAAGCAGCTATAAGATTTACTGCCATAAATGTGGGGTTTGAACTGAAATGGGACTGTTTTTGGTTTTTTTTGTTTTTTGTTTTTTTTGTTACCATTTACACTTAGATTACTTCTCATGTGCTATGGCTTTATTTCCCAGGTAAGGAGAAAACACAGAGATTAATGGTTCTTATTTTTAGTTTTTAGTATCGATAACAATATTGGACGGTCAGTTTTCTGAACTGTTAAGGTCTAAGTACCCAAGGTACTGAGAACAGTTACTATAAATAGATAAGCAATAAAATTAAGTACAAATTACTTAAAGAAATAAAATCTGTGAACACCAACAATGTTGTCTTTAGGTCGTGTTAGGCAGACATTTTGTCCCGTGTTGTTCAAAGTAGCAGTTCACCATGTGGCTACGTTCATATCTCTCTACCCTGACGAAGGACCAGCCAGAAAACTGAAGCAGATGGTCGATGCTCTAGGAAACCAGGTAACGGCTAAACTCAAGGCTTCATTTTACGGCTTGAATTTAGTTTAACAGTATTTCAGAACTCCTCTCTCTAGAGAAGAGGTTTCTAAATGCCTTTATTCCCTTTTACTTAACATGTTTACAAGAACTAATATGATTTTTTTTAATTCAAAATACTTAAAAATAGTAGCATTTGTATAGTAAATCCACACCTAATATTAAATCAAACATTAAGAGTGCAAAACACTGGTGTTTTTTAAAGTGTTTTTGAACAAGAAGGATTGCTTCCACGGTCATAGTAGACTGTCAAAATTCAAAATCTTGCTCTTGGATGACCACAAAGTAAACTAATAAAAATGTTGGTCAGTGTAGTGTATATGTACTGCTCCAATATGTCCAAAAAACATGTTCAGTTAAAAGACATGGTCAACAAAGACAAAGATTTTACAACATGTTTCCTGCCTTTTTTTATCTTTTAGTGAATACATTTATTGCTGTGGTTGCTTGTTAGTAAGGTATACCTCCCAGAAATTTATATTATTTGTGTTAGGCAGACTGTTGAAATGTAATAAAAATCAATTGTTTATGGTAATATTTGTGTATACTTTTCAGGAACTCAAGAATTTACTGCAAAACTATAACTCTGAACAGAATCAATCAAGGATGGATGAGTAATTTAAATATTTAAGTTATTAACATAACTTAATTTACATTAAGTTGTATTATGTACATAAATAGAATGTTTATATTAAAATATTTGTAAAAATCAGTTTTTTCCTAGTACTTACTTCTCTTAGTTCGTGTTTTTCTTCTGACACCAAAATAAATTTTCTGGAAAGAAGAGAAGAGGTTATATGCACTAATAAGCTCAATATAGCGCTCACTTATGAATTTTCAATCGTAGCTGTTAGAATATGATTCTAATTAATAATCTTTTGAAAAGTTGTAAGGCAATTTAAGAAACGCAAGAAATCTTTTTGCTTTGAAATGAACAAAAGGTATAACCATTTTATACCACCAGTACTGAAATAAGCTTAGTTACATTAATACAAATACAATGAAAACATTTTTTTAGTTGATATATCAGCGAATTTCTTTATAGGGAAGTAGCTAAATTACCATAGGTGGCACTGTAATACCTGAGACCGATTTACTTTTTCATTTTGATGTCTACAGATGGCAAAAATATTACTTGTCCATATTTATACAGACTGTCCCAAAAGTCCCGGACCGGTTTAATATTTTCCAAACGACAACAGATAAATCAATAAGATTTGGTACATCAACACCACACCTAAAAATCTACTTTTTTAAGGAAATATCAATTTTCTGTCTCATCATGGGGACGACCCGCGAGGAGTCAGAAGGAAATCTTAAATAGAAGCATAGGTTGACATGTACATCAAATTAAAGGTCTTTACTAGCAGAATATAAAGCCGCAAATTTGAACTCAAACGGACAACCGAGTCAAGAATGACAGTGGTTCAAAGATTCATTTAATTTGCATACGCTTACTCCTCGGGGGGCACAGCCCTAGGAATCGGAAGAAAATTGTTAACGTAAGCATAGGTCGATATGCACATCAAATTAAAGGTCTTCACTTGTAGATTACAATGCCGTAAATTCAAGCTCAAAAGAACGCCTGAGTAAAAAATGGCAGTCGTTCAAAGATTCAAAATGGCGGATTCAAGAAATCTTTGAACGGCTGCCATTTTTTATTCAGTTATCCGTTTGAGTTCAAATTTGTGGCATTATATTTTGCTAGTTAAGGTCTTTAATTTGATGTGCATATCAACCTATGCTTCTATTAAAGATTTCCTTCTGACTCCTTGCGGGACGTCCCCATGGTATGACAGAAAATTTATAGTTCCTTAAAAAAGTAGATTTTTAGGTGTGGTGTTGATGTGCAAAATCTTATTGATTTATCTGTTGTCGTTTGAAAAATATTAAACCGGTCCGGGACTTTTGGGACAGTCTGTTTATGTATATTTATAAGAACTCCAGCCAGAATATACCGAATAGAGATTATATTCACAATCAGAACTTAATGCTCCGGTAATTAATGATACGACTGAGACAAGCGACGTTCGCATGTCAAGGAATTCCAGCTTTAACCACATCATAGCCCAATCTCAAGCGATGGAAGAGGTCAATTCATTACAGTAAGTACAGTATGACAGTATGTTGACCGATGTGAAGAAGGAAGGACTCAAACTTAGTTACAATGAAGAATGTGCTTTCTGAACAAACGGATATTTTTTATCAAATAACAAAATGGATTTATTCTGCCTTCCACTAATGAAATTGTGGCATCATTTACAACAAAGGATCCACCGGTTTGAATACTATCTAAAGGTTTTTCAAAAAGGATATGGAACCAGTTATCATAGTAATATTAAATCCGATGAGGTACCGGAAATATATTATTCAATTAATAATCAGCCACATTTTTATCTTACACAGTAGTCATTGTTATTTCACTTTAATTTATTACTCACTACACAAAGCTTGGTGTTTATAATTTTTCTGTCACTCTATTTTAGTTAGATGAATTAATGAAGACCATGAAAGTAACCGTCCATTTCGGCAGGATTCACCTAGTTTAAATTTAACTGAAAACCAAAAACCATCAGTTTTACAAATTATCAAATTTAACCGCAAAAAAAGAAACATCCTTTGTTGGATAAATAATAAAACAAGTTTTCACAATTCATACAAAAACAATTTTTATTATTGCAATGCTTATTATATAGTTATGTTTTTCGCTACACTACTGTGAAATGAAATGTTTTAGTTGCATGTTTATCACCTGCAAAAATCTATCATTTTATTTTTTACTACGGCACAAGAATGTTTACTATGCGAAAGTAATGTTAATTATCTTTTTTTGGATTTTGCCGACGTAAACAAACTAATATTTGCTATTGTTTTATCAACTGTTTCAATTTTCAACAACTAAAGTAAACATTAACTTTAAATCGAAGGCATAATTTAAACGGTTCTATGAGTTTTGTAATGAAGAAAACAATTATTCTTTGTAGTGTAGCGAAAAGTAACGTTCAAAACACAAGTGAACGTGGGTCTATACATATTCTCGACCATTTGGTCTAAAATATGTAATGACTCACTTTCTACTCTTGTTATGAACTATATTATTAAATTGTAATACAGTCGGGATCTACATTGTATTTGGTTGAAAGAGTATTGCAACTAAAGTTAAATTTTTATCCTAATAAATTATAGTCTTAAAAAATATTTAAAAAATACAATAGACTTTGAAAGAAATAACTATGCCATAACATCGCTAACTAAACTGAGCAAACACATAAATCAGTAAAACTTCAATGGAAAAGTTCTCAAGGTGTTGATAAATTATCAATGTTACATTTCTTATCAATGTTTTGAGCTATCAATTACTCAGTCTATTATAAGGATTCCAGTTTCAAGGTCACTCATGATAAAACTCTTTCTTCAATGATTTTGCTGTTGACGTTTTACTGCTTTTATAAAAAAAACTTAAACTTTAGGAGGCTTCAGGACGCCGATTCTTCGTAGGTACCTCACGATGAATGGAGTGGCCCCCAAGGTGATGCTTATTCTGACAGGCGCAAACAGCTTGTGTACTGCGTAAGCGACCACGAACGTGCTTGCGCCTGCAGTCAGGGTGCTCTCTGGGTCCAACCCTACTTTGGCCAGTAGACTGCCTACATCCACACCACTGTAAACATACAAATTTGAAATGGTTCACAGCCTGTTGGGGATATAAGCCTAACTCTAGTTTCTGGAATATTGGGTGTAGATTTTCTTGATATGGATTGAAGATTCCTAAGTCCACATAAGGCAACTACCATCTAAACATACCATTGTTTGGGATGGGGGCATTTTTTGTATTTAAACCTAAATATGGGGATAGAATGCTGTGAGATGTCTTAGTGAGCTTTTAGTATAAATAAAATACTAGACAAATTACAAATAACTGGGCTGATTGCTATAGTTGATTTAAATAATACTATTTGAGCTCTTAAGGATTGTTCAGCGAATTCATTATGTGAGTTTTTATAATGTTTTCTCTCACAAACACAAAACCACACTTTAAAACAAGGTTTCAGTGAATACATGTTCACAGTAAAGCAAAAAGTAGCAAAATGCCTGCTTGAAGGTGGCACTCACAATGACTCATTGCACTGATGCCGTCAGCTTTGCTACCCGAGCCATGCGGCGTTATTTTAGGTAAACCTGATTGAGAAGGGATTTGAATTTTTAGGCCTACTGCCTTCTTATCAGAGAGATACGGTATCTTAAATTTAGACTGCTGATCTAAACTTTAGTTTCCGTTGCTTTTCTGTTGGTTTTTAGTTGAAAGATTGGTTATGTTACGCTAATTTATGTTCAATATTGGACTTTAAAAGGTTGATTACTTAACAGGTCACAGTGTAACTAGTCAAATCTATTGTTAATTCTCAAGGGGTTATTACTATGATAGAAATTAAATAAGTTTCTCAAGAACTTAACATTTATTCTCACCTTGATATAACTAAATATGATGTGCCAAGTGACATTAGTGAGATTGTTATATGAAACACAATGACAGTGGCCCCGTAATCCTTTATAGCTCTCTTCAGTTTGTCTTTGTTTGAAAGAGTTTTAACCTCATCTGTCGTTGGAGTTTGGTTTTCACTTGATGAACTGAAATTTTGATCCGACAAAGTTGTAAGCTCAACATTCTTCGGTTGTAACAAAGAGGAGCTCTGGGGCAATGAGTTCCCGTTAGTAATGTGTGTTTCACCCATGTAGTGCCTACTTTTGTAGCATGACACTTTAATGTTGACTGGAGACAAGACTGTCCTCTGTGAGTTAATAATTCTCTGACAAATACAATTTTGGAAAATTAGATATCCTGGTCTGATCGGTCTAACCATAAAATTCATTTCCTCACTATCTGGAAGAAAACCATAAATTATTAGTGGATATAATCATAGCTTCAACAGCATAGAGCTGTTAAATGTTTTAATTAGGCTATTCAAAATTACTTTAATAAGAAAATGTACATCCTTGGACATAATAAGAATGTCTACAGCACCTGTCATACACACATATGTAAGGCAATTGGAATTTCAAGTGGTCTAGACAATTGTGATGCCAAGTGGATAATAAAACATATCCTTATATACAGCCTAAATTCAACTATACAAGTTACTGGATTCTGGTTAGGCATGGCATGCATATAAAACATATTAAAAGTGATCAATTAGTTAGTTCTATTGTCTAGTTCAAACTGAGCCTTACATTTCACCGGATAAAAAGATCTTATAGAATAGTCTAGTGTTAGGAAAATTGTGATACTTGGAATCAGTTCTATATTGGAACTGCAGTATCAATACTACTAGAATATTGCAACAAAAGTATCCATTTAGAATGTACAGTATTGAACTACTCGTGCGTTTTTTAGTTCTAAGCCTTTAACTTTCACGTACTGGTAGGCCTAATCTTATTTGTAAGGTTTTTTGTTATAGATTAAGGCTGATGTTTACAATATGCCTTTCAATTACTTTTGGAGACAATTAAGTTTTTTTCTAGGATAGTCTTCAATAACTTGCGGTACTTAAAAATTAAAAAAAATTTAACTTATTCAAATAACAACATCAAAATGCAAGAATAAACAAGTTACTCCTTTTTTCTTCAATTTAGGGTGCTTTTTTATGCTTACTTAATCACTGCTTCCAAAGTAGAGAGGTGATTAACAATAACGTTTGTCAAAGAAAACCGATGATGTCTAAGTATCTAGGCATAAGGATCTGTTGCAGACACTGATGGCGACTGATGTAAACTCCTTCTAAGTGGTAGCACAGAAAACATACTACTATAACCCAGAATGCTAACCGCATGGTAAAAAGCGTTAAGTACTCGGAGAGAGCTTTGCCTGTCAATTCGTAGGCAGCGCCAGCGCCACCATCGTTGCCAGGGCCGGGGAGTAGCTAGTAGCTACTATCCCCGGCCCTGATCGTTGCTATGCTGGAACATTGTATGCTTGTGGCGCTGCCTACGAATTGACAGGCAAAGCTCTCTCCGAGTACTTAACGCTTTTTACCATGCGGTTAGCATTCTGGGTTATAGTAGTACCTATGTTTTCTGTGGTGGTACAGTAGAGTCCCGCAAACTCGGCTCTCGATAACCCGGCAGTCTGGATAACTCGGCCATCACTTGGCTCAGAAAATTAGTGATTTTTTGAGTCCGAGTTAAAAATGGACTCAAGCCAAATCATTCGCAACTCATACCAAGGATTTGTTGTACTATATCTGATGACTTAATACTGACTTGTACTATAAACATAAATAAAAAAGGCGGTTAAAAAGCTTAAAACTTGTATTGTTCTTAGTTCCTGATAACTCGGCATTTCACAAACTCGGCACCCTTCCAGTCCACATTACACAGAGTTTGCGAGACTCTACTGTAGTAACTTAAAGTAGGTTTGAATTCATTTACTTTATTGGGTAATATTGAACTTATAAGTTACTAGGATGTTATATTGCATTTTTTACCTTATCTACCAAAATTAGGCAAGTATTTTTTAAGCACTTTTTACCTTTGAAACTTTTGGGGGAACGGATATTTCACCCTGAAAATCACGTTTGAACATCGCAGAAAAACGCTAGAAATCAATGATTTTTGGGGCTTGAAAATTTTCTTTTTTTAACTTACTTTTTCTTATGTGTTTTTCTTTTTATTTAGTCCATTTCAAAAACATTTTTGACAAATGCCGTTTTGCCCCAGAAAACCAGGTTAAAAATTTGTAAAAAATAGCAAAGTGCCAAAATGACCCATTTTTGGGTAGGCCTAAACCGAATTAAATATAATCCACCCTAGATTAATTTAAACTAATCTAATCTAACCTAACCCAACCTAATTCATGCTTAGGTTATCAAAGTGCCGAAAATGACAGATTTTGGGTAAACTGAGGTTGGGTTAGGTTAGAGGTCATGTTAGGTTAGTAATCAACACATTTACTGGTCAAATGTGCCAAAGAATGATTTTTAACGCTTTTCTCAATTTTCAATTGTGTTTTCAGGGGTGAAATACTTAGGTGTTTGCCTAAAAGTGGAAAAGGAAAATAGTGATTGAAATGGCCTAAAGTAAAAATAGGCCTAATAAGAAAAACATCATTTAACTTACTTAAAGTAAAAAAAGTTTATCAAGCGCCTAAAACCACCGATTTCTAGTATTTTTTGCGATTTCAGGGTGAAATAAACATTTCCCCCAAAAGTGTCAAAGGTAAAAAGTGCTTAAGATGGTTAAATTTTGGTAGATAAGGCAAATAAATCAAATATAATATAAGTAGTATAAGTTCAGTTACCCAGGTGTACATTGGTTTCACAATAAATAGGCTAAGTGATATAGTCTAGGTACATTTTAAAGAAAACCCTAGTTATCTTATAATATTCTGGGTTCTTTGGTATTATCCGGAGGCCACCCTTACACAGCGCAGTTATGGTAGGTTGGGTTTTCACAAATATGTTTGTTTGCAGGACTTTCCTCATTTCTTTGTGAATCTTACAATACCAGATGAGTCATAAATTACTTTTGCACGCCATATCCCCTCAAGTACTTAGCCAGGTCATTGACCGGAGCATGCATCACCTGTATCTGGGGTATTTGGCGGGCGAAAGTATGACTCATTTGGTATAGTTCTATTCATAACGAAACAAGTTTTATAAACATATTTATGATAATCAAACCTAACATGACCGCCGCAGCGGTGCTGCATACCTTCTTGGCGGAGTATAGCGGCAGCGACGCATTCAACTCAATCCTCGCCGACATCGCTGCCTTTTTTTCTGGGAGACAGAACTCAAAGGCCGCTAATTGTATGTAATCATGACAAATTTGGACAGTCAGTCAATTAAAGCAGGTTTTTTTCTATTACAGTACCTATGTAGTTATTTTTGGACTCTCCAGTAAAAAATCCCTCTAAAATAATTGGCCTCCGGATAGTACCAAAGTACCATATTCTGTATACAACTTTTAATATAGATACTGCAAATTTCTCTCAATACCAATAAGGCATTGCTTGGTTAGATAGGCATACAGAGACTGATACCAATGGTATCGAAAGAAAAGTAACGATACCTTCGCCTAGATACCAACCTAGGCCTAGTTACTGTACTGTTAGTTGAAGCAAGGCCTGTTTTAGTAGTTACGACTTATATCAGGTAAATACGCTAATATCGATTTGATTGATAAACCTTCATTAGATTTTTTCATTATCTGCAGGTTTGGTTAGTTAGGCTAGGTTGTATTATGACAGTTTAATTAATTGATATAGGGCTGCAATTTAGTTTACGTCCTACACTAAGTTAATTCAAATGAAAAATATCGATATATACAGTAGATTATTCGATATATCGATTAATTCATTCGGTGGTAATTATTTACCCTATTTACACTGGGATTTGATGTAATTTTGATATGTATACTTACAGTATTTTTAACGCTGAATCCAAAAATGCAATCAGTTTTGGTCGGAGAGATTCCTAAGTGGCCGTACGGTTATATAATTAATATTAAGCTTCAGTTTTGTTCATATATTACCATATTTGTGGTATGGACGAGTCCAAGTTCTAGTGGCGACTAACACTAAAAGGGGTGGAAGGTTTGTGGAGTGGAAACAGCTGTCAGTTGTTTACATTCTATACTAAACAGACAAAACCACACATGACGCCATGAGAGCAAAATCAGAGTTACAATATGCATTAACTAGATTTTAAAAAGAAAATGGACTTTGGTGATGTTTATAAAATACAATAAATCAACTACCATACATAAACTATTAATCACATGAACATAAATTATAAATCAAAATAGAATTTATTCACGTAAAATATCAGTAATAGAAGCTAGGCCACTGCCGACATGATCATCGTCCTCATTCCAATCCTCAACCATTGACTAAGGCCTCAACGTCTGGTAATGAACGTGCCATAGTGCATAATCCCATAGTACATAATCCCATTGTGTCTAAAAGTGAAAACGTGCCACAGTGCATAATTTAATGTATCAGCAACTAATAAATGATGTTACATAATCTAATCTAATCTAACCGAACCCAACCCAACCTTAATATTAATGTTTAAATTGCAGTTTATGTCAGAAAAGGCATGTGAGGAAGATAGGTCGGACTTTATGCGGATTCCTGACTATATTAAGTCCTTTGAAGTGAGGTTAGATTAGGTAAGTTAAAGGTTAGGTTATAATGAACCGACTCGTTAATTTATGCAACTTCCAGACTGTTTTTGCACAATTGAAATAGTGGGTGAAACACAATAAAATAACAATATCAAAAATGCTTGCGCATTTTTGATATCGTTATTTCATTGTGTTTCACCCACTATTTAATTGTGCAAAAACAGTCTGGAAGTTGCATAAATTAATGAGTCGGTTCATTATAACCTAACCTTTACCTTCCTAATCTAACCTCACTTCAAAACACTTAATACAGTCACGAATCCGCATAAAACCCGACCTACCTTCCTCACATGCCTAAATAAGAATTGATCATTTGGTTTCAAAACGAATTGATTTGATTTCATTCCGCATTAGATCAAGTATAAACAGTTGTTTGCTCTTCTCACTCAGTCCTCACTCCTCACTCTTCACTGCACTCAGTACGGACCCGTCCAGACCACGCCATATTACCATTACCTTCAGTAGGTACCGCTCAATTATCCTTGTTAGATTCGTAATCCTAACCTTTGTTTTATGGCCGCTACCGCCACTTAGGAATCTCTCCGACCAAAACTGATTGCATTTTTGGATTCAGCGTTAAAAATACTGTAAGTAGATATATACAAATTACATCATATCCCAGTGTAAATACGGTAAATATTTGCCCATTCGGTTAGTTAGGTTAGGTTCCTAACCAACCAAACTTGATATAGGCTATCGAATGAAAAGATGAAATAATCGACAATATATTCATTCGAATGAGTGTAGGACGTAATCTAAAGTGCAGCCAAACTATACCCCTTATGTCCCAAGCTTTAGAAAAACCAACAGTGGTTAGTGATACATTTATGTTTTAAATAAGTATAAGTTTAAGTTAGGCTATATAACTTAGACTAAAAATAGGCTAAGAATTTATTACCCAAGGAATTAGGCTTAATCAGCAATCTTACTCTTAGTATAACGAGTTTCGATACTTTCAATCACTTAAGCTTGGTAAATAATAGAGAATATTTACGATTTTTGATAGATCGATTTATTACTTCTTAAATGTCATCTCACACGTCACTCAACTTAACTTTGTTGTGTTACTAATTACTAACTGTACACTGTACTAACTAGGCTACTTAAGTTTTGTTATGTTAGGAAGGGAAGGTTGAGGTTAGTTTGACAAATTGACAATGACAATTAAAAACAAAAACAGCTGACTGGATCATGACATGACCTTGTTAACATAGAGATGTCACGAGAATAAAAATTATACACTTTTAAGAACGTTTTACCATTGATTAAAGAATCAGATTTTTTAACGTTAGACCATAGATGAAGATGTTAGACATTAAAATGGCTTTGACTCGTTAGAGGTTTCAAATTTTTAACCAAGCTTTTAAAATTCTTGTTAAGTTTATCAGAAAAAGTGTATGCGAAGATTTCGTGATTATCCGTAATCGCAGGAGACAATCGCAGACGTTGGTGAAATTACAGACAACACAAGTAAGTATACCTTAACTAACTTTCATCCCATTGTAAATTTTGAAGCGCATTTTTCGTGTCTAGTTCATGTTGTAGTAATCGTGGTAGTTGGTAGCACCACGTAACACTGATCGATCACTACTAGTGTCAACAAAATGTGTTGGTTAGTCTATGACAAAATGTTGTTTCTGTTATTTTAGGGTTAATCTTAGGATTTGTGTTTTAAATGTTTCTTTGCTGGTTATGTAACTAGTGGACGAGTTTATGATTACTGTAGATAGTTTTATTTGGTTAAACGAGGTTTTAAATGGCTGAAATAACAAGAAATTATTTTCAGACAAAACACGACAAAATTTTGAAGCTCGCTTTCGTGTCTTAGTTTATGTCCATAGCTAGTGTCGGCGATTTTTTTTAATGCTGACAAATTTTACAATTAATTTTATGATTTGTTTTTTACTGTTTGGTTGTATAACTAGAGGATAAGTTATTGTTTATAATTATATCGGTTTATTTGGTTAAACGGGGTTTAAATTACTGAAATAAGAAGAAACCATTATTGTAATCAAAACACGACCTCTACAGTGAACCGGGCAGAACTAACGATAAAATTGGCTTCAGATGTCCCATAGGGATAGGAAATCTTTTAAGGGAGTTTGTTTTATCTATGCTTTTACTATTGGTGTATAGGTGTGTATAGTCAATGGTGAAATCTCCGGGCCGCAAAAAAATCCTCCGCGATGTTCAGGGTGAGGGTAACCTAAAAAAGCAAACATATTTGAAGCAAAGAAGTTGTACTTGTGGTACACGTATAAATTGCGATATACCCATCCACGCAGCAAACATATACAGTAGAACCTTGATAACAATACTCTCATGCAGATTATAAAATAAGACTTGTTATCAAGGTTGTCTTCTTATCGAGGTTTGCAATGACATGTGATTAGGGGTAAAATAAATTCTAGGGGATTTAAAAATGACAATTGTTATCAAGGGTGACTTGTTATCGAGGGTCTTGTTATCGAGGTTCCACTAACCTAAGCGATTTTTTATAATTCGTCTGACTGGATTTTAAGAAAATAGTTTCAAGAGCAAAAGTGTCACATTTATTCCCCTTTTAAATAACAATTTTATCTTTCTATAGCTTCTTCCTTATTCTGTGAAATTCACTAAAAATGACTGGTACATTTTAAATGTCCATGTTTTTCTTATGGAGAGCAATATTAAACTGTTGTAGTTTGATTGTTTATGCGTTGTTATTGTTTGTCGAGCAATAGGGAAAGAGTGTTTGGAATTACTCTGTATTTAGGGTCCAAAAAATGTACAACAGGCCACTTGCTATTATTGTTTTGTAACAGGATAATGACTTTTACAAACATGCTCCAACGATGAAAGTTGATAAAGGAATCATTGAATGGTTTGATTCTTTGTTATCACTAGTTGTAACCGTAACCGTACTGTTATACAAGAGGTGGCTGAAAAGTCACTATCACTACCTATTTTCAATTATAATCAATTGTCGTGTTGTATATTAAAATGTACATTTAAACAATTAATAATACCATTTATGAGTTTATTATGACATTTTTTAACGTTCTTGCATGAAGAGAGAAATTTCTTCTATTCTGTGCTCCCCAGTCTCCACCACCTATGGCAACCCATATGGCCAATGTTGAACATTTTTTACTTTCAATTTCATTTTTACTGTCTCCTCATATATATGGCATATAGACTATTATTTTCGTCAACATTTCAAAGTTTGAGTTTTGGTGTGTTATATCTGTTTGGTCCACCTGGGCCCAAAAAAGTGGTTTACGAATTAATGTCTGTGTGTAAAACCCATAGATTAACAGAAAATTCAAATATTCTCGAAAATTGCCCTAACGATATTGATAAAATTCTAATATGTTATTGCATTTGAAGGAAATCGTGAAAGCCGTTTTCAAAATCTTTGTGGAAGCATAAATACATACAAGCATACATACACGCAAACATTGCTCATACATAATGAGTATAGGATAAAAGCTTTTAAAAGTAAAATTTTCACAAATACAAGCTATTAATATAACTACCTATTTATTATATCCTGTGTACTTTCTCGTCAACCTAAAGTCTATGTAATGCAGGTTATAGGTATTTTTTTTTATTCCATATTATAGTTTGGTTTTATTTTTGGCGAATTTCCCATATAGGGAATAAACTATAACCGTAGTACTTATCGTAAGACCTGGACCCGAGACCGATTTACTTTTTCGCTTTGAGGTCCCCAGAGGCTATAAAAACACCCTCCGTTCAAATACATATCTGTATCTATATATACTGTATATATGTATATGTTTATATGTGTGTGTGTCCGTTAGTGCAAAAACTCGAGCAAAAATGATCTGATTTTGATTAAATTTGGTACAAACGTGTAAATTACGTTATTCGAACGAGTTCGTGAACGAGCATGATTGGACTATAGTAACGGGGGTTTATATGGGGTAAAAATCGGGTTTTCCCATTTCTGAATCTAAAAAAATAAAAATTTCACAATTTCTTTCCAGACCATTTTGTAGAGTTTAAAAAAGAAATAATTTTGTATATTGAAGCGTTGTTGTATGCCTAACGGTTACGGATATAGTTAAAACAACTTTAAATTTAAAATTATCATGCTAGTTTTATGGAGAATAAATAAACTGTTGTAGTTTGCTTGTTTATGTATATATTTTAATCAAATTTGGTAATTTGGTTTATTTCATACTACGCTATCAACTTTTCAATATAAAAAAAACACACATCAATACCTCCCATGTAGCAGCAAACCTAGGTACTCATTAAAATTAATATTATTTAAATAGGAAATAAATCTGACAATTTTCAGGGAATATTTTAGTTGAAATCCAGGTAAATGGAAATTCGCTTAGTCTGCAGGTTTGCTGTGGCGGGGTATTTTATATTGAACCAGACTGCCACTGGTAATAGTTGTCAAATATTTTCATTTTATAAAATGGGCGGACTTTAAACGGCTTTATCTAAAAAAAATAATAATAAAAAAATAAAAACTCTTTGGTAAAATAATAAATTTAGGATAAAAGCACTTTAAATAATACCTTTGACTATTAATACAACAATAGTCTTCTGCATCCAATAGTCAATGATAATACCAAACATGAATGTTGAGGTAAACTAAAATAGTTTAAGTACAATCGTATGTTTTCTTATTCAAGATTACATTGTATAATGTATAATGTATAATGTATGAGGGTAAAACATTTTTATTCCTCAAGAGGTTATAGACATTACTAATTTTGCTAATTACATATCGGTAGCGAAAATGTGGTTCGGATTCCAGATTCCACTATAAACTGTAGGCCCCTTTGCCATTGGCTGTTTGGGCTATTAATTAACAGATGTGTCTAAGGAATATGTCGGCCTTAGTCAATAACAAAACAACAAGATCGCGTCACTCATCATACACTCATCTCCATTCGTATTTGCTTAAAATACCTACTTTCGTATGGGCACTAGCCTATAAAACAAATTTTAGTTTTGAATGGTTTTGACTTGATTTAGTTTGGAAAAGATTGTACACGAAACTCACTTGGAAATTAAGGACTTTTTATTTATTTATCTATTTGAAACACTTTTCATAAGTTTAAAATAAAAAATACTTTTATCGACTAATTTTCAAACATTTACAATCATCCTCAGTTACAATTTACAACCTCTGATAAAATGGTTTATCAATCATAAATTTGATCATATAGTGCAATATAATGTTCAGCGAACATCTGTGGTTGATAAGAAGTATACAAGTTATCTGGGTATCCAATGACGTTTTCGTTTACACGTACAAACGGCAGGGTTAAATATAGCGCTGCGGCGCGGCGCTGCTTCCACAGTCGGTGTGGTGGTAGCGACGAGAGCGGATCGGCTCCACTCCACCAGGCATGACGTCCGCGGCGTCGGCGTCGGCGTCGTTGGTTATGGCGGTGCTGGTCGTCGTCTCGGCCCGCAAGTGCTGTCGTCCTGGAGATATCCTGGATCACAACCTAACCTGCGTCATAGGATCATCTCACATCTTCCTGGACGTTCCTTCTGAAGACGCGTTGTCCTGTAACGGCAACATTTCTCTAGTCAGGCCCTTTCAGGGCATGAAAATAAACTGTTTGGATGTAGTAGATAATCTAAATTTTACCAGTTTAAAAGGTGTGGTTTGCAGTGACGGGGGTGGTAAAGTGGAAGTGCCTCAAGTGAACTTTGTGAGGAAGTGTTGCCCAGAGTCCAGAAGGTATTCTGACTTCAGAGAAGGCTGTTGGGGGGATCATCCGAATGAGGTTAGGAGTGTGGAGTTACTAAGGACGATGTTCCTTAACGATTCGGACACCCCACTGGAGTTGTCTGTGGGAGTTCCGAAATGTCCTAGAGGAAAGGTTCTAGTCGATATCTTCATACATCACCGTCATGTTTGGAGGCAGGACAGCGAGTCGATCCTTTTGAAGCACCAAGGACCTTCTGACGTTCTACTGGTTCCTGAAGAGTTCTGCGTGGACCTCTGGACCGGAGACGACTATTCCCTAGTGATCCGAGCTTGTCAGGACGCTACTGTCACGTGTGATCGTGGAACTACACCTTGCATCAATAAGTGTTGCAGAGACGGCAAAGCTTACAAAACGTTCCACTGTGACAACACCAAGGATACTTTCGATGTGCAGTTCTACTCCGTTCGTCCTGACAAGGCACCTTCTCCGTCTTCAGTTTCATCCGTCGGGATTGGTTACGAAGACGCTTTCTTCAAGTGTCGGAACGGGAAATTTCCCCTGGACCCGGAGAGATCTTCGGACGATTTCTTCTTAGTGACTGATTCGGGGGACCTGTTGATCCCTGAGAATCCTCTGCACCACAACCTCATAGACTGGAGGGACTTCTGTCTAGAGCGGTTGGGAGGAAGAGTCGTCCCTTTTCTCTGCTTTCCTCCAGTTCGGACCAAGGAGACGTTCCACTTTAAGGTGATCGCTCTAGGACTCCTAGTCTCTGGAGTGTTCTTACTCATCACCTTCCTGGTGTACGCCTGTCTGCCCTCCCTTCACAACCTCCACGGTCGAACCCTCATGTGTCACGTGGCCTCCCTCCTGGCTGCATACGCCTTCCTAGTCTGTAGTCAGTTGATGTCTAGTGTTCTGCCCAAGCCGCTGTGCACCGCTACAAGTGAGTTGTGTTACCTTGTCAATATAATTCAATATCAAATCAATATAATCAATATAATTAATGTTATCAGATGGTCCAAGGCTTCTTGCGAACGAAAGAGATCCTTGCTAGGGTAGGTGCGCAAATCCCATTCAAATGATAAGTGATTGGAGATAGTTTTTTATTTTATCAATTTTTATATCTCGTTACATTCTCCCCCATACTCAATGATAGTATAGAGGAAGTATTGTTATCATTAAAATTGTGTAGTTTGAGTTTGGGTAGAAATTTCCGTTTTGGAATCACCCAGAATTGATTGTCCGTGTGGAGGTTTATAAAGTTGCAGACTACACCTGTGGTTCGATTTGCTCTAAATTGTGTATGTTGGTTCAAATCCATGGTATCTCCCAGCGTTTTTCATGTTCTTGAAATTTAGTGAGTTTCCTATAAAAACCCAAAAAGTATATTTTCACAAAAACGGCATGAACGATTTTAATCAAAATATGGTATGATTTGATTCTTTTAATTCTTAACAACTTAGTACAACCCTCAATGCTGTAAAAAATGTATTACTGTAGGACTATTGATTTGTCTGAAATATATGTTGTACATCTTACGAGAATTTACCCTTAGGTATTGGTATCACAACTCTTTCTTTTGTTTTATATAGATTTAGTAATTACGAGTTAGATCTTTTATAAAATATTTCACAATAATTAATGTACTTTTGCCATGGCATTTACAGTTTCAATATTATATTCAGCTAAGCAAATATTTTTAAAGTTAATTGTGTTAGTCTATTCTAGTAGTTGTAGGTAAAGCTTAAAGCAAACTGAAAACCTATAGGTTTGGTAACAATGGTTCGAAATTGTATTTTGAGGGTATACGATCGATACATAACTCTTACTACTAACATCAAAGGTTTGTGACTACTCAAATATTCTCATTGTAAAATAATTACGACCGTAAACTATGTATGAAATAGATGAACGGATCATTGAATAAGGGTTTCTAGGAGTAATCCTCTAAAGTGATGCTAGAACATGACACGAGAATTCCGTACAAACCGAACACACCAGTCACAGCAGACCTACATCACTGTCACTGTCAGATTAGAAATCCCGTCTACTGAATCTCTATGTAATTAACTAATCATGTTCAACATAAAAAACACGAACAATCAATTTATTTTATTATTACCTTAGAAACTCATGTCCAGAACTATACGTATCAAGCTTTGTACATGTATTTTTACGTGTACACAAATGCTTATGTATAGAATATTTTACATTTACAGGAAATCACGAATTGAAAGTGAGTAAGATGTAGTAGGGTTAAAGTATTTTCACCAACACCTATCGTTGTTATGAGAAAGGCAAATTCATAGAGTAGCTTAAAATAATTTCGTTGAATTGGCATAGATCCATCTATATATATAAAAGGCAAAGCCCTCACTCACTCACTCATCACTAATTCTCCCACTTCCCATTTACCTAGGAGGCTGAAATTTGGTACACTGATTCTTTAGACATTAAATAGGAAAACTAAGTTGTTTTTATTCTGATCGGACTCTCGGGCTCCGTCCCAGTGGCTCTGGAGTTTCCCATGTTAACCTTATTAGTACTCATATTTAAATGGAATTAATGAATCTTAACAGCTGTATCAATTACACAAGTTGGTTCTGTTCTATGATGTTCAATAGCATTAAAGTTACAAGGATTACCATCAGGGTGCAGCACTATTATTTTTTTTAAATTTATGACAACAACTAATTTGCAACCAAAAAGTGAGGCGTAGCGAACGAACTTCAACCTGGAGGCGAGTTAGCGTAGCGAACGAGCTAACCTTGAAGGCAAGTGAGCGCAGCGAACGAGCACCAACCTAAAGGTGAGTGAGAGTAGCGAACGAACTTCAACCAGGACGTGATTGAGCCATGCGAACAAGCTCACTTATGAAGTATAACGGGGCAAAGCCCGCGGGTACAGCTAGTTTTATATAATGTCAAGTTAGTATCTACGCAAGTATAAATATTCTTTACTGATTATCCACGATTCCCAGGTCCATCTACGACCAGTTCCAACTACCCAATGGGTACTGAGAGATTTACATTCAGAACTCCTGGATACTGTACTTACTAAATAATAATGTTGAGTATATGATACCTCAGAGTAATAAAACAAAATATAATAATTTTGTTTTATTACTCTGAGATGATACATACATAAAGCTGAATGATTAAGGCTAAAGCGAGACGCCAAACGTTAAATGTTAAACTGCGAAAGAAATCATGGGCGGGTTTAAATGGATAGACAATGGAAGTGAGAATAAGTGTTAAAATGATATACAAGTACAAAACTAAAGATTTCTTTAAATTTTAATGGAAGCCAACCGTAGTTAATTTACAGGCTTCCTTTGTCCCAAAAGGTTAGGAAACCATACAGTTCTGTGAATAATCCACGCGTTCCAATAAACTGAAATAGTGGTCTCAACTCTAAAACTTCAAAATTTAAAGTATATAATATGATTCGCATTTAAAAAATAGTATGAGCAGTAACGTAGTTTTTAAAAGTGGTGCTGCACTTTGAAGTAGCGTGAACATAACAATTGTTTGTGAAAAGAAATATAAGAAATCTTTCATTATTTATAACCATCATTATTATGCATACCACGTTTATAACCAGGGAAGGATAAATCAACAATTTTAAAATTAACTTTTTTGTTTCAGGTTACGGAATACAGTTCTTCTTCTTGGCTGCATTTTCTTGGTTGAATGTGATATGCTTCGACATATGGTGGACTTTCGGGTGAGTGTATGGAAAACGTTTGACCGGACTATAACTTATCGAATGATATGTATGATTCCTTTGAGACCAACTGTTGCCCATATCCATTGTCAGTGTTGCACTTTTTAACCGATTAGTATCGGGGGACCAATCCATGGATCGGCATAGTTTATTTCGATTGTAAAATCAATATAAAGGAAACTCAAGTTTATTTTTACAACTAATTTTGGCTTTCATTACTTACGTTTCAATTAAATTTCAATTTATTATGATGGAAATTTTAACCTGGAAATCCACAACACATTAATTTATTTTACAATCGATGGTAAAAAAACCTATACTTACTTGCATAAACATATTTTTTGACAGTTTTTTTTTTTTTAAACTAAAACCGCTGATTGGAAATTTTTGATTAAACTATAATTTACATAAAATAAAAATACAATACTATTATTCAAATATTTATTTTATTGTTAATTATATTAATTATTTATTGTTAGTTATATTATTTAAGTTGTTCAGGAGGGTATGCCCTACAACTGTGCAAAAAACCGGGACTACATGATTTTTCCCCACTCATTTAGCTTTGTTGACTGGCTATAAACCAAAGTTTGCTAACCATTGCCTCAGTACTTTGGGGATTAAGTTTTGTTAGGAGAGAGCTAAGTAAAATTATCAGTATTTGATCGAACTATTTTCCCATAAATAGATTAATCTTCAGAGTAATCTTGCTCAAAAGTTACAACTGATGTTTTCCTTTTGAGCTGTATATTGTAATTTGCTAGTATACTTTGGATGGATTGTTATAAACACATGTTACAAGTCTTTTGTTTACTTTTTTCTTGTTATTTTGTTTAAACAACATAGTTAATTGGTGACAAAATCAGTTGTGTAGCAAAGTACAAATTTTCCTGGGGTGGGCTGTCGTCAATCACGTTTTTATGCCAGAAATAAATATTTCGAATAAATATCTAAAATAAATATCCCTGTCCAAACAAGCAAGCATACATACTGAACAAGTAAACATTGCTCATAAAGAGTACTGTATAGGATCGGTTAATCTGAGATTTTTTTTATTTCATCAAACCATTGACTTCATCACAGACCTACTGTTAGCGGCACTGATACATCATTTTACCGCGTATTATGACGTGCTTGCTATGCACTACTTTTTCAGCTGATTGTTATAGTTTGACCGCACAGTATCTTATCAGCTGATCGATTATTATCTGAGTGGACAGCATCTGACCGTACAGTATTAACCAGCTGTATTTCACTGTAGAGTATCTTATCGGCAATCGGATCGTAATTTTTGGTAGATCTTTAGGCCGTAAAAGCTGATCGGTTCTTGTTTGACTTACCTTGCCTTGTCCAATGATAATGTTTGGCTGCACAAGATCAATCTATGTTTGGTATGGTACTGTATCTATCAACTGATGTGGCCGGATGTGTAAGCGGAAATCGCTTTCAGCTCGTTCGCCACGCGGAAACTAGTTAAATTCACCTCATTTCCACCTGTTACTAACTCTTATTGCCGTCACTGTAACTTGTGTCACAATAATAAAAGGGACGTAATAGCATTGCCTACAGCACCCACGCAGCAGGTCCACGAGCAGGAGCAAGCCTCCTCCACGTGCTTATGCGTTGTTAACAGTAGCATTTAAGGATGTCCAAACGAATGTTTATTAAATGGGGGAGTTAGAAGTTAAAAAGAACAAAAAAGGTTGATACGATGATTACTATTATGTTTTCTGGGTTATTCGGTATATAAACATCCGAGGCCCCCCTCTCAAACAATGTTTTCCTGGCTTACGGCTTTGTATCCGGTTGATATATTATTTATCGCTTTGCTATCAAAATGTATGTTAGAGTATCATCGTGTTTCATTGTATATTTCCCTACAATACTTGATATTTAGACTACGTTACACAGGTAACCTATCACGTGACATTGTGTGAACGGCGGATGACGTCATGGTGTCAATGTTGACCACTTCAGCCAATAACGTCTCTCTGGGGTGCCAAGACAGGCCCAATATTGGACCCAAGGGCCGAGGCAAACAATAACATTTTATTAGTCTATTAAAACCTTTTCGATGTAATTTTGTTGCACAAGATTGTTGGATTAATTTGTTATTTTGGGGGAGTTTTGTTTTCCCACGACATTGGCATTTTTTGCGTCTTTTTTCAACAGAATAGTCTAGACCCTAGTCTAGATTATATTTAAGTTAAGCCTTGTATTGGACAGTTTTATTAATTAATAGCCCAACATGGAATCTGAATCCAGAACCCACACTTCAGCATTCAGCTGCAATGTGCATTCCAAATCATTCAGCACAGAGCTAACCCAACATTTAGATTTTAAGGCGAGCACACTCACTCGTCTATCTAGATAATTTCATCAAGTAGTCAAATTGTTTTCAAAATCTTATTGTATCCTACTTCCATTTGTTATTTATTCAATCATGTTTAAGGGGTTATTACACCAATGGACATAATGGCTCTATTTGCTATCTAATTTGAACAAGATTATGTTAGTGTTCGTGTCATCAATGGGCGTTTCTATAAACCAGTATCTCTTCGCACGTACACTGTGAGATCTTGTGACGAAAGTGTGAGGAATTACTGCCGTCGCAGCAGAGTACTCATTAAGAGGATTTTCGGTTGCTTCGATACAGTAGTTAAAAAGTTTGTAGAACAAAAATATACAGATAATTCCATAATTTCGAAGTACAAAGTGTTTATAAAAAACTTATTTTGGCTAAATAAAAAACCTTATCCGATCAAACTTTTTAAAAACACAACGGAATGTTTAGGAACGATTTTAAAGAGAAAGAGAGCGTTACAATAAGGCATACATAGTTATAGCCAAATAAATACTGAATTATTACATATTGCGAATATCTAGCAACTGAAATCATTACTTTGGAATGCATAATTTTCATTTTCGAGAAAGTGTTTTCTCTATGAATCTACATGCATAAAAAAAAAAAAAAACAATCAATTGAGCACCTTTCGGAAACAAAGATGGATGATGTTGAACCTATTCATACTAGATCCAACCAAATTTGAATTAAAATATTCACAGCACAGCCCATAATAAACCAAAACTATAAAATAAATAAATGATAAGCCCTAAAAATAGATGTCTGTGATGTACAGAACAACACGCAATACAGTGAGTGAAATACTTGAACGGATGCGGCAGCTGAACTAGTCAACTATCGTGTTTATGAGACGTCCTCCACGTCAGTAGCTTTTCAGGAATAGAAACTTCGACGCCGTTGCAAAAATCACTCTACTTTTATTTACAGTTGTAGTTGAACATAGGCTACTTAGAAAATATGCACGTTTAAAACAAACAAGGAACTAGAACTAGACTGCAGCGAGGAAAAGGTTCGCGCGTTTTAATGTTGACACTATGACGGCCGCAATATCGACAGTGCTCGATCCAGTGCACATAATATACAATCTGGAGTTCGTTGGAACATAATACATTGGAGGTCAGGTGTATCTAGTCGTAAGCTGACTAATTTCTTTATCTGCACAAGGGGTAAAATTCCGGGGGTAAAATCCTGGGGGTAAAAATCCGGGCCCTACATTTACAGTTGCCTAAACGCTAGTTATATGGGCAGGAGGTAAAATTCCGGTTTTTAATGTTAATCTAATTTATCACGCTCTGTATATTTTCATTAGACTCCCCGCGAACAAACTTAAACGAGCTCAGGTTACTACGTCATAGTGACGTCAGCTTTGCCAAGGGGGTAAAATTCCGGGGGGATAAAATTCCGGCAACCCGTAGTGAGGGGACCGCGTCTCGTTGTCCCGCCGTCTAGTTGTACCTACGTCTACTTGTACCTCGAGGCCTAGGGACAACTAGTCGTAGGTACAAGTAGACGGTGGCACACCCGACTAGTTGTACCTGCAGATTTTTAGGAGGTACAACTAGACGTAGGTACAAGTAGACGTAGGTACAACTAGACGTGTATCCCACCGACAAGTAGTATCACCTAGCTTGTACTTATGCGACCAGTTGTCCCTACGACTAGTAGTCCCGACGACTAGTGGTCCCTCCGTCTAGTGGTCCCTACGTCTTGTTGTACCTACGACTAGTTGTACCTACGCGTATTTTGCGTCCTTATAGTCTAGTTGTATCTATCCTTCAATTCGTTACCCTGTTTAATTGATTACTGCACGAGTACTTTTTAATAATACCCTTAACTAAATCAGGACTGCAGTGTTCCGAGTCAATTAAGTATGATTTGCAAATATTTTTCACCGCACTACGATGTTTTAGTAGTTTTATAGACGTTAATTGGAGGCTGAAAGCTGCGCATTGCTGTCCAGAGTCGAAATGGCAGCTATAAATGTAATTAAAATGTTCCAGCCCTAGTATCGAAAATCGCTTATTTAATTAAAACATTTATATATATCATTAAATATACAAGCAGTATATCCTTAATGAATTGCAATAGACCGCTGCCTAGCAATTATGTATTACTATTTTTGCTGATTCCTTTAAATATTTTTTCACATAACCTTAAAGTATTTGCATTGATTAGTGTGCATTTCTTATAGTTTACAATGGATTTCCCAGTGAACAATGAACATGAACAATGAAGTGTACAATGAAGTTGGCGGGTTGCTATGCTGGTGACGAAGAACAACTAATTATGAAAATAAAATCAAAACAAATGGAAAATATTCCAAACACATGTATAATTTAAAATTAACATGTGATTTTAACTTTTTAACTTAACTTTTTAACTTTTTAACTTATTATAATTTAAAATTATACATGTGATTGGAATATTTTCCATTTGTTTTGATTTTATTTTCATAATTAGCCTAGTTGTTCTTCGTCACCAGCATAGCAACCCGTTAAACCCATGTTAGTTTATAAAAATTTGTAATTCTTTTTTTATGTCTTTTTAGCCTATTTTAATTTATAAAGGCATTCTGTAGATCGCCAGGAAAATACATTTCCACTGATATGCGGATATTTTCTCTGTGATGTTCACG